GAGCGTGGGGCAGCTCTCGGCATTGTGTTTCGTATTATTGGTCATGGGGGTCCAAAAGAAAGAAAAGTACAACACACTTGGTCCCCTCCTTAAACCGAGGTCATTGTTTCGTTCCATCTCACTTACTTTGCTTTCCTGAATTGGTTCCTTTCTTCTCCTCGGGCGGTAGCAACGCAAAGCAATTTGGGCGGTCGAGCCAAGCAATATTAGCACGCTGCCAGATCAAGCTGTCCACAGCATTGATGATGTCCCCTCTCGAACATCCAATTTCATCTTCTACTTCGACGACATTGCGGATACTTTGTCCTTTCAGTGCATGGTTCTGGCTCATGTAATGCAATCGAGCTGATAGATAAGGCCACGGTAGAGAACCGGGCTTTCCTCCGAAAGCTCGAGGGCACTCAATATCACTTGACTTTGGATGAATATGGAATTCACATGGGTCGATGTCCGATGGGTGTATATTCCCCGTATGCGAGGTTGATTCTCGTTGTTCCTGTATGGCGCGGGAGAAGTCAGACATCAGATCGGGGATTTCCATGGCCAACTCAAGCATTTTCTTGCAGTCGTAGGAAGACTGGCAAACGCTTTTGGGGCAAGTGAGAAACCAGCAAAAATATCTTAATATCAACCCGCGTACACCGGTGCTTTTCCAAGACTCGATGCTGTATCCGTATACGTATAGACAATAACTTCGAAACATATCCCATGGGAGCTTCGGTTTAACACCGTAGTCTTTGCCCAGGAATTTGACCAAGGAGTCCACAGCTATGGTATGCAATAACATCATATTATACTTCGCCGCTAGACAGCAGAGTTTGATCCGAGTGAGTCCTTCTTCGGCGGAGATGGTATCTATGCCTTCCTCTGTCTCGACTGCATGTAATGTTGGCAGAAATTCTGTATAACACCATCCGATTAGAAGTCCCCATGCTGCCGGATCATCTTCTGGAAATTGAGCACTCTGTGTGCTGGCTTCTGCATGGTGTCCATTGAACATCTTCTCGAAATATTCGGCTGCGGTAGTCAAAATTCCCTTGTGGACCTCAACTACCTTCAATTCACGCCCAATCCGAAGTTTCAGTATTGACGACTGTAGTTTCCTGTTGCTAAAGGTCAGTATTGCGTTGAATGAGAGAACAGCCATGGTTCAACTATGTCAGACGTACTTAATCATCCCTGGACCAGCCTTGTATGATTCTGGCTCTGGCCAAGGTCGATTGTACGGGAAGATGTGAGGCCACACGAGATCATCAGTGTGTACGCGCGTTGGTGAAGATTCATCTCTGGAATCCGGGTTGGACGAAGTTCGAATTCGTTTGGCAGAAGGCATTCTAGCTACTGGCAGCCTTTGATGAGCGTGGTTGTTGCAAAAGTCAGATGGCAGATCTGCGAGAAGGGTCTTGATTTCGAAATTCACCGGTTCGGTGTTGAGCAGACGGGAGGAGGAGCGATATCATGAGAATTTTGGCTTGAAGTTGTACTCGTCGACTGGAACTTGGCTAACTCGAGTCTATTGCACAGGATAGGCATGTCCTTCCACCCAATAATAGGAAAAAATTTGACAAGCCGTGAAGAAGTCTGTTCACGATGTGAATTTGGAAACCAACCCCGCCAAACGCGTCAAAAGAAAGTACGCGCACACGTGATTTTGGCTGATTGGTGCCTACAAGGCCATCTTGAGCCACATCGTCATTGTGGTTGGTTTCTCTTTTCTGTGATTGGGGTGGTCGTTTCATGGCACTTCTCTGGCTCTGCAGGACTGGAACTTGCACATGTTCAATTCAAGCATTCGAAGAACGATCGAGAGCCGGCTCTAGTAGCAATGAGCCATGCTGTTGAACGTATTCGAAGATTCATATACAATAGAAGCACCCGGATTGCAGAAATGGCGAATGATTCGAACCTGCTTGAGAATGGTTGTCGAAATTATAATTACGAAAAGAGAAAAGAAGTTGAACAGGACTTGTGCGATGATGGCAACGAAGCGAAATCGATGGTAATCTTTAGTAAAGAAGGCAAGATCAGCCTTGCATCGAGACTAAGTGCTCGACATCAGGAAAAGGAAGAAACGTTCCCAGACCACATCCGAAGGTTCGGTGGTTTCGAAAATCCCGACATCATTTGGCGCTGATTTCTGGAAGTATCGAAAAGCACAGTCTAGACAAACAACTCGGCTTGCTGAATGATTGTTCAGCTCGACCATCTACTCATCTAGGATGCCTTGAGACTCGTGTGAGGAACATGGGGTAGCATGCTCGATCAACCTCATTCCTCCTGCTCGTGTTCCATAATCTTCTGCCATTTCTTAGGGTTAATCAAATCAACATTGTGACCTTCGTCCAGCCATTCCACATTAGCAACATCTTTTATCAACGAATCCACCGCTGATATCACATCTTTCGTGGCAACTCCAATTACCTCAGCCAAACGCATCACACGGCAACCTTGGCTCATGTCTGGCTCATACATCCCCTGAACAGAGTAATGTACTTGGGCCTCGGTACGAGGCCATTTAAATGATGAACATCCTCCTAGCGCCCTGGGGCACTCTTCATTGGCCGGTCGAATGTGCATATGGAAAACACAAGGATCAATGTTGTCTGGCTTCGTGGAGTCTGGTCCACTGCTTTGTTGTGTGATCTTGAAGAAGTCGGACATGAGGTCAGGTATATCACTTGCGAGTGACATCATTTGCTGCGAATCGTAGGTAGATTCACAATCCTCTTTCGGACACGATAGTAAGTAGCAAAAATAGGTAGAGAACAAGTGGCGCAATCCTGTATGTTCAGCACTATGCTCATACGCATAACGACAACACACTTGAAATACATCCCAGCTCAGTATGGGCATCGTAGAGGGCCCCTGCCATAAGAAGTCAATCAAGGAGTCAACGCCAAGGTTGTACAAGCGTATTATGTTGTATTTCTCGGCCAAGCAGCAGAGCTTGATCCTGTTGAAGAATGCGAGCGCCTCCTTAGCATCCAAATTCACCCTGCGCCGGTCGCATGGTAGGAAGACGTGAAAAAATGCGCCGTATGACCATGCAATAAGTTCCTCCCATGCTGCTTCATCATCTTCGGGGAAATCGGCGGCTTTTTTGGCGGCTTCTATGAATTGTCCATCAAACATCTTTCCAAAGAAATCTGCTTTGTCGGTGAGCACCCTTTTGTGAACTTGAAAAAGTTTGGCATCGGGGCCGACGCGGATGTCTAGGATGGGCGACTTGATTTTGCTTTAAAGACAATGTTAGTAGGGATAGTGTAGAGCTGTGAAGAGGAGAGCTACTCTATATACGTGTCTGTCTCTGGTGGGTCATTCCACGGCCACGGGAATTCCGGGACAGTTTTTGGTTTCTTCGTTGCGGGTTCTTCGCTGGATGCGGGGTCTGTACTGCGTTGCCTCACGAGAGACATGTTGGCATCAGTTGGTCGAGGAGGCTGATGGTGACTGAGCTGCTAAGGTCCGATATAGTACAGGACGAGAATCGAGAGATGTTGATCACGAGATCCTAATGCCAGGTCTCTCCTTAGTCGATGTCGATGAGTAGGCGTTGGAAAAGACCTTGAAGTTGTGGGGTTGTGCGGAGCTGTCGAGGAAAAAGCAAACGCGATGCGACAAATCGATGTAACGTGAACACGTGAGCGCGGGGTTCGCTTGGTGCTCTGCACTACCCCTTTTGAGGACGGCAGAATTCAGGTTTCTGTACGTCATAATCATTTGTAGAACGGTGGTGAGGATGTTGTCGAGGGTGTGGTGGAAGAAGAGAATTGGGAAGTGAAGGAGGGTTTGTCAAGCAGGTGTTGGGCATCAAATCAGGAAGGTACACTTTTGATTGGGGACTCTACAATACAATTTGTCCTATCATTCTATACAACAAGAATCCAGGAGACATAGCTAATACAAGTTCTCTCATCCACGAACTTTGGTTTCGTCGAGTTCAGAGAGGAACCTCCATCGTTGATCGTGGACCGCTTTTGCGTGGGGGTGAGATTTGTCCAGGTAGAGAATTCCAGGCCCTGGATGGTTTGGTATTACAGGGTATTGGGTATAGCAACAATATGAGCACCGAGTACTAACCTATCTCGTTACTTGGGGGTGTAAGCTTGAAGCTTGTATCAGGAGCCACCCAGGTAATGACCTTTGCTCTGTTCAGTCGCTCAAGCTGGGAGTTGAAGCTTCCATCATTCATATACTTTAGCTCTGTAGCTACCTGCCTGACGTCGAACAGTTCTGTGCCTTTCAGTGTTCTGTCCTGGATATAGTACTGGATACGAAAACATTCTTCTGGCCATTTTCCGACGGGGTCAGTGAGGCTAATCGGACATTCGAGACTCTCAGGCCACATCACTCCTGGTGTTGAGTGATTGTGGAATGTACACGGCGAGAGGAGCCAAAAATGTTTGATAGCTGCCTGTCGGACAAGGGAAAAGAGCCGCTTCTGAAGGTCTGGGATGGTGTGCGAGAGCTCGTCGAGGTCATCGATTGCGTACGGCGTTCTCTTTCCTTCACCTCTGAATGAGAATGGTACTTTGTACGTTAATTCATAGTAGAAGTAGTAAGCTATGAAGTCGCGGGTACCCGACTGTTCGGGGGTGTTGTCGTATACGTATGAGCTCCAAACACTGAAGTTATCAAAGTCCATAAAAGGACTTGATCCGCAACCTTTAAAGTAATCGATGATGGTATCCATAGCAAGGTTATGCAGAAGCGTTATACCATACTTGTCGGCTAGACAGCAAAGTTTCAGTCGAATCCAACACGACCGGCGAGAGGTCGAGTTGTCTGAAGCCGCATCGCGATCCGATTGCTCGAGAGGTTTGATAGATCCGGTATGGCACCAATCGATCAACTCCTTCCAGGCATCTTCACCGTCTTCGGGAAAATCTACCTTGTCTTCCGAGTCCTTCTCTGAAAGGGCCATCGAGCATCTTCACGAAGAACTCCGCGGCGTCTGTCAGCATATCTTTGTGCACTTGGAAGCTCTTCGAGTCGAGGCCAGCGGTGATGGTAATGAGGGGCGAATCTAACTTCCTACACACCGTGTTCAGCATGACTTGAGGTGACTTGCGGGGAGGCGGCATACTCAGCATAAGACCGCGGGGTAGCAGTGGGCTTGTAAGGCAAAGTCGCGCACCAGGGTAAAGACGGTGTAAGCTTCTGTTTCTTCCTCGGGGGCGCATTATCTTCATCAGACACTTCTCTTGGCCTTACTCGAGACATTGTTGTGATTCGATGATGTTCCTTCGTAGACTGATGGAGTATGTGAAAGAGTGAAAGAGAGAGGCAACGAGGCGCGACCGAGTACTCGAAGAGGACGCGTTGAGCGCAAGGCTGAGGCTGCCTCAGCACGACTTGCACCACGGTCCTGATAGCCAAATATGAAAGAACCAATGTTTCAGTTTTGAGAAGATCTGAAATATCAATCATCAAATTGTATTTACAGAGTCATTCCAGGAGATGACAGCTTCAGATATCAGCACGTGTATGTCACGTGAGTATATTCGTTGCACATGATGAGATTGGATTCCAAGTTTCCAACATAAGTTCCTCTCTGCCGGGTACCTAGGTATTTCATAGAGCTCTCATTACCATTCCGCGATTTCAGTGGCCGACTTGAGAATGGAGAGCAACACAATTAGAGATAGGTTATGCGTATCGTAGCATAAGAACCGTGAGAGAGGAATTGAGGCCTGGTGGGGTATTGAATGAAAAGGCGTAGTATCTATGCTCGAGTGGATTAACTGTGCTTACTATTCATAGATTAACGTCGAAGTTTAATTAGAAGGCTAGAACACATTAGAAGTGGTTATAAACAAGGAGATTCAAAAGAACTAGAGGGAGGAACATTTTGAAAGGAGTGGCTTTGCACGGAGTATTCATGGCTGGCTGTCCGGAATGGCTTGGTGCCATGAGAAAGAAAAAGTCATAGCATAGATGGAGAAATCTAAACTATGGAACTTGCAAATATTTGGCATAGATACACAGTATTTTTGCTCATCTGTTGTCGAACCGTGTTTGCGAGCTATAAGTTCATCCGGAGTGTGCCTCCGGCTGACTAATTTACATTGCTTCCAGAACCAACCACTTAAAATCGTGATCAATACCTTAACTCCGGATTGACGTCGACATCGTTCGCCTGCCCTTCGAATAAATATCTTCGTCCTCATCCGCCGTCGGTCAATCGAATACTCCATCGCAAACTTATTCACAAGATGGCTTTCGTAATGCGCCAACCTTTCAAGCTCAGCACCACTCTCGTGGTAGCTTCCAAGACAGCCTTCAAATCCGCCCCCGTCCGGTCATTTCATAGCTCCAGACCTGCGGCGAACTTCTTTACATCACGAACGACAGCACCTACAAGCACGCTGGTAAAAGCTCGAAATGCCTTCCGACAATCGCGAACATATCAACAGCCTGCTGCTACTGTACCGAATGGGGGAAACCTGATGCAGAAGCTGTTGGTAGGAGGCGCCCTCTTTGGTGGAACTTTCATCGCCATTCAGTTGATCTTCAACAGGGAAACGCGAGAAGATGGAGGAATGCCACCTTACGAGAGAGCGTATCTCAATGATACCTTTATGCATACTGGCTTGGGTGTTGGTATTATTGGTCTGTCCGCGAGAGCTATGTTTCAAAGCGGATTCATGTATCGAATGATGGCAACAAACCCATGGGTGGTTATGATCGGTGGCCTTGGTCTCAGTATCGGAACAATGATGGGTACAAGAGCTGTCAGTCCAGACAAGTGAGTATACTCTCTTTCCTATGCTCGAAATGCTGCTAACAATCATCTAGCTATATCCCTAAGTACGGTCTCTGGACAGCTTTCAATGTTACGCAAGGAGCTCTTCTCGCCCCTCTTCTCTTCATGGCCCCTCCGGCTCTCATCGCTCGCGCCGGTCTTTACACAATCGCAATGATGGGCTCAATCTCGTTTGTTGGAGCCACTGCTAAGCAAGAGAAGTACCTCTACCTTGGTGGGCCACTTCTCGCTGGTGTGGCTCTTGTCGCCGTTTCCGGATTTGCCCCTCTCATCCTCCCTGCCACCGCTGTCCGAACACTGGCCTTTACTGAGAACATCTGGCTATACGGAGGATTGGCTGTCTTTGGTGGCTTCACACTCTATGATGTGCAAAAGGTCCTTCATCACGCTAGATTGGCCGAGCGAGGTTTGATTCGCAAGGATGCAGTCAACGAGAGCATCAGCTTGGAGTTGGACTTCCTCAACATCTTCATCCGAATGGTTCAGATCCTGATGATGCAACAAGGTCGGAGGAAGTAGAAGTGTGTGGCGTGGTCGCTTTGCATAATGGTAGTTTAGGAGCTTTGGGGGTGGGGTTTGTTATTGAAAAGAAGACATACAAAGTCTCCTCTCATTTGTTTTATTAGCCATGGTCATTAAAATTGATCTCTTTTCCAATGAGCAACTCGCTTGTGTCAAAAAATAATATGGTGATGTAAATTTTTCATTTAAAATATCCTCTGCGGCAAAGAGACCCGGGTATTCCAATGAACGAAAGAAGCCTTGCAGTTTCACATTACCAAACACTCTATATCATCATGTCATGAACTCCATGTCCTTCCCATTCCACTTCCCATTACCATCTACTCCAAAGCCGGAAAGTTCCTCAAGAAATGGCTTGGGCACTCATATCCTCCTGGGTTCACATCCAGATACTTCTGATGATACGCCTCCGCATCCCACCACTCTCCAGCAGGTAGAATCTCCGTAACGATCTTTCCCTTCCACCATTTCTCATTCGCCAATTTTGTGACCTCCCTCGCAATGCTCTCTTGCTCGGCATTGTGGTAGAAAATGCCAGAACGGTATTGAGAACCACTATCTGGGCCTTGACGGTTCGACGTCGTAGGATCATGCATCTTATAGAAGAACTCGAGTAATTGCCGATAAGTAATCTGGCTCGGGTCGTAAGTCACTTGCAGCGCTTCCGCATCTATTATCACCACAGTCAGCATCTCACTCTCCCAACGCCCTTCTCAAATAACGAGTACTCACGACCAGTGCGCCCCGAACAAACAGCTCTGTAACTCGGACTATCGGTATTCCCCCCAATATACCCCACTCTGGCATCGTAGAGACCTTTGTTCTTGAATTCCTTGCGATACATGTGCTCGACGCCCCAGAAACATCCTGCTGCGATGGTGGCTTTCTGTGCGCCTTCGGGACTGGTGATGGGTGCTACTTCGCCGGGCGCGAGACCGAGCATGGTGCTTGTGCTAAAGGGCCGGAGGAGGCGGTTGAGGAAGGCGGGCATCGTGAATGCCATGAGGAGGATCAAGGTTGAGTAGAGAAGAGTGCGGGGTGTAAGCTGAGGCAGATTGAATATCCTTCTTGTTGCAGTTGTTGGTGAGATGAATTGAATATGTTGTAAAGAGAAGAGGCAATTGAGGCAGTTATAAACTTTGAAAGAGGTCGAAAGAGAGTGATGATGGCGTATTTGTATTTGCCTCTCACGAAATGCGTATCAAATCGTCATGCAGCCTCGGACTTTGATTTGGAGGGGCTGAAGCTCTGCTGACGAATCAGAGGTCAGTGATCTTCAGCCACAGGCATTGATTCCAAAGCTCACCATAGCAATTCCAAACACGAATTCCAAATGTCGTTTCATCAATAAAAGGTCGATTCCATCCCTGTATTTGAATTGAATGTGCTGCAAGCTGAAAGATAAGCTCGAGGCATCTTGATTATTCACTACTGAGAGATTATTGGCTGAGACGTGGCAAATCAGGAGCTACCAATCACGTGTTGCCATTCTCTGTCCTTGGCTTTTGGTAAGGATGAAAGATACCCCAGATGCTAATGGGAAGATTACCGAATTTACGCTTTGTTTGGTTATACCTTGCGTCGAGCTTGCCCATTGGTAAACTACAGCAATGCGATACCTTTGGCATCATGGCTTGTGTTTTCAATCGCTTGTTCTTGACGGATGTCCCAGAATAGTCTCAATACGGTCGACACAGTCGAATTATTCCTGCTCTAGGTAAGAGCTGTGTGGCGAAAGTATTCAGTATTGTAATTGACCATTTCAACCGCTTCTCGCTTATTGACTCGAAAAGGAGATCGCTAGAAGGAGTACTTTCAACGGAACCGAGATGTCACTGACGAATTGTGACGACAATTGAAAGAAGTTATTCAAAGTAATATGTCCAAGCTTCTAGTTTCCCATTTCCTCAGAGTTCTGAGGTTACATCCTGACTCTCATCTTCCTCCAAGCCCCCCTTTTCACAAGCGAGCCTCGGCTAAATGTATTCTGTATGCTCCAATGTTCCAATTACCTAGGTATGTAGAGTAATATTGAGACTAGCCGTTCCTCAGAATTCGTGGAAGAAACACAAGTTACTTCAATAGGCACGGAAAACAATAAGTTTTCTGACCGGGCTCAAGTGAATGACTTCGATTTGGTATTTCTACCATCCTTCAGAACCGTTTTACCAGCCTACAAGGGAGAGTATTCACAAGATCCAATCTCTAGGTATGCTCCATTCATCTGACTCAAATAACTTCTTGGGTTTCCCAACGTCATCCTACGTTGCAAGGCTTTTCTCGATCAAAAAACAAGAATCGTGTGGCACATCACTTTCCAGTATTTGATCCTGAGTCTGTATAAGCAAGCTTGAATTTTTTCATGCTTAAATGTTCACTATTGTAAGTACCTCAAAATCTCTAATAAACCAAACTCCGCCAAAACCCCACACCTTATCAGCTTCCTATCTGTCTCCCCTTCTCTTTTTCTGGCCCAGCTGTACTTGCTCGAGTTGGTTTATGCTCCAAATTTTAGAGCTTTGGTAGCCTTCTGTCGCCTTTCTACGACGCCTTGTACTTGCTCGAAAGATAGCAGAGCGTTCTTATAAGTAGCAGGTATGACAGATCTTGATGATATCCTTAATCTCTCGACCATTGAGTTTTAACTTGGCTAGAGTGTGAATATTCTCCTCACTCAATTTCCATTTACTTGTGGAACTGGAGCCCAAGAAGCTTGACTAGACTAAATGACGGGTAGCCTCATTGAGCTCCTCGTATGGAACGATGAGATCACAGCGAGACCATCTCCCAACTTTCTGATCCTCTCGTTCTCATTGTCAGAGTGTTTGAACTCTGACCATCTCTGACAGTAATCGCATGCACTTTCTCCAATTCCGTAGAAGCTCTTTACGTCGAGTTTCAGTCCCTTTGACGCTTCGGTGGTGAAATGTTCCAAGACACAATTATCATCCCTCTGTCGGAAGCAACTATTTCAGAAGTAATTGAAAAGAGAATTTAGGAACGCGTAGCATATGAATCTACCCTTGGATTGGTGTAATTGAAAGCTGTCCTTTATACATCGATTACTACATAGAATTTTCAGCCTCCTTCATCTTCTTCAACAGCCTGCTCTGCCGTGGCCTCTCCCAGTGAAAGCAATACTGCCCCAGCTCCATTGCAACACGTCGCGTCCGCACGCCCGTTACCAGATTAGGCTCTCCATCCAAGGTTTTTCCTACTTCGTAGGGGACATTGTATTCGAGCGGCGTTGGTAAGTCCGGCCATGTAAGCTGGTTCGGTGCATTGAGATATCGTTCCATATCCCCCATCGGATCTTCGTTTCGCTACCCATTTATTCAAAAAGTTGCGGAGTACCGATACATCAGAGTCGAGTTCACGGTTACAGGGCCACTCTGAAATGCTCTGCACCATGTCTATATTTCGATCCCACGGAGGGGATGCTCGTGAAGTGTGTATCGTTCGTGATGAGCTCGTATAGTGCGAATACAACGCCAGACACGTCGTCCCGACCGTCTATCAACCTATCCTTTCCGCGTGCAGCGAAGTTAAAGTCGAAGAGAACGAGCTTGTGTGTGTCTGGATCGATAAGCAGATTTCGGAGTGCAATGTCTTGATGCATAATTCCTAGTTCCAGGTTGAGAAAATCCACAACTTGGGTAAGTTGTTGTAGCCACTCGAATCGGAAAGGAATATTTTGAATGTCGAGAGTTCCACCTGGGATGTACTTTGTTGTAAATCCAATCACACGAGACTCCACATCTTCGAGGACAACGCGATCAAGTCGTAGTAGATTGGGATGCGGAGGGAGGCTTTTCAGAAGGTGTAGTTCATCCCAGGCCATCTGCATTCTCACAGGCTTCCACCAGGAATTGAATTCGAAGGCAACTGTTTGAGGATTCCCGGATTCATCTTTGTAGGATGAGAGATCAACACCTGGTCCTAACCGATCGAGCTCTTGAAGTTTGGAGTACTGGATTATACGGCAATCGGCGAGCGATGGGACCGTCGCGAAGGGAAAATATGGGACAAAGATAGTTTCATCCTCGTCCGGATCTGTGGAGACTCCAGTAATGAGCCCGTCATCGTCAAGGGTAACTGCGCGAACTTCCGGAGATAGGTAGTCGGCGAATTGCGCCAAAATTTGTATCTCGTGGCCCTCATCAGGTGGGAAGATCTTAGCGGTCCCTTTGAGCTTAACCATGCGCAGTTGATCCCAATCCCAGACGTTCAGAAAAGCTTCGGTATTGGGGTTTTCTGCCGCGCCAAAGTAACCCCCACCATCGCTGAAGAATCTTTCTTCGGGTTTGATCATGGGCAAAATAACATAATACTGCAAGAGGCTGTTGTAATTGTCCTTCAGCAATGTGAGCGACGGGCTTAAAAGGGGTTGGGTGAACAAGCGGCAAGCGACGGGAATGTTTTGGCGCACCGCCAAGGTGGGTTGGTTACTTCTACCCAATGGTTGGGAATCTAAGCGCGCACCCACGGGGACTTATACGCGCCCTACAGAGGCGCACTGTCTTTGGGGACAATGTTTGCCACCAATCGATCCTGCCCTTGCACTTGTTCGACGAGTCATAGGAGATACAAGTCCACTTATCGACTTTCCTCCTGATAATGAGCAGCACATGATTGTAAAGGGGCCATTGATCGAATCAGGTACCCACCGACCAACAGACAATAGATTAGCCCCGCATCACGCGTCACCGAACGTTTGGGGATCACAAATGCTGATGGTATCTATTGTATGAGATGTAGGGGCAGAGACTACGAGTCATCATCAATATCAGACAAGAAGTGCTGGCTTGATGATTGTGGTTGTGGTTGTGTAGCTTTCAATGCACAACTCAATGACGAATACAATGAAGTTGGAAAGTCCCTTTCATAGTTCAAACAAGAAGTCCTGTAAATTTCTAAAGTAGCGATAAGTCTTGCCTTCGCATGGCGTATACGGGGCGTGTGTCACGTGTCGCTGGTTCTATTTGACATATTCTTTAGGAGTTGCGAACTCATTCGATTTAGAAGAAGTCGTGTGAGAGAGTAATCTCATTTTATTGATATGCTGTACGCATAGCCTTCTTCTAGATGTTTCTATCATAATGACGAAACCGGGAGCTATGCTCCTAGTCAGACAATCTTCGATCTCGAAGTCTCGAAGTTCCAAGATAAACTCAACTTTCAACCCGCCCTTTGCCCCTCGAATCGAGGCTGTGTCAGTCAACCGCCCTAAAGATGTCGTAATAGCTTTTGCTTCAGTTCACATGATTGACACATGGAGTTCTTCGGAATGCGATATATGCACTAAGCTCCCGCATTCGCTTAATTAGCACGCTTCTAAAGCTTCTTCCAGCACTATGTCACCGATACTCTAGGGCGAGGCTGAATGTAATTCGCTGTTAGAGTTCCCGTCTGCCGTTGCTTGGCTGTAAGCTCTAACAAACATACGTACGCAGGGAGACTGGGTAGGCACCGAGATCCAGGTCCGGAGAGCTAACGCTCACAACGTCATTGACTTTTGGCATGTTAAGAAGTTAGCGAGATTGTACAAAGTCTCCGAGAAGCATTATAAGTAGGCACAAACTCCCCTTCTAAATACAAGTCCAATCCAACAGCCCTCAAACAAACAATCATATCCTCAGATCAGATTCACTTCCTCACCTCAAACATCTCAAATATCCAAAATGTCAGCCATGCAAGACACAACCGCAACCGCCCAAGCCGGCGAGACCGCCTACGAGAACACCAAAGGTCAAGGAGTTTCTCATGCCACCGATTCTTCTGTACCTGAGTCCGTCCAGCGAAAAGTGCCCGCTAGCGTCGAAGACAACCTCCCAGACAGTGTACACGATACTGGATCGAACTCCAAGACAGGAAAGGTCAGCCACGCTACGGGCGATAGCAAGGTGCCGTTGAAGGTTCAGGAGGCTTTGCCCGCGAAGGTGGAGAAAATTGTGCCCAATTCTATTCACGACACGAGGGGTGCATTGTAAAGTAGATTTTGAGGATAACGACTAGCGGGACCATGTGTAAAGTGGCATAGAGCAATTGAAACTTCTTTGTGCTTGTTTATCATTGTTTAGTTTGATGTGCTTTGATTTGTTGTGCCCATTTGGCCATATTGAGGACTATTGAATTTGTGGTCGATTTGCTAACTTCGGAATTTATTGTTTCTAAGTGTAACTTGATAGTGATGCGGGGTAGTCTCAGCACCTTTTTCTGCTTGCAAATAATGGAATCCATTTTTGATTGATGTTGTATGCAGCAAAGACTTTCACTGAGCATTTGATAGTCTCTCTTGCCGTCCCTAAGTTCAAATATTCTTATCTTGTCTTGTACCAATGATCGAGAGTGTATCTCTTGGGCGCAAAATCGACTACATATAGTTTAGCCCCTGAATAAGCGAGTGGCGGATCTAAGTTCAGGACGACGACATCTAACGGCAAAGTGAGATTCAAGACCGCCGATGCACGAAATGAAATCCGATGATGCATACTTTTGCGACTTGGTGGAAGTCGTCCCGAATATCTCATTGCATGAATCCTTGCCATCAGTCCTTGGCCGCATCATCTTGAAGTCGGATTCAAAGTCGCAAGCCACACCGAGTTTGCACTATGGCTGTCCTTACACGAGGCCTTCCCTTACACGAGGCCTTCAGAACTCTGCGATAGCCGACAACTTCGTCAGCCTTGTCCATCTAAGCAAAGACCGATGAATCGTGGTCGAGTCAACTTAGACTTGACCATGAAGCTACAGATAGAGAGTGCTGGCGTGGAAGCCGGAGATATGCTTCGGCATATTAGTAAGCATTGCTACCTCCGGCTCTTTGGCTCTGCTTGTTTGATCTAATCTACCGACTTCATATGTACCGCATTCACTATCTATGAGTCCAGAAATCTGTCCGCGGACTGTGAAATTGTATCAAGCGACTCGGCCGAAAGACTTCAGCCACCAACTTTCATGGAGCGACAACCCCGTCGGCGTCGAAGACCAGCCTTGGCATGTCTTGACTGCAAGCGCCGAAAAATCAAATGCGATCGAAATAATCCTTGTGGCCACTGTATTTCGACCAGGAGCCAATGTACCTACGCAATTTGGAGCAAGGAAAATGAATCTGTGGTCAGGCACCCACCTCCACAGAGCAGCGGCTCAACAACAACTCCATCGGTCTATGCATCCTCGCCTACAGCTCAATACTTAGGTATTGGCACCAATCTAACGAGCACAGATAGTGCTAGCCTTGAGCATCAATCGTGGTCGGGAATTCTAGAAGCAGCTAGACAGAATGACATTCAAGACAACCCTGGATCTAACAATACTTCATCACTCGAAGTCACCAATGATGAACCAGATCTCTGGAGTCTGTTACAGCGAATACAAAAGCTGAAATCTTCCTCGCCATCCAGTTCTATTCATGAGTTGTCTGAGAATGGTCGGGATATACTTGCTCGCCAAGCTGGACTTCATGACTCCCAAATTGTTCTGAATAAAACTAGGATGATGGGATGGAGCCACTGGATGGGCATTGCTCAAGAGGTACTAACAAGTTCGATTCATTTGAACCCTGTAGACTTTTGCTGATCACCTCCATAGTTTACACCCATCATTACCTGTTTCACCAAGGCTTGTAGCAAAGAAAAGCACTCCTCACATCAAGGCACCGAGACTGAAAGTCTGATTTTTGAGATGGGCGATCTTCTTCACAGATGCAAAACTGTTGCAAGGGTGTTGAAAATAGGGCGGCCCAGTAGACACCTCACGGGTCCTGATTTGGGCGTTGCCATGCCTTCCCGTGAAGTTGCAGACACGATGGCAGCTCTTTACTTCGAGTCATTTGAGTCGACGCACCGCATACTTCATGTGCCTACCTTTTGGACAGAGTATCGGAGATATTGGAGCCACCCCGAAACTGTCACCACCGGCCTTCGACTCAAGATTCTTCTTGTCATTGGAATAGGGTCGAGTCTGTGCGAGCATGGAGATTCAGGTCATGAATTTCGAAATATGGTTCATCAGTGGATATATGCGGCTCAAACCTGGCTATCTGGTCCCTTAGAGAAAGACCGCCTGAACATCACAGGGATTCAAATCCACTGTTTAACAATCTTAGCGCGACAAATCTTCTCAATAGGCGGTGACTTGGTGTGGATGTCGATGGGGTCTCTTGTCCATAGGGCGATGCAAATGGGACTTCATCGAGACCCCAAGAATCTTCCAGCAATTTCTTTACTGCGAGCTGAGGTTCGCAGAAGACTCTGGGCTACAATACTTGAGATGATAGTACAGTCATCTTTGGACTCAGCAATGCCACCTAGAATTTCTTTCGACGAGTTTGACACCGAGGCGCCTTCTAACCTTAACGACAATGAGATACATGAGTCTATCATTGCACTTCAATCTCATCCCAAAGAGTCTTACACTACGACATCAATACAGATTATGCTTCTTGAAGCACTTCCAACCCGTCTCCAGGTCCTCCAGCTTTTGAATGGCTTGCATTCTGAACTCTCTTTCTTGGATGTCCTCAAGCTCAGCTCGGAAATCACCGAGATCTGCCAATCATGCACCAGTTTCATGAAAAAGCATTCGCATTCTGGTGTGACAGCCTTTCACCGAAATTTGACTGATTATCTATTGCGTCGGTTTCTCATCCCTCTACACTGCCCATTTGCCAGCAAAGCGCGAACAAACCCATTGTTCCACTATTCGCTAAAGATCAGCTTGGACACTGCTATGGCAATCATCTCTCCAGAACCGGACGAAAGGTTCTCCCGTATTATGGCTATAGGAGGTGGCCTATTCAGAGAAGGCTTCAGATACGCCTGCTCTGTCCTTAGTCTTGAGCTCATTGCTCAAGCCGAGGCTCAGCAACTCGATGGGACATTGCATCGCAACTCCCACTACAGACATATTCTCAAGCAAGCAGTGAAAAATATGATTTCTTTCTCCTCAGAGCGCATACAACAAGCTGAGACCAATATCAAGGCTCACATGTTCTTGAGTATGGTCCTGGCCCAGGTCGAGGCAATGGAAGCGGGCAAGTCGTACGAGATCGAAATCGCACAAAGTGGCAGGGATAGTGTGAAGTACTGTCTAGAAATGTTACAAGCACGGACAGCCGCTGCTTCACTTCGATCTCCCAGCGATGCTGATTTTCGACCAACAATTCTTGATGTGGAACAAGACATTTATGGATTGGATCTGGACTTTGAATTTTTCTTGCCAGATGCAGGCTTCTCTTAGAGCACTTTGTATTATGGCTTTCTAACACGCATTTGATTGTTCTTTCTTCTATTTACGATCCACCACCCGGTACTCTTTTTTAGGCGCTTGAAACCATAATGTGACAATATGTAGAGCTAGCTCGGTCATTTGGCACAACCTCTCGGCCGAGAGTTAGGCCTTGGCACAAATTCGGTGATAATCAATTTGTCGAAAACACCGAGAAATCAGTTTGAGGGTCAGATAAGTCATTGGATTCATCAAAGCTGGCGCTCTTGCAATTCTTTTGATGGAAAGCTCGTGATCGGCCTGGTGTTAAAAGCTTTTGTCCAGGTATTTCATCATCCACAGTCTCGTAACTCAACTGACACTCAGCCTTCAACAGCCATCAACAGCCTTTAAGTCAGTCTTCTAATCGGTCGTTCGTTACAGTTCAGATTTCGACATCCAACGTTGTCAGATATATTCTTACACCAATGGATATACTCGCTGATGCTGCTGCGGCCAAGCAGATGCAGACCCAGGACTCCATCGTGCAGGAGCTTGCACTGGGAAATACAGGCGACGATGATCCTGATGGGAAGCAAATCTTCGGAGGCAACGATCCAAACTCGCCTCTGAATCCACACAGCGAAAAGTTCAACGCAAGGGCTTGGGGCGTGAATTTTACCAGGATTGCCCACAAGCACGGCAAGAAATTTCGCCAGGTTGGCTTGTGTTTTCAGAGTCTGAACGTGTTTGGCTACGGTACTCCCACAGACTTTCAGAAGGACGTGGGTACTGTGTGGTTAGCTTTGCCAGGCATGGTTCGACGATTCTTTTCCAGCACCTCCGGTCAGACTCGAATCAACATTCTGCACCAGTTCGATGGGCTCCTCCGCCCTGGTGAGATGCTCTGTGTTCTTGGACCACCAAGCTCTGGCTGTTCAACGTTTCTGAAGACAATCTCTGGAGAAACGGACGGCATCTTCGTCGATGAGAATTCGTACTTCAACTACCAGGGCATATCGACCAAGGAAATGCATACTGCACATCGAGGCGATGCTATCTACACTGCTGAAAACGATGTCCATTTTCCTCAGTTGACAGTCAGGGAGACATTAACTTTTTCTGCGCGTGCAAGATGTCAAGCAGAGCTGCCACAGGGTATTAGTCGCGAGCAGTACGTCAATTTGACCTTTGACTTCTTCCTGGACATCTGATTACTGACGGTATTCTTCTTAGGTACTGCGAACACCTTCGAGATGTTGTCATGGCCATGTATGGTATTAGCCATACCATCAATTCCAAGGTTGGCGACCAATACACAAGAGGTGTCTCAGGAGGAGAGCGCAAGCGTGTTACGATCGCCGAAGCAACACTGGCGAATGCACCGTTTCAGTGTTGGGACAAGTGAGTGAGATTTGGAAATCTGCAAGATGTTACAGCACAAAGGAAAGCTCACTAACAGCATCTCTAAGCTCGACCCGTGGCCTGGACTCGGCCAACGCCATTGAATTCTGCAAGACTTTGAGACTCCAATCTGAGATCTTTGGCCAGACGTGCGCTGTATCCATGTACCAAGCACCACAAAGTGCGTACGATCTTTTCGACAAAGCCATGATCATCTACGAGGGACACCAGATCTACTTTGGTCCTGCATCTAAGGCTAAAGACTACTTCATCAATCTTGGATTCATATGTCCCACACGTCAAACTACGCCTGACTTCCTTACGTCCATGACTTTCCCAGCTGAACGTATCCATGACCCAGAAACCAACCCCCCCAGAACTTCGGACGAATTTGCGATTGCCTGGAAGACCAGCCCTGAATACCGCGCACTACAGACAGAAATCGACACATACAAAATGCAGCACCCTATTGGAGGCCCAGACGCCGTGACGTTTCGAAAACTCAAGAAGGCTTTCCAGGCAAAGGGACAACGTGTTAGCTCGCCGTACACCCTTACCTACGCCCAGCAAGTCCGGCTTTGTACTTGGCGCGGATTTCGAAGACTAAAAGCGGACCCTTGGCAGACTGTCGGCATGATGATTGGCAACACGATGTTGGCTCTAATTCTATCATCTTTGTTCTACAACTTGGGCACGACTACGAGCTCATTCTACGGCCGATCTGTTATCCTCTTCATAGCTATCTTGTTCAACGCTTTCGCTTCTATTATCGAAATACTGACTCTGTATGCCCAAAGACCTATTGTGGAGAAGCATGCACGCTATGCTTTTCACCATCCGTCAGCTGAAAGTTACGCCTCTGTTTTGGTTGATCTACCTTCGAAGATCCTCAACATCGTCTCATTCAATCTCGTCTTCTACTTCATGTCTAATCTTAACCGTGAGCCCGGTAACTTCTTTTTTTACCTTCTTGTGGTATTCCTCCTCGTCATGGCTATGTCTGGTATCTTCAGATTCATGTAAGCTGTCCAATCCATCACAAAGGTGCAAAGAAAAGAATTGACATCTCAGTGCCTCCTTTTCACGGACAGAGCAGCAAGCCATGATTCCAGCTTCTATCATGATGCTTGCTCTGCTTATCTTTACAGGATTCATCATCCCAGTCGATTACATGCTTGGCTGGTGCCGTTGGATCAACTTTCTCAGCCCAGTTGGATACGGATATGAAGCACTCATGGTCAACGAGTTTCATGGCCGTGAATTTCATTGTTCCGGCTACATACCTGACTACGCAACTGTCAATATGGATAATATAGCTTGTAACGCTGTCGGGGCACTTGCCGGACAGTCTTTCGTCAACGGAGACCATTACATAAACTCTGCATATAGCTACTATCATAGCCATAAATGGCGCAACGTCGCGATCATCCTTGCCATGGCAATCATCAATCATCTCGCCTACTTCATCTCCAGCGAGTACGTTACAGCAAAGAAGTCTAAGGGCGAGGTCCTCGTGTTCCGGCGAGGCTTCCTTCCAGACTCCGCCAAGCCTGGCTCTGACGTCGAGAAAGCGCTCTCCATTCCTGTTGCAGTCGCAGAGAAGTCCAAGTCTTCCTTCTCGATCAATGAGAGATCCTTCCAGAATTTCAAAAGTGTCTTCCATTGGCGCAATGTTTGTTACGACATCAAGATCAAAGGCAAATCTAGGCGCATCTTGGATCACGTTGACGGTTGGGTCAAACCAGGTACCCTCACCGCCTTGATGGGTGTCTCCGGAGCTGGTAAAACGACTCTTCTTGATTGTTTGGCTAATCGTCGGACGGGGGTGGGCATCATTACTGGAGAGATGTTAGTCAATGGGATGGTTCGTGACGAGAGTTTTCAGCGCAAGACTGGCTATGCCATGCAGCAAGATATTCATCTTGAGACTAGCACCGTTCGAGAGGTAAGTCTCCGTTGTACTCTAATTAAACCAAATCGAATCCTTGTCTTCCTTCCCAGATTCTGGCTGACTGTACATCCCAGGCTTTGAGATTCTCAGCTCTCCTTCGTCAATCGTCTAGTATTCCCAAGAAAGAGAAGTTGGCTTACGTAGATGAAATTATTCAACTACTGGGCATGGAAGACTACGGCGATGCAGTTATTGGTGTCTTGGGTGAAGGGTTGAACGTGGAACAGCGCAAACGATTGACTATTGGTGTTGAATTGGTTGCAAAGCCACCTCTCCTGCTCTTCGCCGATGAGCCTACTTCTGGTCTTGACTCTCAAACAAGCTGGGCTATACTAGACCTGTTACAAAAGCTATCCAAAGCCGGCCAGTCTATCCTCTGCACCATACATCAGCCCTCTGCCATGTTATTCCAAAGATTCGACCGCCTTCTTCTGCTTGCCGAAGGAGGCCGTACAGTTTACTTCGGTTAGTACATTTCTACTTATCATCGCTCATGCTATATTCCCTCCCCATCCTGATAATTGCAGTTGAGTCTGAGCAACACTAATTTATTTCGCATTACCATAGGCGATATCGGCACAAACTCCCATATTCTCACAAACTACTTCGAGCGAAATGGAGCGCCACCATGTCCAATCAGCGCCAACCCGGCGGAGTGGATGCTCGAGGCAATTGGTGCTGCCCCTGGTTGTTGCTCCGACAATGACTGGCACGAAATATGGCGATCAAGCCCTGAGTACCAGATCGTTCAGCATGAGTTAGCGAATCTCGAGAACCCAAGCACACATAGGCCATTCGATCAGATACACGACCGTAATTCGTATGACGAGTTTGCAGCACCACTTTGGCAACAGTTCCTGCTTGTTACACAACGTGTATTTCAGCAGTCTTGGCGCAACCCTTCTTACATCTACTCCAAGCTCATCCTTTGCATCTCGAGCAGCTTGTTCATCGGTCTGGTCTTTCTCAATGCTCCTCTGACCATCCAGGGCCTCCAAAATCAGATGTTTTCTATCTTCGAAATTAGCAGTATCTTCGGCCAATTAGTCGACCAGCAGATGCCACACTTCGTTACCCAACGCTCATTATACGAAGTCCGAGAACGGCCATCCAAAACCTATTCATGGAAGATTTTTATGCTCAGCGAGATTATTTCAGAAATTCCTTGGAACACTCTTGCCTCGGTCTTCATGTGGGCGCTGTTTTACTATCCCGTCGGATTCTACAAGAACGCCGAGGATGCAGGACAAGCTATAGAACGAGGAGGTTTGATGTGGCTCCTATTCTGGCAGTTCCTCTTGTTCATGTCTACATTTGCACACATGTGCATTTCCTTCGCTGATACGGCTGATGAAGGTGGCAACGTTGCCAACTTTCTGTTCGTCCTCATCTTCTTCTTCTGTGGTGTCTTGGCGACGCCTGATTCCATGCCTCGATTCTGGATCTTTCTGTACCGAGCTTCGCCACTGTCGTATTGGGTCTCTGCTGTGCTCTCAACAGGTATAGCTAACGTTGAGGTGACGTGCGCAAGCAACGAATATACCATCGTCAATCCACCAAACGGTCAGACATGCGGCGACTATATGGCAGATTACATTTCCAGGGCTGGTGGTTATCTCCTGAACCCTGAGGCAATGATTGACTGTAGCTATTGCAAGATCAAGGAAACGAATCAGTTCTTGTCGGCTATCGGCTCTGATTATGGAGATAGGGTAAGTGGACACTTCTTTGCCATACATCCTCGCCAGTTGTTGATAATACTAATTTTCCTATAGTGGCGAAATTTTGGTATCATGTGGGCTTTTATTTTGTTCAATATCGTGGCGGCATTGTCTTTGTACTGGCTAGTGAGGGTGCCCAAGGGAAAGAAGAAAAAGCTTTGAGGTAGGGACTGAGGACTTGGGATAGCGATGACCTTGAGAACTTTTTCGTTACGTACCTGTAATTCTATCATTGTCTCCTGAATCTCCACTCTTGGCGAAATTTAAATTTAAGACTGAACTATTTATAGCCTGCGAAAGTCCCTTGGAAGAGTTGGAAAGCTAGAGTCTTAGCTTTGTCCACGGAAACAACATGAGTTTTACGAGCGCAAGTCGCCTATGATAAATAGTTCAAAGGAAAAGCAGTTATCTTATTGTGCTCTACATTTCCTTTCATGAGAATAAGAACTGAATTGTGCCCCAAGTGCTAGTGTGCCTCCTTAGCTTCATGGTTTATTAGTGCTCCCCTTCTCATAGTTAAAATTAGACGGTGATTCATATTCTCGAGTACTAGTGTACCATCGATTAGTGTGCCATCATAACTTGTTGACTGCTCCTATAAAATGTCCCTCAATTGTACTACCTCCACTTTCCTTCTGTCTCGAACAACATGTCTCAACAGACCTCCCCCTCTCCAACAGCGATGTGTTCATATTTAATGAGCAGCAGTACTATTAGTACACTCAAGACGCCACTCTTATTCCTTTTCTGCTTTTCTTGGTCAATTGCGATCACCATGAATAGCGCCCTCGCCGCCAAAGTCGCAACAGGAGTATGCGCTTCCCTCAGTCTGTGGATCATCGGCTTCATCACTTTCTGCTTCTTCTACTGCAGTTATGAAAAGAAATACAGAATCGCAAGTCCTTCTGCACCTGGCCCTCCCCCATCAAGCATGCGCCCGAAGAAGAGAAACAAGGGGAACAGGAACAAGCGCAAGAAGCCAACACAGCCCCCACCAAACGCCATCAAATCCGTTGAGTCTGATGAGAAGCCTTTCCCATTCTTGAAGCTACCAGCTGGTACGTAAATAACCACGTTTGATAAGGCGCAACTAACGTCTACAGAAATTCGTCTTAAGATCTACGAATTATGCTACGCCCGTCCACTCTGCATTGTCCCAGGTATAAACTTCTACAAGCGTCGACCTCGTAAGGAGCGCGATGGCTACACGGGGGGTTGGATCAAGTACTCCGCTTTTCAATACCGCTGGGCTGGATATCCGCAAGTGTTGCCAAGCTGGGGAGGGAGGGACTGTCCGACCCGAGACGGTAGCGCTGAACAATTGTATCGGTCCTGGATATCCGGCCCTACCCCAGAGCAACGCCAACTTGTTGCCGAAGGAAAAGACTTGCCACCTACAGGTTCAATTTGACATACACTAGATCAGGCTGCTTATCTGTGGGATAATACGATCAAGATCAGTAATATCGAAACATTCTACATCTGTGGTCTCTTCGGCATAAAGCTCCTACGAACATGCAAGCAGCTCCGAGAAGAAGGTGCCGCGGTCCTTTATGGATCCAACACCTTCGATTTCTCCACGCAGCACGCGCCAGGCCAACCCATACTCTACGACGAGCCCCATCGGATCCCTGGATATCTTACGGAAGATGGAGAATACCCCACGAGCGAGCAAATCTTGCAAAGTATCGAAAACCTCTTTGTCAACGACCAAACGCAGTTCAAACAACCAAAATTCCTTTGGCGGGACCCGCTCACTAAATTTATGACAAAGACCGGTCGATACAATGCAGGGCTCATCAAGTCCATCAGGCTCAATGGTACCTTCAAAGACGGCACGTATTATGAATGCCCTCTAGCACAGACTCTTCCGATGTATGCCTTGATATTGCAGCATGCATGCCAAAGTCTGAGGAAGGTTACCTTACAGGCGCATCTGAGAAGGGAACCCTGGCCACACCGGGCAGATTACAATGAAGGGGAGCCTGATAAAGAAATCATTGACGACATTGTGGGCAGGTTCGTTGAAAGTTTGCCGCAATTAAGTCAACTGTGCCTAGGATTCCGTGGAGACTTTCACGGTGATGAGATGTCGCCTACTGACAAGGAGAAGGAGAAGGACGAGAGCGTGTTCGGAGAGGCTTTGCGTTGGGTCGACATTGTGAAAAAGCGCGCAGGGAATGAGACTATCACTTTTCCCGATGCAGCCCGCCGCGGCGGCGACTACGAGCTATACTTGGAGCCGAAGGGAAGTGGTAGCGAAGCGGGGATTTCTGAGGTCTTCGAAGCTGGAGGAGAACACTCATCTTGAGATCTGCTGGAGATATTTGGCGAGGCTGGGCTTGGCATAGATTGGTATTGAAACGAGCGTGGCATCTGAGTAATGGTGGGGAGTGGTTTTGGAAATGACGTCGGCATCACTTCTGGAAGTAAACATTGCAGCAAAGACAGCCCCAAGGATAATGCAAAACATCTCACATACTCAGAACCTATGATAAAGCAGAACAAATAAATCTTCATTTCAGAGTCATCTACTCCGAGCCTGATCAAACCGTTGCCATGACCATGGTTGCGCCGAAAGTGAATAAATTAACTCCTTCGCTTGCAACAGCCTATATAGCGCAAAACAAGCAAAATTTCCCTCGCCGAAAGGCACCTGACCAAGTAAGTTCCCTCGCTTCTAAAAAAATACCTTTAAGTTATTAACTAAAAAATAATCAGCTTCAGCAACCCAGCACTCTTTGATAAAAAAAAATTAGAAAAAAGGAGAATCGACAGGGTGTTTTAAAAAAAAGTGCTCATTGACGCCATGAGTAGCAAGTCCTATTTGGCAATCCTTCTCTTTCCGGCGGTGCAGCTTTCGACAATCGTATACGGAAACCTATTCAATTAGGTTTGTATCACCAACCCACATTACGAAGTGGCTTGGTCGAGAGTTTTTGTTTTGCTACTTGGCTTGTTCAATATTTTCGAGGATTTCTTTTTAATGCACATAAATTTAAGCTTTTCTTTGGCACAGCTTCTAGGCCTTAATAAATATTGACCACTTACAGAATTTGGTCTTGGTCAGATTGTTTTCGACAATGGCTTGCATTGCGTTTCCTTGATTCTGATTTTGATTTTGTATCAAACTGCCCTCGCAGTCTTTATGGGACAAGCTAGCTGCTATTTGGAAGATCCACTCCACTCCAATCCAGCATCAGCCTGAGGTAATAAGTAGGGACCCATATCTTCAAAGGCTAAACATCTTCCCAAACTGTAGAGCAACGGCATAACTCATAACCCATCTATCTATTGGGATTCTGAAGATAGTGAATTGATGTGCAAGAGAGGAGATTGCCGGCTATGTGGGAGGATCGCCATTCCAGCACGCTTTGGAGTCTACTGATAAGTTAATGGAATGCTGATCAGCTTCTGTGTTGAGTGCCATGAGTCTCTAGAGCTTGCTTTTGATGCATTTCACGGAATTCCAACATGAATTTATTGTAGATTCCTCTGGAAATAGAGCGAGGAAAAGAGGAGTACGACCTTTCTGAAAATATTCATCTCCACTCCATTCGAGTTCCAATTCATGCCCTTGATAGTATCTTCCTCGACCACAAATTTCAGCAACCACGGACCGGGACCTGTTGACGGATATCGCCCGATTTCGGCGTTCTCGTCCTGCATGAGCAGCAACGTAAAGATATCATTATGGTAGTGTCTCAAAGCGTGAACATATTCTCGATCGCTCTGAAATGCCATCCTTAGCTCATCAGCCTCGAGGTAAACTTCCAGATACCAGTTTCCAAAATTGTTCCAATACTTTCCGACATATCTCCCCAACGGTTTCGGTGTTGTCCCCGGCTTTTGACCCTTTTCAAGGGATGAATGCAATTCTTTCCACATATCCACGTTTTTTTTAGCTGCAATTATAGACAAATCCTCAAAGTCGTTCTTGTCTGGGCTATCGAGGAGAGTATCGAGAAGCATACAGGCTATCCAGTTGGAAGCGTCGCAATTGGCCATCGTATTCGTGAGGACTATGATGGCAGAGTGCGCTTCTGGCACCAGAATTATCCAGTTCTGCGATGCCGTGGAATTGCCATCATGATAGAGCACAGTGGTGGAATTTGTCCCTCTTGCTATGATGGGCATTGACAAAATGAGCCTTTTGTTCTCTCCCGAAGCACCGACTTGGTTCGGCAGCTGCGATCGATGCCACCCAAAGCCATAAGATCGATTGAGAAGGGTTGGATTGCCAGTGGGAGTGTGTGCACTGAAGACAGTTTGTATCTGCTTAAACAAGGAGTCCTTCATCACGGTAGTTCCGCCGCTGAACTGATCTGCTGCTGCATGCAACAAAACGCCATAGATAGTTAGAAGGTCTTTGACACAACTATTCACACCCATGGCACCAAACATGATCTTGTCATCCCCCGCAAATGGCCTTTCGATGCGGGTTGTTGATCCATCAGAGAGAGCCACGTAACCTTCTGATATGTTCTCTTCGCCGCCTTCGCCTTCTGGATGGACGACACTCATCCTTGTCATGCCCAGGGGTTTCAAGGACCTTTGATCCAGGAAGCGCCCGAGGGCCAAACCGCTCACCTTTTCAACCATGGCGGCAATCACAGCGTAATTCTAGTTATTGTACCGGTACTTTTCGCGTATACCGGCGGTAATTGGTAGAGCCGAGAACGTCGGAAGGGTCGGATTTCTATCAAGGTAAAACTTCCTAGAATCCTGCATCCAAAGCGTGTTGTACTCGGAAACTCCTGCACGTTGCGTCAGCAAGTCCACGAGAGTCGCCTCTTCTCGACAGCAGCATCTAGCTGTCTGAAATCGGGCAGCATGCTCTTCAAGGTCGTGTCCTAACCTAATACACTGTTTTCCTTAACCAGAACTCCAACTGTGGACGCGGTCATGGCGTTTGTGAGCAAAAAAAAAGAGACCACCGTTTCCTCATCCATCTTGAGTTCGGGGTCGACATCCCTGAAGCCATAGCCAGCAGTGTGAATGACTTTGCCATGGTGCAGCACACCGATAGCAGCCCCAGCAGACCCGCTCGCCGAAAGGACGCGTGAGATGGAAGGGCCCAAAGCTTGGAAACGTTCGATTAGAGTTGCCATGGCGGCGAAGCTATTGAGCACGACCTGGAGTTTATTTCATTTTCACTTCAAAACGGAAGATAATCAAGACGTAATTATTGGCGGAGGGGACTAAGAATTGCAACGCTAGCGATGAGGCATTTTGTTAGTTAAGGCGTGTCGCGTCCAAGACAGCGTAGCTTTCAGCTCCCTTACTTGCCACGCCAGCGCTATTGCATTGGCACTGCAGTGTGAGTTCCGGAGGTCCGCTGTCTGAACGATAAGGGGTCGCGTACTTTGGCTCCAGCTCTAACGGCACGCCTATACCAGAATTGCCAAGAAAATTGGGACGAAGGGATGTAGTCCGCAAAAACGCGAGAAGGAAATCGGTAGAATCCTTTAATAGAGTTGGTTCGAGTTAATTGGGATAGAGTAATGAAATAACCGTTTACAAATTGTTAGCACATTGAGATATCAAATCCTATTGATTTTGCTTATGGGAACCTCAACGCTTTCTGATTTATCTCGAAAGATGACGACGTAGTGTAGTCTCGATCCGTTGCGCCAAAAATATTATAATTAGCTAAACTAGGCAGTAGCAAAGTTGTAGCAATGAAATAGCCCTAATCCTTCCCGGACGTATAGTGTTTGCTATTACTTTTAGTTATTAGAGTAGGGCAAGAAACGAGGGCATAATTTAGAGATTGAAGCCGAGAGAAATTGAGGCAGTGAGGCTAGTATCTAGTTAAGGAAAGAGCCGCGCATGCGTATAGTGGAAAGTTTTGGAAGTAATCGAGATATTTGTCGAGGAAAAAAGGAGGGATTTTATAGACGTCGTTAAAAGTAGCGGCTCGGTAAGCGAGGCGCCATACTGTCCCCGAAGCAAGTGAGCTAAACTCCAAGAGGCAGCGCACTTGAACGTACCTACCTAGTTTACGATAAAAGTCGGTATCCGATAAATCGGGTGTAACGAATACTTATACAAACTAGACAAATAATCGATATGCAAAGTATATTCAATGATGGTAAGAGTGAGGGAGTGAGTCAGTCCAGCCTAGGCGGCCGACACATTGAATTACCCATAGCAACTAACTACGCAATTGGTGCATAAAAGCTAAACTTGCCACTGGGATCGAATTCCTCCTTCAATGATTGTAAACGTTCCTGGCGCCAAGCTTCAGCGCCGTACCACGCTGTCGCCGTCTCATCACCATAAGCATAGTTGACATAGGTATTCAAAGTAGTCTCTCCACTACCCTCGTAAAGGATCTGGCGAATCTGGTTGCCAAGCTTGTACGCGACCTCGTCGGATGCCAGGCCGGTAGATGCGTAGGTGAGGAGAGGGGCGACGAGAAGATTGTCTGCTCGGTAAGCAAAAGCCGATGCGTCGTCGCCGAGGGCTTTGACGCCTTGTTGGGAGTAACCCTCGAACATGAAGAGTGCGTTACTGAAAGGAGTGGATGCATTTGTTGTAGCTTGTTTAAAAAGCTCGTAGACAAGTGCTTGGGCGGTGCTGTTGTAAGACTTGAGATAGATGGGGAAGCGCGGGTTGGCGTTTCCTGTCTTGCTGCAGGGTCCAGAGTCAAGAGCAATGCCGGTCCATGCGGCTAAGTCAAGGTATGTTCCATTCAAGGAAGAGTTACTGATGGGCCCAATGTCGAGGAACGGCTGGGTGTAAGCCACATCGACGGCTTCGACTCCTTCTTGGATGAGGTAAAATGCGATAACTGGCTGCGAAACGAGTTTAGACTACAAAAACTCATTCTTGGAGTCTGCACTTACTTTGTCTGCATCAGTGGTAGGATCGTAGTACCAATACGACCAGTTGATGAGATCGACGGGCATGGTCTTGTTGTTGGTAAGCCACTGCTCATTAGCAACCTCGTAGACAGCCTCGACTTGATCGCCGCCGAAGATGAGTGTTTCCATGGCATAGTTGGGGTACACAAGATCATAAATCTTTGAGGTCACTGGCTAACGGTCAACATCAATCCCAAGAAGATTGGGGGTAGACTGACTGGAAGTTACGATTCCGAAATTCTGCCCGGCCCCCTTCATGCCCCAGAAGAGTTCAGAATTTTCGTCGACAGTGATCAAGCTGCCACTGGCGAGAACAACATTCCATGAGACGAATTGGTCTGAGACGAGTCCATGGTGACCTTGGAGCCATCCGTGACCGCCTCCAAGGCCAGGACCAAGGTAGCTCACACATTCACAAGTTCCAGTAACTGTTATTCAAAGTTAGTTAATGAGCTTGTGTAGAACAAGTATTGTGAAAGGGAATTTATCAATGCTTACCTGTTTGTTTTCCTGCCGCCCAAAGCGCATCAGTGAGGTTTCTGGAGATGACACCTCCGCCAATGGTGGCTGTCGTTCCATCTGCGGAAACTGTAACACTGCTTAACTGGCTCAAATGAATCTCGATGCCCTCAGTCATCCTCCCAAGGGTAGTAATTGAGCCGTGATATCCATTGGTCGTTAGGAAAGGCAACGAGCACCAGTTTGCAAATTTGACCTGATGGGAAGAACATAAGCAAAGTCTTATGGGAGACCAAACACTGGGAAGGAAACTTACAGTCTCGACAACGTCCTGTTCGGTTCTTGGAACCACCACCACGTTTGCGACAGGGGTGCTCAGGTTGGACCAGCGCTCCGTAATGGCTTCGAAGAGGTTAGAGCTGGGCAATATAATCTGTGCAGTGCTAGACAGCTTCTGCGCCAGAATGGTATAGTTCACAGCACCGCTTGAGCAGACGTCAACGTCGTCGTGTGAGTAAGCGTCAAAGTCCTCGTTAATGGGAGCAAGAGCCTCACAAGCGACTGCTCCCGCCCATGCCAAGATAGCCGCAAGATGGAACAGATGATGCATCAGTGCGGTGGACAAAAGTAAAATAAATGAATGGCTGGGTGATAATTACCCTGTTTAACGAGCGTGAGATGCTGGAAGACTGGGAAGCACTGATCAGGGCGACTTACAGTTCATATACTATGTCTTTGATCTTTGCAAGTACGGAAGCGGAATTGCTATGGACCATGTGGTACCCTTACTTGACATTACAAAGAACGAGTGTAATTAATTGCTGTTATGGCCCCTCCTTCCGCTGGGATAGATCAGTCGATTTAGGTAACCCCGAGCGGGGTCAATATTCTTGACTCGTGTTGAGGCTTTTCACTCCTGCACCCTGACTCCTGACAGGGGCAGCTCGGACGAAAGAGCTTGATCTGGCAACTCCGGAGGACCAACCCGAATCAGAATTCATCTCGCTCGGCAACTGCCCCGGCTTGCCGAGTCTGTCCTTACATAAACTGATACAAAACAAACTATTAACCTTAAAAATATATTACGCTTCTTGGGGGATGTTCTGACAATTACGACCGCTTCGAAGCGTGGTGATTGATTAGTGGAGGCAAAAAGCAAAGTCTCCCGCAATTTGATGGAGATCAAATCTCAAGCAGTAGCACATCTCGTCGTCAATCTTGGGACGGAGATGGCCCCCTACGGCGCAGTTTTCACTTGCATGAAGCGTTAGCCATGGCATCGGATCACGAACTGCATCGGAAGTTGTCCTGTCTGGTGAAAACACCCGCCACAACCTTGAGCAATGAGCAATGAGGCCACAATTCCCGCAACGAACTCACGTCAACTGACATAATACTGGGATAGGAGGGCATAGGAGTTCGCAAGAGAAAGCTCTTTCGGTAATGCCCGCAGGATTTGCCCCGCTCCGTTTCCATCCCACTTTCTACGAACTCTCGCATTGGAACAAAAGGCAATTAAGGTTTGTCGCTTAACTCAAGAGTGAAACCCTTGCCAAGCCCAGGTGCTCGGAGTAATGATGATACCATCCTGGTCACAGGTACGGAGTGCTACGGTTCATGCAAGGGATTGGGCTAGCAGAAGCTTTGGTTTATGCCCGACAACGTTTTGCCGTCGAAGAAACTGTGCCGCTTAGCACGCTTTTGACCTCCGCTTTCGAAGGATTCGCAATCTACGATATCTCTTCAGAGAATATGCCAACAAATAACTGGAATAGCCAATGAGGAAAAGCGAGAGGGGCACACAACGCCATACTCACAAAAATAATAGAAGAGTTCGATGACCCTAAACTGCCGAAGATTCCGAAAGGTAACAAGAAAACCCCCTGCAAAGAGTTTCATATCTCCCACAAACGTTTGTGATGCCTTGCAGACAGAACCTGCATTTTTGAGTTTTCTAGAAGATAAACAGGGAGTTCTGCCCGACAACTATAGCCCATGATAAGTGTTTATTCAATTGAAAGTTCATAGGGGACGGACGGAAGTCCTGGTTTGGTTGCTGTATCCGTCTCGGGATTTGGACAAAGCTAAGAACCTTCGACTGTACTTTCTACAAATCAGCCCTATCCTCCAACGTTTCTTTTGCTAAGCTTGGGATCGACTTTTTGGCCTGCCAGTGATCGCAATGTCTGAGTCCGCTGCTGCAATTGCAGCCGCAACGATTGCCTTCAATACGGAGTTATGGACACTTTATTCGTTCGGAGTTCTCATTACGGTCTTCCGGACCTTTGCTCGAGTGAAGATGGTGGGGTTGAAAGGACTTCGAGCAGACGACTTTATGGTTTGGGTTGCCATTGTACGTCTTGCTGACTGCTAGAATCTCGTCTCAGCTTCCACTGCTAACGCAGGTCCTGTTTCTCAGTTAATTTACACGGCGCAATCGACTTTGGCGTACACAGCTGTCAACCACGGACAAGGCCTTGCTAACAATGGAATGACGGACGCTGAACGGGCTGAACTGTCCCCCGACTCTACCGAATACCATCTGAGGTACGTTATGGAAGAAAAAGAACAGCACAACAAAAGCTGACGAGCCCCTTCTTATATAGAGTATTTGGCTCGAAGATCCAGATCGTCGGGTGGACCACTTATGTCTGCTTGATCTGCACGCTCAAAATGGCAGTGCTCGTCTTTTACATTAGACTAATGGTATGTGAGGACGACGCCGATCTCCAATCCACCGAATACTGACTTGTGAAATTAACAGGAGGGTCTCAGTAATTATTGGCGCATTCGCATCTGGATTGGATTTGGGCTCGTCGGTGCGACCTTTATGGCATCATTCATAACAATCTACGCAGGATGCCAACCGTTCTCCAAATACTGGCAGATCAATCCAGACCCAGGCAGTAGGTTTTCTGACCTTTCTGTTGCCTCAATTGTCGCTGACACTCTTCCTTCTAGACGCCTGTCAGGGAGCTGTGGCTCGTCCCATCGTCTGGGTTACATTCGCTTCTAGTGTGATCACCGACATCTACCTGATTATGGTTCCGCTTCCTATGCTTTGGGGAACAAGCTTGCGACTTGTGAAGAAGCTCGCCGCCACTTTCGTGCTCGGTGCAGGTGTATTTGTCCTTGTCTGCTCACTTCTCAAAACTGTCTTCGTTATAGTAGTAAGTCCTCATGATTCTATCGGATACCCTCATTCGTTTATACCATTTGGGAACACGTTGTCTAACTTTTGCCAATCAACAGGATCCCGTCCACGGTGCACAACTCGCAGGTGAATGGGGTACTCGAGAAGCATTCGTCTCAGTAGTCACCACCAACCTCCCGATGATATTCCCTCTCCTCAAGACATGGTTAAAGCCACTATTCGGCAGCGCGCTCTCTTCCGAACGCACAAACACTAAACATCCATCTGGCTTTCGAACAATCGGTGATGGTGGTGGTGGAAGCTCAGGACCTGGTCGAAGTAGGAAACCGACGCACGTCACCGATAACTTATCTTTCAGTGAGAGCGAGGAACGGATTGTCGGCGATATCAAGATGAATAATTTGGAGGTTTATGCTGGGCCGGCTGCGCCTGATCGTCGACCATCGAAGGGAATCATGGTCTCCAACGAATTCAAGATGGTGGAGGATGAAGCAAGTCAACACGGGGATCACAATGCGAAGATTGTTCAGGATACGTGGTAACAATGGAACTGAAGAAAGAAAACTTGTTGATAACTTAGCTAGAATATTTGAAAATGACGATAGATACTTAGCAGCCCGATCGATGGCTAGTGTCTAAAAGACGAGGTTGCTATGTTGTGGTCTGATTTTGGGTCTTTCCTGGAGTTTACATATTTTTTCGTCAAACCAGTGATATTGAATTTACCAGATGAAAGTTTTGTTGCGTTTGAATCTTCACGGAAATTGTTCACTTGAATTTGAGACAGTTGTGAGTAGTATTGTATTGTGTGTGTACGGCAAGAATTAGATGGCTTCTGATAGGGGAATGATAGAAATCCGTTTTGCGTCTGAAAAAGCAGAGAATTCACGATATTCTATCTGAAAGCTCCTCAAGAGTGGGCATTTCACCGCTAACCCCTGATCCTGACCCCTTTTGACTCGCTTAAAGTTTGAGCTTAGTCTTAATCGAGCTTAGACAGAGTATCCTTCCAAGCCGGTGGTTTTATTGGCCAAAATTACGATAAGCGAGCATCAGCACTTAACACAACCTCAAGCATCGCAACACGGTCTTGACTCAGATATCTCCACCAGCATCCAACTCCTACTCATGAATCCCCAGGCATGGTAGAAGTACAGTACCCGAGAGTGCGGGCGAGTAAGCCTAAGACCAGAACAGGTTGTGCCACATGTAAGTCCATAAATGCCCCTTCCCGTGACATGCTGACAATTCCAGGCAAGTGAGTAGTCGCCCCGACACGATGTCAGATTTCCATCTCATTGAAGTAGGACTCGCCGTGTCAAATGCGACGAAGCTAAACCTCACTGCAACCGCTGTCGAAAGTTCGGAGTAGAGTGCGACGGCTACCCTAGCCTCGCACCGAAAACAAGAACCAAAAAGGCACTGATTGTTCCTAAGCAAGACCAAGTGCTGATGCCCAGACCGCCTGCACTTACGAGACTTCTACCCTCAGCTAGTGCGGGTTATCAAAGTGAGATCGAGTATCTCTGTTTCAAGACCTTCCAGGAGCGGGCTGCGACCGAGCTTTCTGGCTATTTTGATACGAATATTTGGCGTCGGACGATTCTTCAAGTTTGCCATGAAGAAGAATTCGCGAGACATGCTGTGGTTGCTATTGGTGCTCTACATACGACGATGGAGTTAGTGCAGAGTAATGTCTATTCATCGCCGTCGTCGGAAGTCTTGAATAGTCTTGGCACAACGCATCACCGGGTAGCTCTGCTGCATTATGATAGAGCTTTGAAGCTGATGGGAGAACTAACATTGAGAGACGAGGAATCAGCCCTGCGTTGTGTTCTCTTATCTTGTCTTCTGACAACATGTTTTGAGAATTACATTGGGAATCAGGACAATGCTCTCGCAGCCGCTCAAAAAGGGGTCGACGTTCTCACAGAATGTCTAACGACTATTGAATGGTGTAAGCCTGTCGAAGATCTAAAGCGTATCCAAACACGAATCCTGGACGACAGCGACAATGACCTCCTCTCCACATTCGCACGTCTTGAAGCATCCATTATCATGTTCGACCACAATCGTCGCAGTCCAAGAAAGCTGGAACCGCTGCGACTTCAGAACTTCCCTCCATTTCCAGACTTCCCTGACCACTTCAAAGACGTCCGAGAAGCGAGGATGTATACTGACGTCCTAGCCAGAAAAGCGCTGATCTGGAGAGACGCAAACCTCCAAAAATGGAACTACTCGAATCTAGATTTCGGAACGGTCGATACCGAAGACAAGAGTTGGAGGATAGAGCAATTCTCTAGACGTGCGCAAAGAGAGTTTCAGCATTGCGTCAAATGTAAAGGGCAATGGGTAAAAGCTTTCATTCCTTTTTATGAAGCTACCAGAAGTTTTCCAGGCAGTAAGGAATACCTCGGGGCTTCAATCCTCATGATTCAATATGTGTCGACGAATCTCATGACACATTTACCTGGACAGAATCTCGAGACATATTACGACAGATTCCGGGAAGATATGGGTACCCTCGTTGACCTATCTCGTGAACTTCTAGAGAGCTACCCTGTGACGACCTCAAGGAAAGCAGTATATACGTTCGACGATGCAGTCGTGATGGGACTTTTTCTAGTCGCTACTCGGTCTCGAGATGGAAATCTGAGAAGACAAGCGATTCATTTGCTAGTCAAGTATCCTCGGCGTGAAGGACTTTGGGATGGCACCATGGCATCAACGGTGGCGTCTTGGCTTATGAACCAAGAAGAGAAAGGAATAAAAGTTGGTGACTTTGTGCCCGAAGCTGCACGGTTGAGGATTGTTATGTTGAATCCGAAGTTCGCGGAGAGGTATGTAACTGTACGATGCTCGGAGCTCTTGGATGGATCCAGCGAACGGATAGAAATGCCTGATGTGGTTTTGACATGGTGAAATGGGTCATTAATATAACGCGTCAGATAGGCTATTGTATAAAACAGCAAACTATCCTATTCACAAGAACTAGGCGTCAAACTGTATGTCAAGTTCCTTCTGGTGAGGTGGAGGCGCCATGATGAACGCGCTGGGCTCGCTAAATGCGCTGAGTGCGCTGGCTGCGCTGGCTGCGCTGACAGTTACCCCGCACCTGTACTTACCCCGCAGTATCATACAAATCAAGAATAAATCAAAGGAAAGAGGAAGCATCGAAGTCACATCGCTAGGCCAAACAGAGTCAGCTTGATCCATAGCCATCTAGTGATGATTTGAATCAGTTACTGTTACAAGGTTCTTGAGTAACGGGGAAGAAGCTTGGCACGAGCGGGAAACGCATACAAAGAGGGAGAGAGGGTAGATGGGTGGAACAGTATAATGGCAGAAGAGCGTAGTGTTGATTAGTCAGTTAGGTGTATGATATGATAAACGTATTATTTTATGCAAAGCTGGCCATGCGCTGCGGACAAAACCAGCCCTTTTATCCTCTAATGTCCTTGGTCCAAGCGCCCATGCCTCTTCTTTGAAGCGCGTCGGGACGGGCCATCAAGATCTCTCTTCTTTGATTCGAAATTTCTCTGAATGTATTATTCAGAGAAATTTACTTTGGAAACAAAAGTTGACCGAACAAAGGCCTATATTATGTCTCACTAAAATACGCGAAGAGAGAGGAGGGAGCAATTGAAATGCTCTAAATACGCCGAAAACCCAATTCGACACGTACTGAACTTGACATCTTGACTGAAATTAATGTTTAGATACCGATGACTCGAAAAGCTCATGTGCAATGCTCATAATGTCCATTTGAAAAACGGATATGATGAGGCGGCAACTCGGCCGAGTCATATGATTTGCCAGTAGCGCCATTCCAGCTTCCAATTGGGATTCTGACAGTATAAAATACCCCCCACAGCTGGTAACGGCAGAAATTCTTGTCTAGAAAGAACTATTCCCAGATATCTCATTAACTGCACTCCACTTCAGCTCCTCAATCTTCCTATCTCCGCTATGTCTACGCACTTAGCCACTCCGCGTACCGCGGGGGAGGATGATGGCTGGACATTGGTCTTATCCAAGAACCCCAAGAAAGCCCGCAAGGAACAAGATAAGAAGGAAGCAGACAAGAGAGCCAAGGCCGAAGAGATGAAGTCTATGAAGAAATTTGATGAGTTTGGAAAATTTCTTCAACTTCCGACAGGTACATCCTTTATTCCAGATTGCATCCTTTGTCTCCAACGAGTTGTCGAGACCAACTAACAAGATAGAAATCCGGCAAATGATTTTACGAAATTACCTCGTCAAACCTACAGGCATTGCGTTGAACCTTACTCTTCGAGATCCCGATGGTCGTTACGTACGAAGACTCCATTACGAGTTCGAGTCGAATGGAATTTCCACAAACCGCGGTTCGTCCGGGGTCGGCGAGGAAGTCAGTTGGACAACGACTGCAACAAAGGACCAGCTTAACAAGATCAAGAAGGGAGAGTGGGAGCAGCCATCTAAAGATGTTCATGAGCAGAGAAAGGCACTTGAGGCAGGGGAGACTCTTCAATGGGCGAATAGACGTGGACACGACCGCTATGACATCTTGAATAAACGAAACTGCAAGTACGGCGGTCTTGATGGCCTTGCTCTATTTCGAACTTCGAAGGCCGTATGCGCTGAGGCTTCAGAAATCTTCTATGGCGAGAACAGATTCATCATCAACACTGCTGGGGCTTATTCTGGTGAAGGTAGCTCATTACGTTTGCTTGCTCCTGGTGCCCCGCTTATCCCAGGTCTGGGAAATGGCAGTGGAACGATGTCTCGCACGCAGGAACAAAAGTTCTTGAAGATGGTCCTTGAGAAGAATGAGTGGGTCTCGGAGTTCATTTACAGGAACCCGTTCTGCTTCTTCGTGGGTACGATTGGTAGCGGCAATTGCGCCCATGTGAAGACTATCATGCTTGCGGGCCCTCTCAAGACTATTCGTGGCGGGTACACCGATCCTAACACCGGCAACATTGGCTTAGCTCGCACACTACCATATTACGCAGCCCTTCTTAAGCACCTCTGCTCCAACCTACGGAAGCTCACCATCCATATTCAGTATAGGCCTGGCCAACAACGTGAATACAGTTCATTGGGTGGTTGGGCTGGCTCTCAGTGGGATGACGACCTGAGAAATCGCCGAGGCCTCAATGACAACCAACGCATATGCAAGATGATCGGAAAGCTTGTGGTTGCATTGTCAAACTTGAGGGAATTGAGGTTGGGAGAATATGTCCTTGGTAGCAAGCAAGGTACAGGGAAGGTGAACTTCATGGCACCAGTACCAGATCGCGAGCCTGAAGAATCAGATAACGAGGAAGACAGCAATGACGCTACCGAAACAACTGTCAAGAACAGCAAGCAAAAGCCCGAGGAGTGGGAAGGTGGATTCTCTTCGGTGGATAAAGTGAGAGACAGAGAGCGGGAGAGGGTGAAGAACCGAGGTGCACTGCCTCTCGGAGCCAGCTTGCCATAATGATAACTTTATCTGGGTCGAGGGATATGGACGGATTAGACTGAGATCATGGACAAAGACGCTGAGTTCCTCTTTGATTTTCACTGCTTGCGAACAAAAAGAATAATTGCGGACAAGAAAGTTTACGCGACGAAATTTTTTTATATTCGCCACTCGTCCACGTGATGCACCTGCTATCTTGCTTGTGAAATAGCGTTCTTTTGATTTACAAGCCTCCAATAAAGAAGCATAAGCTATCTAGGTAAGTTTCATTTACACTTTAATCCTTAATCACAGAGCCCGATCAAGTTAGTTGACAAAGTCACGTGGCCCCCACCGCCTCACCGGGAGAATCAATCTTCACAGGACTATGGAGTAGGGAATGATTATCAAGTAAGATTGGCGAAGTATGTCTCTACCAGCCCGTCCCCAACTAAGCATTGCTGAATAACTGGCCTCTCCAACTCAATCCCTCCGTCCCCACGGATTTCACGGACTTGAAGCCCATTAAGCGAAAATTGATGGATTGTTCCCCCGAGTGTCTCTATTGATTTCAAATCCCCATCAGGAGGTACCTCGCTTATTTCATCGGAGTTAGCAACTACTCCCATATATATACATCTCTGTTCCATAGTAAAAATGTTTTGATCAGTATCAAACACTCTTCATTCAAATTCCAATTCTCTTCAACATTTAAATATCAAAGATGTCTTCCCAAATCAAGAATATCCTCATAATCGGCGCAGGAGGGAAACTCGGTCCCGTTATCCTGTCTACTTTCGCCAAAGACCCCCATTTCATCACTACAATCTTGTCTCGAGATTCTTCTACTTCGACCTTTCCTGCTGGTACCAAGGTCGTCAAGATCGCAGACGACTATCCTGAGCCTGAGCTCTTGAAGGCTTTCAAGGGCCAGGACGCCATTATTTCTACCATTGCGACCGCTTCGGCAAAACAGCAGGAAGTATTCATCGATGTCGCTATCAAGGCTGGTGTGAAGCGTTTCGTACCTTCGGATTTTGGGAGCGATGTTAGGAATGAGAAGGCTAGGGCTCTCTTGCCTTCGTTTCTTCAAGGGAAGTTTGACACCGTCGAGTATTTGAAGGGGAAGGAGGGGCAAGGACTTACTTGGACTTCGTTTGTGACTGGGCCGTTCTTTGACCTGTAAGTATCCTCTGATATACGTCCTTCTATTCGAGTGAAGACTGATGTCCGAAATAGGGCAATGAAGTTCGGATACCTAGGGATCGACATCAACGGCCACAAAGTCACACTTTATGACAACGGTACGACCACCTGGTCCACCACAACACTAGCCACAATCGGGCTTGCCGTCAAGAACGCAATGCTGGCCCCGGAGCAAACAGCCAACAAATACATGTTCATCGACTCCTTCACCGTGACACAGAAAGACGTCTTCGCCGCTTTCGAGAAAGCCACTGGCAAGAAGTGGGAAGTGACATGCGCGGACCTCGCGATCGATAAGAAGGAGGGTTTGGAGAAGATGGCTAAAGGTGATTTCACTGGTGCTGGGCAATTGATTCGTTATATCAACCTTGTTGGGGGACATGGTGGGAATTATATGGAGTATGAGGGTGGTGATAATGAGTTGCTTTCTTTGCCTAAGGAGAGCTTGGATGAGGTTGTTGCTAGATTTGTTTGAAGCGAGCAACGGGATGAAAGATACCATAGGTATGCGACACTTGTCCACAACATCTAGAAACAGCTTTTAGTGTTTATGCATTACTCCCCTCATCAAATTACATTTCCGGAACTTTTCTATTGTCTTGTATCAAGGTTTGGACTCATGAAACAGCAATGCAACGAGACATGATCTATGGGTATCAGAAGATACCAAAATGGAGTCAGTGACTTGCCAGATGCAACCGTCCACTATGTCTTCGCAGCCTTCTAATAGATGCCACGACAGTTGAAATCTCAAGTTCTCAATATGGCCCTTGCTACTTTTGAAGGAATAAGATGAGCTAGACCCGCACAGACCCACAAATCAATTCAAGCAAGTTATCACAAAATCACATGCAAGAAGAATGAGACAACATCTTGGATGATGCAAAGCCCTGCCATTTCACTTGGGTATCTTGTTCTATCTTCATTTCCCATAACTCATCACATCACAATTTCAGTCTTGCTGTCGCCAAAATGCGCTGCTCTGATCAGTCTTGGTACCGAGGTTCTGGAATCCAGCCAGGACATCTTTGTCGACATTGACAGCCCAATCTCTCTGGAATGCATCTTCACCACCACATACAGCGACGACTTGACTCAATCTCTCCTTAACAAAGTCGTAAGTATGGATTGTATGAACAGGGTCGCTCGCACTGTGTAGTCTCTTCCGAACGTCTTCAGGGCCTTCGTACTCGTTGCCTTCACTTGGCAGCCATATGAGGTTATCGCCTCCGTCGTCACGTCCTCCAATCATCTCTCCGATTACAGAAGTCCACATCGCGAAGTAATCTTGGAGACGTTCAAAAATGACGGGAGTCATTGGGGGAGGCAATTCGAGAAGGCGAGTCAACGCGAGACATGACAATTTCTGGCGATCAATATTGGCCATACAGTCGAAGTGACGGAACCATTCAGTGTTTAACCATCTCCACACCTCGTCGACATTACCTACAGATCCCATAATTGAAACAAAAACGGACGGATCTGCCAGAGCTATACGTGCCAAGATTGTGAAGTAATCGGTTTCCACCACATCATCGAGTTTGGGATATCTTCGGCCAGGCCCGGTAGTCTGATGAGCTTCCCAGGCGTCCCTGAGGCCTTCAAAGACCCTCTCCGTATAGCCGCATTCGTGAAGGTCCTTTGCAATTTGGGTGACTCCGTTGGAGCCTCCTAGCGCTTCAGCAGCTCGGATCATATTCTCAACAATAGTTGCTACGAGACCAGCGAGCTCCCGCTTTGTGACGCCCAGAAGACTAGTCATATAGGACAAGATTCTCAATCTGACGACGTTGCCAAGCATTGCTTCTGGTGCAAGAAGTATGTACGACTCAACAATAGCCAGCACACTTCGTAGGGTGTCCGATCCAATTTCAAGCAGAGGAAAAGCAGATTCAGCTAAAGATATGATTTCTGGAGTAGCTGGCGCTGGTGTTTGAGCAAGAATTGTGCACCAGAGATCGAGTGCTTCGTCCATCAGATAGACTTGCATCTCTGATCCAACTTCAACAGCTCGTTGAATAAGTGGCAATACCATTGGATGATATCGTTGAGATTGCTCCTTCATGGCAGTAACAATTGTTGATAATAGTGTGAGAATAGCTTGCTTCAACAGATGTTCCTCGCCAGATGCTTCCCATAGACCAGGCAAAATCGACACAATTTGATCCGAGAACTGAGAAATACTGCTTTCGAGTCGAAGAGCAATCATTCTGATTGTGTCCAGTATAGCCATCTTAGTCTCGGTGTTCTCGACTTCTTGGATCAACGCCATTATTCTACCAAGAATATCTGGCGCGTATGGAAGGAACTTTTCGCCATCAAAGCTAAAGTCGTCAACGACGGCTTTAAATTGTCTCGCAGCTGTGACGCGGACTACTTGGTCATTTGTCTCATCCTCTGTTTTCAAGAGATGCTGGAAGATTTGATATACAAGAGGCCTATTTGCTTCGGAAATCTTGATGGTGATCCACTGACCAAGGAGAATTGCAATGCGACGGCGAAGTACTTTATAGCCAGGCCCAGTTTGCTGGACATCATTGACAAGAGTCGAAGTTAAGAATGAATCGAAGTCAAAACTGTGGTGAACAACCGAAGCCGACAGACCCATCGCTGTGTAGACTGCGTCTTTCGTGACCACGTTGCTTTGACCTGTTCCCGCCACAGACTGAAAGAACGACAACAGAGGCTCGACAAGAAGATGCTTGTAATTGATGACGAGATCCATGAAAAGTTTTTCTGAACACGGTCGAACTTCGAACTCCCAGGTATCGCCGCCGCCTTCTTCCCTGATCTTCCATTCATCTGGATCTTCCTCCCACTCCTCGAGGTCGACTTGGCGGAAGATGAAGAACTTGGTGACGATTGTGCTCGCCATTTCGCCGACAAGTTGATCTGTGAGAAGTTGGCTCTTAACCAGGGCAGCGGCGTCTTGTTGCTCTTGTTTGACCTCTGCTGATCGATACTTAAAGGACTGGGCAGGGCTGAAAACCATTTTAACACAAGCTCTCATAATGTTGAGGCCTTTGAGGCATAGTTTCTCCATCACAGGTCGTGCATCCTTCATCGAATCGTCTTTCCGTAAGGCCTTGGCACTGAAGTCTTGTGTTTCAGACCCATAAGACTCTCCAAACTTTGCTACTAAACCCCAGTATGCTCGAACAAGGTCCAGAGAGCTTGGTAGAAGTGCAAATGATGCTGGATGCCGGTTCGACATCAGAGTATGCAATTTCGAAAATTGTAGCAGATGTTTCTCGACAAAATCTTTCGCAGGGGAAACAATAATTGGTGGCTCGCGGGTTGTCATGTCCAGAAATTGACCAAATTGTAGTTGCGAGTGCTCCCATAGCTGCTGAACATCGGTCGAATGATGAGGGTACTCGTATCCTGAGATCAACAATCGTCTCGGAATCTTGATGGCAAAGAGACTGTTCTCCATTGCATCCATAGCTCCTCCTTCATCTTCGCCATTGCCATTCAAGAATGAGAGCCAGATTGCAACTTTCTCGTTATATATTTCACTGAGGAGGAAAACAATCTCGGGTGTGACAGACTGAAGACGGGTTTGAGAGGTTCGCAGTCTCGCCGTCGAGAGTTCCTTGATCACTTGTAGTAACATCAACATTCCCCTTCGCAGATGTAACTGGTTGGAGTGATTTGCGGCCCGTAGGATTTTGATCAAGCTTGTGAGGACGTCGGGCCACTCGAGAGGGAAGTCTATACGAACAACCTTGGCAAGCACCAGGGCATTCTGCAAGGCGAGGTTGTTCTCGACTTCTCCGATGCCTCCCTCGAGTATATTGGAGCGCATAGCTGCCTTCTCTTCAGCAGATATCGCGTTCGTCGCGGTTTTTCGCCAGTACTTGTCGATGCCATTTTTTAGTTGGATAATTGCAAGATATCGAATTTCGGAAGGTAAAGATTTGTCAAGATATACTGCCTGCAGGTTCAAATCAGCTTCTATTACTATCATTCAATCCTTTTCTTTGAAAGGCTTACCTGCAGTAACGAATAATAGCCCTTCTGAGTCTCCCAAGTCTGCAATTGTTGGGTTCCAGTTTGGATGCTGAGCTGTTGGGAGGAACCCGCAGACTGTAATGCTAGGTAAACCTGCTGTGGCGTGAGGGGTGCTGCCTCTCCAGGCACCTCAATATTGAAGGCCATGCCGAAGTGCTGGTTGGGTCGACTGGGAAGTGCTCGAAGTTCAAGTTCTCGTGTTGTGTTGTTCGAAAATGTGCAATGCAAGGCTGCAAAACAGTCGCGCCCCACTTTTCCTTGGCGAAGGCGGGGTGTTTTTAGGCCCTGCCATTTCTCCGTCGGGGTAAAAAGTGGCCGTCTTGACCAAGTCCGCAATTTCTACTTGATCTCCAGCTATATATAGCATTGTCAACAAAGACTTAAGAGTCCCACGAAGGTTTTTGTATGGGAAAGGTTATTTAAGTATTTCTCTATACTTACAGAAAAACAGAATCTCTTTCAAAGAATGGAATGTTGAGAAATGAATAATCCAATACATTGAATATTAATGTTCTCACGTGCTAAAAACGCCACTTTTTACCCCAATGGAAGCCATCTTCATTATGAAAGAAACCTTCGCCCCGAATCGAAGAAACTTACCTAGGTATATATATCATCGCCTGCCCATATGAGAAAATTGAGTAATATCTCAACTACCATATTTCATCCAACATACAACCAACGCATATCAGATACTTAATGCGTTGGATTGAGCAAATTCCAGACACGCCTGGCAAAAGAGGAACTCACCACAAGCAAGCCGGCTCTCTAGCTACCCTATCTTCTTTACTTTGAAGTTATCACTAGTCATTATGGAGCACTCTTCGAGTTATCGAGCTCTTCGTTTCACTCTTCCCGGAGCAGATCTCGAAGTTGTGGAAAAGGATCTAGGGCCTGCTCCGGGAAACGAAATCAGAGTGAAAGTACACGCAGCGTCAATAAAGTGAGCCTACCCAAATGGAAATCTACTCTTTCTTTCTTCTACTTCTATGTAATCATGAAACATCTCTGTTCAGATTTCTGTGTCAGTACTGAAGCTTTCATTGTCTTCTTCTCATGACCACGTTTCGTTGTTGATTTCTTGAGCAGCCCCGTAGATATCCAGCTATGGAGGTCAAAGTTAGTTGGTGTGGTTGCTGGTGATAAAGGCATGGGAAGAGATTTCTCCGGCACAGTGGCCGAAGTTGGGTCCAGCGTCACAAATTATACCAAGGGCGACGAGGTATTCGGTCTACTCTTCCAAGCTGTGAGTGATGAGTCTTTTGTCTTGTTTTAGTCATCAGTGCTGACTCCAATTTCAGTTCGGCCAAGGGACATTCAGCGAGTATATAAACATTAACCCCGCCTCAAATCCGATTGCCAAGAAACCCAATTGCTTTACCCATGAACAAGCAGCTTCCATTCCTCTTGTTGCTTTGACAGCTTATGCTTGTCTTGACTGGCTCCCACCACAGACTGGATCTCAGAGAAGAGTAATCATTCGAGGAGCATCCGGTGGCACCGGCATGTGGCTGGTTCAGTGTGAGTGGCATTTTAATGTCCCACATCCCAAACATGTTTCACATTTATCTACTCCTCATTCTCTACTTTCAACACTGACATCACACCAGTGGCAAAGGTTTCGTACGATTGTCATGTCACAGCTATCTGCTCCAGCAAGAATGCTGCTTTTGTCAAAGATCTTGGTGCCGACGAAGTGATAGACTACACTTCTCAAAATATCGTATCGACTCTCGAGGAGCAACTAGCTGCCAATGGACAAAGTGATCTCATTGTCGATTGCGTTGGTGGCACCGAGCTTCTTGATTCTTATGTGCGTAGAACTCCCTATTTGACTGATCCATACTAATCAAGAATAGGAACGAATTTTACACAAGCAAGGTGCATATGTCACCATTGTCGGAGACAAAACAGACGTCAAAACCCTTGGCGGCCCAGTCACATATTTCAACACACCTGCTCAAGTAATTCGCTTCATCAAAGGATGGATCTGGGGTCCTCGATATGCATGCGTGTCATTGTTAACAAAGAGCGAGTACCTCGAAAAGATTGTAGGCTTGGCGGAGCGAGGTGAAGTGCGCACTGAAGTTCAAGAAGTGATTGAAGGTGCGTTTGACGAGAGGCAAGGATGGAAAAGAGCTACCAAGGCGATGGAAGACAAGAGGACGAGGGGTAAAATCGTTCTTGCCATCCCATGATTTTCGAATCTCAGCACTGAAACGCAAAAGCCAAGATTGGTTCAAAGCTTAGGCAAAAAGGGTTCAACTCTTGGGGGATAAATCGATACATTTCATATTGGTTTAGTACTCGAGTGTTTGTCACCTATGTGTGCGGGATTTCGTGCTTGCTTTTGTTTACGTTGAGCGTGCACGAGGAATCCTTACCCCTCTCATCAGAAACGGAATTGCTTATACTCGGGTATGCACTGAGGTTAAAAGCTTCCGCGTCAGAGTAGCCTTTTGGCTCTAATGTCCAGATTTGGCCAGTAATGAAGCCTTCGGTCCCGAGCTTAGAAGACTTGGCATATCCTTCTTCACAAAGATGATAAATCACACACAGGATATCTAGACTGTCGGAATTCCTCCCCAGAAGAGTCATCCCCCGAACCACGCTTCAAGTCTTGAACTCTTGGGTTTCACCGAATGACCAGACACAATACCTGCTGATCCCTTCATCACTTCCCAGGTCGTCGGGTCCCAGCACATGTCATAAAGATACATCCATGAAAGTTCTGCTCCCATCAACGCGTCCAGACCCATCCGCCACACCCCCGATATCTAGATTAATTACCCAAACAGGTCATTACTCGCCTTCCTCATACCCGACAATCATTCCACACCCAGATCTCAACCCCAGAACCCTCCCCCTCTAACCTCCATCCGTACATCACTCCCTCCCATTCGACACCCACAACCATGGATGGACCCAACACACACAGGTCCCCGCCTCCAATCCCCCCTCGGGGACCTCACCACCTCGCACCAGGAGCGGCCCTTGCGGCAACCCAGAGCCGCATCCATCCCTAAAGGCTGACAGGACAAACAAGACAAGACAAGACTCTCGGGTATCAGCCTCGGGTATCTTCAAAGCTTACCTCGTGTTTCCGCCCAATCATATCCCTTCTCCCGTCGGAACGATTGGTGGAAAGGAAAGGGATATTTGATTTATTGATGCTGCATGCAGGCTGGGAAATTTTCTGCTGGTTGCCGGGTTTCTTTGACGTAAAGGCTTGTAATGTGCGTGGAAGGGCCGAAGGCCGAGGTGGTGGTATATAGGTAGTTAGGGTTGTGCTCTTTGGGGAGTTTTTGGGGGCTTTGTGGGATTTTTTTGTTTTTCGTTTTCTTTTGGGGATTTGGAGATTGTGATCTCTGTGGGTGGAGGTGGTACTTCCAGTCGTTCATTGTCAGTCACGTACTGCTCGTCGAAAAATTGGAGGAAATTTCAGCAAAGGATTATGCACGTCAAGTGCCGGGGCGGACAATTTTTTTTGGAATGTCTTTTTGATAATTTGATCTCCATTCTAGAAGATGTCTAGACACTGCGATTGTTGAGTCTATCCTTCCATTCTCTGTACTAAAAGCACATACTAACGCCAGCCTTTTCAGGGCCTTGTCGAAGCCGTCCTTGCCATCCAATCCTGCCCAATCTGCCCAACCAACTTATATTCGTCGAAGCTCGATAACACATCAAATGCTAATACCATTCATCCCCGACCCCGACATGCCGTCCCAAGTATTGAAGTACTCCAGCTGTCCAAGCTCCTCCCATCCAACGTCCAGCGCCTGGATGTCAGGAGTAATGGTACTTGTCTCGATACCTTGAAACGCAAATGCATTATCGATATTCTTCGCATCCTGCGGCCTCGCCATTGCGAAAACGCTTCGAGCAATCTGCTTCACCTCCGTCTCGGTCCTCTTACTGATCTGCCAGATTTCTCCCATGGCTTTCAATCCGCCTAGACCTAATCGTATACGATCACGAGTGCGATACCATTCTACGCCGTTCAGAACATAAGCACAGGCACTGAGGTTGGCGAGTGTGGAGAGTGCGAGGCCGCAGATCCCGAGGGGTGTGTGATTTATGATGGGACATGGGAGGGCGTAGAGATTGATGGCTGCCTCGGCTGCTTCGAGGGTCTTCTTGGTGTGAAGCCAGTACGTCTTATCTTCTTCGCCAGTCATTTGATGAGGCATGGGCGGAGGCGCACACTGCGAAATCTTTTCGATGGGAGAGTGAAAGAGCCGAGAAAGCGGCCTATGGATGAAAACCAGAAGTCTGTGGTCGTCAGCTTCAGACGAAGAGTGTGGGGAAAAGAGGGGACATACATTTGAAGTAAGTTCTGGGCTTGGAAGAGTATCTCGTCGACTTCTTCATTCTTATCTATCACACTCTGCTTTTCTTTCGGCAGATGCAATTTCCAGTTTACGAGCATAGCATCAGCGTTGTTGACTGCGATTTCCATTTCCTTCCTGGGAAAATGATCGAAGCCGAGGATGGCTCCAGTGATGCGAGTTAAGTCTATGAGATACGTAAAAGAGGAGAAAACGACTTCTTCATCTTCGAAGTCTCGAGCCTCGTACTCGTCCAACGTTCTGGGTCGGGGAATGATCTATGTTCGTCAGCTTGAGATATTTGGGGCGGACTGAAGGGAACGTACTCCGTCATAGTCGCACTCTTCGCAAGGTAATTCAACGGTCGCATCGACTGTGAAGAGCCTGTGAATCGTTAGTTGGGTTGAGAATATTTGTTTGGAAGTTCGACATACAAGAAGTTTGGGGCTCTTCTGATCGCTGCGAAGAGTGCATCGGTCATGTACAGAAACCAATATGTCCGCCTCCAACTTTCGGCCATTACGGGATCTCGCTCCATATTGGCAAAGGTCCGCGAATTCATCCTCAGGTCAAGCGCTAAGTAGATGGCTTTATCTAGAATGGCTCTTGCGTGCACAAGTTCGTCTTGAGAATGGACAGCAATAGCCGTTAGGAGCAACGCTTGGACGGTAAAGCCATTTGGCGGCAAGTTGACCAGTTCAATTTCTCTCAACGCAGCTGCTCTCAGTTCTGAAGATGCCATATCAGGTAGAAAGAGTGAGCCAAGGTAATGCATAATGGGAAGAAGGTGCTTCAAGGACTCCGGATCAGATTGCAATCTGCTCAAGAAGTAGTATCTGGGTAGGAGGAAAGGGTGGGCTTTATGAAAAGATCTGTAACTTGTCAGTATGGGACTGAAAGACCATGACAGAATGCTCACGAATAATACAGCTCTAAGAGACGTCTTGGACTTGGAACCTTATGGCTGGGCCTCGGTCTAGGCGACGAGCTCGATGGGCTATCAGAGGCGTCAGACGCGGCATGGTACGATTCTGTCGACGAAGCAGCTCGATGCAGTTCTCTAGAATTATGGCTTGGCAAGCTTTGTGCAGTCGAGCTGCTTGACCCGGGACTGCCTTTTCCCGCTTCCCGAAGGGAAGCTCGTTTGCGGGGGACATTGCGATCTCTCATGCCACGTCGAGATTTTGCATAGAAGCACGGCTTATCGTCTTGCAAGCAGCGACTGCAATTCGGCATTTCTGCTCCACACTTGACATGGCGACTTCGGCACTGGAGACAATTAGGATGCTGTTTTTGGAAAGTGGATATCACAACTTACTGGAACACACGCAAGAGATACTCGTATTCCACCTCGCTGCACTGGCTCTTGACCCTGTCCTATTGACAGAACTCGCATCGAGTCTGACGGGTTCTGATTCTGATTCGGGGTTCCAAAGTCGAAGAACATCGATAGATTGTCTGCATTATCACGTGGCGAGGGTCGACCAGATACAAATTCGTTTGTGATACTATTCATCGTTATAAGTAAGGTTCTCTCGTTTGATCTATGATTTCGTTGCGCAGGTTGACCTTGGCTTGTGGAGACGTTGATTGAGTTGGACGAGGAGCGAGCGACTTAAAGATATGACAATGCTGGAGCAGTGGAGTTATACCGGTCTGATAACCCTGAACGCTACCACCCAATTAGGCATGCTGGTCCTGGTTGCAGTCAGCATTCAAAGCTGTCAGCACAAAGGCGAAAGCATCTAGCCTGCGCTGACCATCAGAAATAAACCACCCGAATTTGAGACTGCGAGCCTCGAACCCAGCTGCGCGGCACCTTCGTCGGGGGCTGGCATACCTTAGAAGAGCACGTTGCAACCTTGTCTAATGCGCAGCCTGAAATGTTAAATTATTGGTGTTGCTCTCAACGCCTCTAGGCTACTTCGTAGAATTTGACCCGCGCAGTAGTTCCAAGCGGACAAGTGCGGAAAAATGCGCTGTCGTGCATACTTCAGCCCCAAGCTCGGCTTTGGGTTAGTAATGACCGCTTAAGAGTCACTCTGCAACGGGATTTGAGCTTGCAAAGTGTATCGTGGAGGCAAAATGCAACACCGCGCTCACAATCATATGTGCTATATTGACGAAGCATCTCGGCGGTGTGGCTTCCTTGCTTGTCGGAATTCTCCGACGCCTCCATCTCTTTCTAGAGACTCAAAGTGCCCGGCAGGTCTCGTTGCTGGAAAGACGCAGTTAATATGTGATCTGTGTCATAGTAGTACATTGCGTAGTGCTCTGCTTCCAACTGATGCTTTGTCGACATTACAGTAGTAGCCGCATGCTCGGATGCAGGATCATGAACTGCATCTTCATGCTTTCCTAAATCAATCGTGTAATAGCAGATAGTCGAAAAGATCCTCGTTATCGAACGCCGGATTATGCCCGACCACCGTTGTGTCTGCAGTGGTTGGCTGCGAACTGCTTCAAATAGCCAAGAATGTTTCAACTGGGGGGCTTTCTTTCCTGTGAAAGCATATAAACAAGATCGCCAATGATCCCAATGCGTTAGTGGGCCTGGTAACAGATGATCTGTAATACAAGCATTCAAACAATCGAACAAGTACAAGTCCTAGGAAGCTGCAGTAATATTATCGCCAAGGATGGTCATCATAATTTCCAAGACACCTATCATGCATTCCCCGCTCATACGAAATCTTAATAAGAACTTTGGATCAGCCCTACAGACGTATTCCATCTTTCGAGCCAGCTGATTGAACCTCTAACGTCTGCCCGCGAGCCAGATGTAAGACCGGACCTGCGGACAGACTGCTGAGTAGAACAAAAGATCGGATGCTACACGTGGATGAGGGGAACGGAATGTACCGACGAATATCAGGTAAAATATGGGACAGAACAAGTAGAGAGCAAATTAGCGGATGACGACAGCCGTGGCAGCTTGTTCTTCATGGGAGCTTTTGATCCATATCCTTGCGGTAGCATGCTGATTCCAGGGCGTAGATATGGAAGTCGAAACACAGTGGAAAACGATATGCTGAATTAAGTCTATTTCTGGAGGCTCCTATTCATAAAGCTTCCCTGAGTATAATCCATCAAATAAGGTGCGCGTTCGGAAATGTATGGGCAGCGACTAGCGAGACCTCATGCTCTCCCATCAGCTTGGCCTTTGGTCTGGGGCTCAAAATAAGGTGCTTGAGTTCTGACTTTGACGCGTGGATTACTGGCACCGTATGTACTTGAGAAGCGGTCAAAGAAGTGGGTGGAAGCGCATAAGAGAGGCGGAGAGGTTGCATGTGAGATGAAACCACAAGCAAAAGGGACGGCAGGGCAGAATTGACAGGGAAAGCACACCGCAACGCCCAAACTGGTACAGAATCGAGAATGCGAACAACCATACAGACGTCATGACAGAGGCACTTCTCCGTTTTTTGAATCACAACCTGCTCAACCGAAACGTGTGGACACCCATTGCTTGTGTGCTGTTTCGGGATCGCCGGCTGCTTGCTTCCTCGAGAGTAGAGAGCAATATGCTTGGTCCAATCACTGCGGAAGAGCGGCCGACAAGATCTTCTCCAGACCCAAGATCGATGCAGCACTTGGAAGCTGACTCAAATGAGCGAGCGTTGGTCAGCAAGACGACTCGTGTGTAAGACGCAAGGCAGACTCTTAATATCCGAAGGTCCCTGCCGCGGTAAACTTCATGGCAATTTCAAAGTTTGAACAGAAAGGAACTGAAAAGAAAGGAAAGGAACGAGAGTTTTTGACGTCGACGATGACTCGAAGTTGCAGCTGCATCTCAACGGCACCGCCGAGAGTGAAGGCGACATGCGGAACCTTCCCGTAAGGTTAGATGTTGGCCGAAATTTTGGACATTCGGGATCTGATGTAGGACTTCCAAGCTACACCATTTCAAGCTTAGCCTGCCAAGTCTTCGGCTAGTCTTTCTGCGCCTCGGCTTCTCCAACTCTCACGAGCCTCAGCAGATAGAACGCGTGATAATTTTCCACGATGTGTATTGCAAGTCAAAGGACTGCATACTCTATCCAATGCCACCACGATGACCTCCAATGACTTTGCCCTCGCCCAGCAACGACTCGCAGCGCGCAGGCAAGCACGAGAAGCCGAAGCTCAATCACGAATAGTGGCGCAACAAGAAGCTTCTCGAGCGGCAGAACAGCTTCAGCGACTCCCCTACCCTCTCGGTCGACTTGGGCATGCTGGAATATCGGTATGGGATAGCATTCAAGGCCGCGAGGGGACACGCCCCGCCTTCAGAGTTGGGCAGGTCGATGCTGAATTACTGGACGAGGAGCTGCTGGAGTTGCTGAAAGGACAAGTGGGGGAAGCTCTGAAATACTTCGGGTCGCATCTGCAAGATGACTGGTCTGCTGAAGTTATGCTTGCATTGCGCGCAGTATTATTCAAGCTGACGGTTTGGGATCACGATGCTACCTATGGCGCAGCGTTGCAGAATCTCAAGTTCACAGATGCTAGGAATAAAGGGCCTGTGTTGATATCTCCCTCACGGTGGCAGAAGGCCTTATACGGACTCTTCACAGTGGGTGGGAGATATGGATGGACGAAGTGGGAAAACTGGCTGGTCGATAACGACAATGGTTACGATCAACCAAGTCCTCTGTTCCGGAAGCTCTCACGATTATCCGATTCTATTTCCACGGTACATTCCACGGCGGCATTTGCATCGTTTCTGGTGTTCCTAGTAAATGGGAGATATCGAACATTGCTGGACAGAATATTGCGATTACGCCTTGCTCCTCCAACCAGCCAAGTCAGTCGCGAAGTGTCCTTCGAATATCTCAATCGACAACTGGTCTGGCATGCCTTCACGGAATTTTTACTCTTCGTCCTCCCACTCGTAGGAATCAGCAGATGGAGGAGATGGCTGGCACGAGCATGGCGGAAAACAAAGTCAGTAATGCAGAGCGGGGGTGAAGAGGAGGAGCTTGTCAAGGCGGGAGAGTTTGCGTTCCTTCCGGAACGGACTTGTGCCATATGTTATCAAGATCAAAATACCACGTCGACTTCTGAGGCCGAGATTATTGCAGCATCTGGGTCTTCAGGAGTGATTGGCTCTGCCCAGACAGACATCACGAATCCTTACGAGACAATACCATGCGGCTGCATCTATTGTTTCGTTTGCTTGGCAGGGAGGTTGGAGGCAGAGGAGGGGCAAGGTTGGACTTGCCTCAGATGTGGTGAAGAGGTGAAGGAGTGCAAACCTTGGAGTGGAGATGTTTTGGAAGAAGCTACCAAGTCAACGACGTCTGCGAAGACAGTTGGTTTCTCTGAGCCAAAAGACATGGAAGAAGTTGAGTCTCGTCCAGAGGAGGACGTGGGCGAGCCCAAAGCCCGGGATCTACAACAGTCGAGAGAGAACGATTCGTCGTCGGATTCCTCGCAGTTGGGAGATGCAGAAGCATTTGATGAAGAGGAGGACGGAATAATTGAAGATGACGATTGACGATGATCTATCTCATGATACTGCTATATCCAAAAGTGATATCTTCAACCGTAAGGATATTTGGTGCATTTAAGGTGTTTTGGCGCTGGGGACATTCCGGCTCTCAGGATTAAGAATACCACTTCTCTCGGCATTTGGTTATCCTTATCTCGGTTGTGCAAGGCAAGCGAACATTGGAACTGTTTCACATCTTAAACAGCAAGACAGTACCAAACAATTGGATTTCCACGTTCAGAAACCTGCTTACTGCATTGTCGACGGTCATGTGACGTTCCATCGCTGACATCATTGAGTCGGTTTGACAGCATTCGAAACTAACCATTATAGCTCATTTCAACATCACTAACAAACCCCAGATTATGCAGCGTAACATATCTCGACATTGTTTCTGATAGAGGCGGAGAAGTTGGGCTTCTGAGTATTTAAGCTTATCTCAGTCCAATCCAGATCTGCATCAACACGAAGGGCTCAAGTACTGTACATTGCCGCCCAGCCGAGCCATTCAACATCCACGCCAAGATGTGGGATCAATTCTCTCCAACACCTTCGCATGTGGCATATTTGTCGCTATCGCTCTTTCTGATTGTATATGCCCTGTTTTCACAGTACATCAGAAATCACCTGCATCTGTCTGGTAGGTACATCAAATATAAGATTAGCTTAAACCATCATCGATCATCTATATGTCGTCTCCGTAACATGATGTACAGCAACACTGACACGCATACCAGAACCCCCTCTTGCCGTCTTATATGGTATCATTCTGGGACCAGCAGTCCTTTCCATACTCATACCCAAGCAATGGGGAGTTAAAGACGAAGACGACGAGATCGTCCAAGAGATGACTCGCGTTATTGTTGCCATACAATGCTTCGCAGTTGGAATCGAGCTACCCAAGGAATATTTCAAACGACACTGGAAGTCCGTCCTCTACTTCCTCGGACCTATCATGGCTTTTTCGTGGGCCATCACTGCACTGTTCGCATACTTCATTTTCAAGACCAGCATTCCAGCTGCTCTGATCATCGGAGCATGTCTTTCGCCAACCGATCCCGTGCTAGCTGCCAGTGTATTGGCTAAATCACATTTCAGCGAGAGAGTTCCATCACGATTGAAGCATCTCCTTTCAGCAGAAAGTGCTTGCAATGATGGTGTATCTTTTCCATTCTTATATATCGGAATTGTGGCCTTGAAGTCGACCAACGCTGGCGAGGCTTTGAAAAACTTCGTCCTCATCACAATCCTTTGGCAATGCATCGTTGGTCTGACACTGGGCATTGTTATTGGCCACTGTGCAAACAAGCTTCTCCGCTTCTCAGACAACAACAACGCTATTTCCAAACCCTCATTCGTAGTCTTCTATCTCCTCCTCGCCCTACTCTGCGTCGGCGTCGGCTCAACGCTGGGTAGTGACGACTTCCTCGTTGCCTTCGGCGCCGGAGTAGGTTTCGGACACGATGGCTGGTTCTCCAAGAAGACGCACGAACTTCCGTTCCCAGCCATCCTCGACATGATGCTCAACTCCGCGCTCTTTGTCTTCTTCGGCGCTCTCATACCATGGAAAGAATTCGTTCCACGAGACATCACTCCCAACTGTGGCGTATGGCAGCTCGTCCTCTTCCTCATTCTAGTCCTCCTGTTTCGACGCATCCCGATCGTGCTGGCCATGAAGCGATTCGTGCCTGATATTCGCACGTATCGGGAAGCGTTGTTCTGTGGGCATTTTGGACCGATGGGCGTAGGAGCTTTGTTTCTAGCTATGGAAGCTCGAGAGGAGTTAGAGCCACCTGCGAGCTTTCCTTACGGCAAAGGGCATAGATCAGCATCGTACTCGGATTTGGATCAAGCTATTGCGCTTGTTTGGCCCGTAGTCTGTTTCGTTGTGGTGGGAAGCACTTTTGTGCATGGTTTGAGTACGGTGGCTATTAGTGTTGGTGGTAGCTTTGCGAGGAAGAGGGGTGAGAGGGCGCCTTTGTTGGGGCAAGAGACTGATGGTCTGGAGGCTATGGATCATGAGGATGGGAATGGAGATAGTGAGCCGGAGGTCAGTGGGAGTGATTGCTGATCTTGGAAATGCCTAGATCTTGGGGTATAGTTTCTAGGGTAATTGGATAGAGAGAATTGGAATTCGTGTTAGGAACCGTGTTCCAACGACTTGTGGATCACTGTACATGTCCAATAGGTTCGCAACCTAGGCTACTGGACTCCTGAAATTGGTCATGGCCATGTAGAAGACAGACTTCAAGGTGGCCAAGAGAGAGTTGGAGGACAGTCATGACATACTAGATGAGCTCGAAAATATGCATCTCTTGCAAGCCTATGTTCGTGTTCCATCTTCAGACTTCTTTCTGGGTCCGACACTGTTCATTCAAGCTATTCCTTAGATGTAGTGACTATCAGGACTTTCTCTCATGTTGGAAGACTTCTGCAAGATACGAGGAATTCCAGTTATCAGTAGACTTGAATCAATGGCGGTGGAAGACCAAGATGAATCCAAACAAAGCATTTCGCTATTTGTGCCCCAATATTGACCTAGCATATTGTTGCTTTGAGTCTCAGCGCCTGTATCTGTAGATCAAAAAGACGCAGCTTGTCGCTGTCGTCGTTGTCGCTGTCGTCGCTGTCGTCGTTGTCGTCGCCTTCGTCCGTGAACCACTCATTCAAGGGAGGTGTTGCAGCAAACAAAAGCCCAGAGAAATTGTTGACCCTGCAACTGTGTGGCAGCGCTATCAGCGTAGTCAATCAAGACCTTCTGGCTCCTGCAGCGGTAACTGAGGCAATAAGCAGTGGCGATTCACAAGACAAGACTTTCTGCGCTCCCTGGTAAAGGTTCGGGATTTTTTTAGCGATGGATGCCCCGAATGATACCTGAAATACAGTGTTTGGTCTGAAGATTCAGAGCCCGTTATCTCTGCTTCAGGCTTTGCGAGGCCCATGTTTTGGGCATCAGTCGCTAATTCTCAGGTGTTGATCTATTGTAATTTAGATACCTGAGCCGCATGAAACTGTATTACACAATGACAAGACTGTGGTTATCAACGCTGTTGACGTTATTGATCTGAAATGATGCATGTACCTACTTCGACTGAGACTCGTAGAAAGGAGCTTCGAAGATCAGCGCTCTTGTTCCAGGGCCGCGAACGACATCATCATCACTTCCTCACTTTTGTTCGATGCGACTTCATCCACCATTTCGGAAGACGGAACTGATCGAGCAATAACAAGAAGCTTGAGCGTGCCGAGATACGGGTAGAACAAAGACAAGATCAGCACTGGAGAAAATATTCCATTCTACTCTTTTGTTGTCATTCTGAAGCGTAATGGGACTCGATAAAAGGGACCCTTTTCTCCTTTCTTGTTATAGCCAAAATAAAACAGCTAAGAATCAACAAAACCCTTCAAAGAGATGGTTACATGGCATTATGAGGTTACAAATATGGTTCTCAAAACTAAGTGCATGTGATACCCTCTCGATATGTAGCAGATATAACCCGAGATAACTAAGGTGATTGTGGTGCGAGGCTGGTTGATAGCCAAATTACCTCGCAAGAATCAGCTGATTCTATATAAACGCCAAAGAGCTTGATATCCTCTCTTCAGCAGTATTGCCCCGATCAAGTTAGGAGTTCTGTCGAAATTTTGCACTAGCAGCAAGTTCGGCAAAGGGCGGTGGATTATTTTCCATAGATTTTCTACCGCTTTTAAGCCAGATATCTCAAGCCCCTTCAACTTTTTCCAGCTATCAACCAACTATCTCGGCGCAACCAACAAAACAGTCCTCCCAAGGTAAGTGCTCTACAATTGGATACGTAGCGTTTGAAATCTGCCTGATCATACTATTTCATATAGCATACAATGGCCCCATCAACGAAGAAACAGAAGACCAGTGATGCGCCTCCGACTCCGCCGCCTCCTCCACCACCCGCGCTTGTCTCCTTGCCCGCGCCCATTAGCTTTGGACGAACCGCAGATCATTCCAGTCTATCTATTATGGTCTTCGATCAACAGTATTTATGCCATTCGCAATTTTTGAGGACTCATTCTGAATTCTTCCGGCGCATTCTCTCAACCAATAGAGGCGGGACCTTCGATCGCAAAGATCGCCTTAGTGTGAGATATTACTTCGTCACCAAGCTCACATCTCCCCACACGTGGGAGCTTTGTTTGCGTCCCATGGAGGTATATAACTTTTGCTGATTTCCAGCATCACCACCGATACTAACGAGGCGCAAGGGTGTTTTCGATCTTTCCGCCTTCAAAGGCGATATCGTCCACGACCAAGAAGCCTTCCACAACGTTCTCAAAGCTCTATACTACCAACCCTATATCATCAAGAGCGTTGCACAACTAGAGACTATGGTCGACATAGCCCAACGCTTGAACCTCCTTCCTATCCTGTCCCGCTCTTTCGACAGCGTTATCTGGCGAAGCTACGCTTTTATCGACGAAATGCCCAAGCATGGCCGCAAGCTTCTGAACCTGGCATACAAATTGCGAAACCATCTTCTATTCAGGGATGCGCTTTGCCACGCTGCTGGTGCCTGGGGACCGGCTGCCGATAACACAGTGTTGGATAACCCTGAGTTGATCCGAATCGTCGACAAAGAACGTATTCAAATTTCCATCATGGTCAGCGAAGCTCAATCGAAGGTAACGGAGATCATTGCCAACGAAGAAAGTACTGAAGGTAAGCCTTATAATTCCTCTCGTTGCTATTGAGAATTGCTAACAAACGCATAGAGAAGAGAGGTGTCAATGAAGTCAAGCTGTGGAAGATCACTAAGGGAGGAAGCTATCCTGGAACGCCTTCTTGGGCTCGGCAGGTATTTGAGACTGGTATCTACGACTGCAGTGAGCTGCTTAGGAGCAATCTGCTCACTGACAATGGATTCAATAAGGCTGGAGTGGATGAGTGTAAGGATAGATTCTTGTGTGCTTGGATTGATACCGCGGATCTTCCTTGGGATCTGACGCAAATTGACTGGGTATGAGTTCAGTAGGAGGTGCATAGTTTGCCTTATCCGGGACATGATCTCGGGGAGCATTCAATGTAAGGTGTATGTAGAACTCTAATCGTTGCGACCAGTACAATTACTTTCTTTGCTGCGCATTATGGCCCGAGTAAATGTGATATCGAGCGCAAAGACTTGCCCAAGACATCGTCTCGTGCTGGGCAGAAGCATGAAGAACATAAGCGCATGTAAAAGGTGCCTGGAATCGAGAGTTGTATTATCACTGAGAATTTCCAAGGAGCCAAATCCAAGGACGGCATTAGCGAACGTGTTTGCGCCCGTGTTGCCCCTTTATAAGCGAGTCTCGTGACCGCCAAGTATACAACCAGCACGTCGACAGCTGCCGACAGCTTTCATCAAGTAAGAACAGCAGAGCAAATACATAGAACATCTAATATAGGCACCTCTAGAGATAATACGATCACGAAAGGGAATATGTGAGGCGGATCATGAAGGAGAATTATCTTAGTCTCAAGGAGGAGATTGAGCAAACTGGACATTCATCGCACCAGATTTCTCACCGATTTCGAACCTGATCAGCTTGAGTCTCTAGTGCATCATAAAGTTTCATAGCCTTCTCGCTCTTTACATCGTGACTTGAGAGTCCTTCAGCATTGCAAGTCTGCAAATGTCCCAACGGTCCTGAGCGATTTAGATCATTTCGAGTTTGAGCTCAGCTTCAGAGCAGTACCAATTCACGTGAAAGCGCGCTAGAGAGATCGCAATTCTGTCTTAGCTCCAGCTTCGACTCTGCTTCAATCTTTCCTGGATATTCCTTCCTAACTCGCAACCTCTTCCCAACTCGCAACCTCTTCCCAACTCGCAACCTCTTCCCAACTCGCAACCTCTTCCCAACTCGCAACCCCTTCCCAAGATGAACACACACAAACACCTTTCGATCTTGGCTCCTTTAGCAATGGCTCCTCCACCTAGCAGGAAGCAAAAGAACGACGACGTCAAGTCTCCCATCGTCTTCACCTGCCCAGGATTTAAGCCGGATGCCCGCCTTATGGTCTTCGATCAAGAGTTTCAGGTTCTTTCCCCTATGTTGAAATTGAACTCGGCATTCTTTCGCAAGTTCTTCGACTCTCCTGATAAAGCTCCGACCAACAAAGCTGTCGACCTCGTGTCTGATACAACACTTGCCGTTGGTAGTAGTTCAGCTCTGACCCCAGCCGAGTCTTCTCGAATCGGACTTGGATCATTCACGACTTTTAAGTACGATTGGATTACGATTGTCGATGCGGGTGGGGACGGATGGTCTTTAACTGTGAAGGATTCGAAGGTAACGTTCTTCTTTCAATCCATGCAGCCCTTCTCGCCATTTCAATCCCCGAAGACGAACTACAGACACAATTGGAAAGTCTTAGAGGAGATAGGAAATCGAGCGGCATCTATGATCTTGTGCTGACATGAGGCAGGATCAACAGTATGACTGCTCCAGTTTTACAGGCAATGTTGGATTTCAGATCGTGGCATTCGAGAAGCTGCTGTGCGCAATTTTTGCTCGGCCATATCAACTCCAAGACACGGAGCAGCTACTACTTATGGTTGACCTTGCCGACTACTATCACGCTCTCCCAATCCTCTCTCGAACCCTCGACGGTGCTTTGATCAACAGTCCAATCTTTTGTCAAGATATCGGAAATTACTGTACTGAACTGTTCGTTGCGGCTGCCAAATTGAGAAATGCGCTTCTCTTCCGCGAGTGCCTTATTTGGGTTGTCGGACCTCACCGAACGCCTAAGTACGAAGACTTGAGCGATCAGAAACTTCGACTGGTTGCGAGATGTGCACATGGGGATATATCTACCAAAGTGGCGAGGTCACTGGAGTAGCCTTGTGCCTAGTTGGTGATGCATGGCAGGACTCGGATAACTTCGAAGCCCAGTCTGACGAGTTGTTCAAGGATATGGGCCAACATCACTCTGAGCATGGTGAGGGTCTAATAGACTATGCATGGTGGTTCAGGGATCTTAACGACAAGTGTCTCTTGCATGAGCATGACCTTCTGGGCTTGCTAGACAACAAGTTGGTTCTGGACAACATGATTCACACAGCTGGGGGTGTTAGATTCCAGGATCATTTCTTTTGTGCTACGATCAGCGATGAGGAGCTCCCTTGGGATGTCAACAAGACTGATTGGTAAATCTCGAGATATTTCCGCAGTTATTCTACAGCTCGGTAGAACTGGAGCATGTATTCAACCAGGTCATCAACAAATGGTTGAGGGCGACAAGAAGTGGCCGAGAAGGAGAACTATAGAATGACTGGAGAATTCCTAGAAACAAAAGTACTTAAAACGTTGCTTTTCTGCACATATCTCATGTTTGTTGTGAATTCAATACCCCGATCGTGACCCAACTCGAGATCAACTGCAAAGATCATGGTAGCTCCAGATTCAGAGGTCTGAATGTTGACTAAATTGGCCAGGCGTCTGAACATCTTCAAGCAGGACATTTCAACAAGTCCAGTATGAAAGCAACATGCATACAGTGGTTGCTAGACGCCAGAAGAGACGTGTCCAGGTAAACCCTGTGGAAGGCGCTTGTACTAGCTTCACGTTTCCCAATTGTCGTTACAGCTCTTGCCCTATGGAACCGGTGTGGTGATGTCAGAAGAAGAACAAGCCCTTATTGGTGGGATTTAGAAGGCACAAGTGGGGTCGGTATCTCACTTAGCCTCTTTCCTTTTGATACATAAGTACTCCTCCTCCATCCTTCCTTTTCTCTTCTCGTCTCTATCTTTACAAGACCCTTTCATTCACACTCTTTGAACTTCCTTGAATCTTAGTCCAAGATCCCAACCTTGTCACCAAACAGTTCTCGAATAGGAATTTTGAAGTACTTGATCTGGTAACGCTACTCAATCGTCGAAAATGCGATGCCATTTCCTCCTCCGCTCCATTCTTCCACTCTTCCAACGACCATGTACCTTCGATTAGCTCTATAGGGTCATCAGCCCACATAAAAGTTCTTCCAAACACCTCTTTCCCTTCAATCGAAATCCGTATGCCTGCAACGCTATAAACGTCTGTCTCATAGTGCTCAAGCATCTTCTGTTGCTTCTCGGTCTCTACAACGTAAGACATGCCATCAACATAGCTGTTACTTGGCCCGTCCACTAGAGCAGGATATTGCCCCCATAGCATGATTTTGTAGGACCTTACTCTGGCTGGTTTGAGGACTGGTGGTGCCGGAAGCTGAAGAACTTCTTGGAGTCGCAGTGGATCCATAAGAGACCCGTAGAAGAAGAATGGCTTTGATATGTATGTATATTGAACGACTGATGGTTTGACATTGGCCTGGAACTTCTCGAGCATGATATTGCGGTTGGCTTTTTGAGGTTTGCCGGTAGGTGGGGAATATTTTTGTTTTTTGTTTTCATCGTTGACGATCTTTGCGGCAGAAGAAGATCCGCTGAAGCTGTCCATTGTATTTTAGAATGTCGCAGCTGTTGTGGAGTCGAATGTGATGAGGTCCTGATTACAAGGCGAGTCCATTTCGTGACTCAACGTAAGTTTGGTAGCGATGATAAACTAGACGTTAGACCATATCACGTGATGTACCTAGTTCCAACCTAGCTCAATAAGCTTCCGAGTTATCTCAGTGGTTCAGTCGCTCCCGGGCAGAATAAGAGAGGGGCCTTACGCATTATTATTTTATTGGTGGTGTACGGCCCAACTTTGTCTGCGGAGCGTCTGAGAAAATCCCGCCAACTTTTGGCGTATATGGTAATACTTGGGATAATAAATTTAGTTGAAATTAATTAATAACTCACTACACCACATAATACACTGCTTAAATACTAGCGGTAGTTTCAATGCTTTTAGTGAAGGCTCAATATGCGGATACACCAAAAATTAGCGAGGTTTTCTTAGAAGCTCCGTACCTAGAAATCTGGTCCCTTCGCTTAAGAATCACCAACGCCCACCACTTTATCGGCCGGCAGGGCTACAGCTCTCTGCTCGGAGCGCCTGAACACTGAGATAACAATAAGCAAGCATGAGCCAAAGCTAAGCCGGGCCTAAGCAAAGGCGGCGCTGCTCACGTGAGACATAGGATTGGGAAGTGTAAACATTCCCGTCGGATAAAAAGCCTTACACTTTTGAAAGCGAGAACGAGTTACATGTCCTTGCCGAACTTGGCAAATACTATTGCGCCCTCCCAGTAGTATCACGAACGCTTGATGCCGCGATGATGCTGAGCGAAGAATTACGCTCTGAAGTCCCTGTCAGCCCATATGAGTTTTGTGAAGCAGCTTTCGAACTCAGAAATGCTCTACTCTTTCGCGAAAGTCTCATCTGGATCGTTGGACCCCACTCAAATCCTAACTTTGAGCAATTTAAAGCACGCGGGTATGACGACAAGCTAGAAAGCATTGCAAGGTGTGCATACGGGAAACTAGTACGTCTCACCTCTTGATCATATTACGAACACTGATTCAAGATTTCTCGTCTTCGAACATAGGCAGTCAAAGTCAACAACGCCTTATCGACAGTGCTAATGGCAGCGCTGCGAGAAATCAACACTCCTGTGTACACCGCTAGCAATCAACTCGTGGGAGTGATTGCGGACCTCATGGCAGAGGTGACTGCCGACGACCCCTCGAACAGCAAGGTGCGATTGAAACTGCCTGAGTTTCTCAGACAAATCTTTCGCAACTCACCGCTTATAGCGAACTTGACAAAAGACAGGTGTGGGGGTTTGCTTGATTCTAAGCTTGTCATCGACAAAGGGACGTATCAAGTAGGTGTGGACGATGCTAGACGAGGACGAGGAGGACTAGAAGACTGTAACGATCGCTTTTTCTGTGCTGAGATTGACGATGAGGATCTGCCTTGGGATATCAATGAGACCGAGTGGTAGATAGTAGACAGGCGCGAGGCACCTTCTGAACACAGATTCGAGCTAGAAATTCCTTTTAACGTTTGCTTGTTGCGATGACAACAATTTCCCTCCCATGATAACTCGTCATAAACATACTGCTCCAGAACATCACCTAAAAGATACTAAAATGCCCTCTTCCACTATCCGAAAACACCCACCCAAGAAGGATTGACTGTTCCCGTACTGTTAAAGCGATAAGCATAGGAACAAACAGTAATAATAATGCTCACAAGAAATGACAGAAGATAATCAATCTCAGTTTTGGTGTTGGGAACACCCATGATTTGCCCAACTCTAATTTCACTCAACCGCCTTATCCAATGATTCAACCGGCACCAAACTTCGGTATAGATAAGCAAAAATGAGAAGTACATAGCATTGTTAAAAGCTAAAAGTACGCAAACTCCCCAAAGAGATGATGGCTCAATCTGGCCAGCCTACGTAATGACGTACAGGGCTGCGGAGTTGGCAAGCCCCAAGGAGAGAATCGAAACAAGAGAGCTTGAATTCGGTTCCGGTTCTCTAACAAGGTCCTGACGAAATCCAGCAAATACTAAAATGGCAGGCATTGTTAGAAGACCATTGCAGATAGTGAATAATCCAAAGTATTCGGTAGACGGAAAGATGGGAATCGTCCTCGGAGTCGAGATAACCATTACTTGCAAGATGTTGCATCCTGCCACAAACACGTTGAGGCAAGTCAAATTCGTTTCGGAGGGGAGACACTCGAGCGACGGAGCTATGCGAGGTGTTCGGAAACTTGTCTCGGCCAGGATGTTCAAGACCTCCCCAAACAGTAGAGATAGGAAATACATGATGGCTAGAGTCTGTGTCCATGGGATGCCACGCATACCCACGAGCTTGATGGTTTGACACGGGATCCCCCCCAGCAAGATCAAGGCCCAACGACCCAGAGCCGCTTTCTCAACCTCTTTCGTTGGCTCTTCATCCCATTTTTCATCTCGAACTCGATACGCTAGCTCCGCCTTGAAATGTCGCCAGGACCAGGTTGGTTCTAGACAATGATCGGTAGTAACCCGGAGGAAAAGTAGAGTACATCGCCAAGGGAGAAGATAGGTGAAGACCGCAAACCAGAATCGCAGCTCGGGTGCTGTATTGAAGACGCGCCCCACGGGCTGGGTCATGGTTCCTAAAGCTAATGGGACGAGAGCAAAGAAAGCCACCTGCCAGGTGACCTCCGACGGACTTGACGGTGGACCTGCTAAGTCAGCGTCATGTTCGTGTAAATGACATTTTCTCAAAGGGAAAATCACTTACTGATCATGGTAGCCGGATCATCCATGCCCAAAATTTGCGATTGAAGTCGAGTTTTGAACCTGATCAGAGACGAGGCAGCAAACTGAATTTGATATTTCAACCTGACAAAAGACAATCCTGCTAGAGATATTTCGAACTTTTACTACGTATACAGCGCAACTCGAGAACCGGTAAGGTAGTGGCTTGGTTTCAAAATTGGAGGCTGACAGAAGGCGAGGCTGCGAGCTGGATTCGATGCAGCCTCATAGAAGACGATGCAGCAACCTGACTTTGATATTTTTATCGACAGAGAACCTTTATGATGTAATGGCGATAGCCATCGAAGAAGTAAAGCAGTGGGACGCCGAAGGAATGTAGCTGGCCAAAGAGTTAGAACAGTAGAAGATCAGGCTCGAAGATATAATTCCCACACCTGAACATGACGCGCTAGTCCTAATCCAGTTGAGCCGAGTCATTGTACGACCAAAAGATAAACCAATGAAAGACAAAACAATGGAATAGACACAACGCTTCATAAACTCAGCAACTTGAGAAAAGATATGCAAAGAAAGCTCAAATCCGAGTCGAGTCAAAGCCTCGAACATCGCAAAGCTGGCATCTCTCAACGGATATCAGGAGTACACCAAACCAGGACCCCAATAACGTAAAGTGTCTTCGTTCCCTACTCAAACAATGGTATCTACAAACGCACCATGCATCCAAAACAAACAACGCCTTTCACCAATCCCAGTGCTAATTCTCATATGCAATCCCACCTCCCAATCCAATGCCCATGTATTCACAGCCGACCCTCCCTCATTCATCATACAACAGCAATATTGCCGACCACGATCCCCTTACTCTCAACGTGGTAGCGCCTTCTAATACCAACACTCCTCGTGCGTTTGAACAGTGCCTCCGTCGCGTCCCCTCCGCCGACCATCACCATGCTAATCTGATTATGTCTTAACAAGCCGCTGGGCGTAACTTGAGCTTTGTCTAACAAAGGCCTGATGAGGTTGTCACCGTTCGCGCTTTCATTCTCGTCCGAGATAATGATGACGAGTTTCAGACCGTGAGCCGTAGGTGTAAAACTAGGTATATTGGCCAGTTTCTCGGTGAACATGCATCCGCCTCGTCGCATGACGATAACATCGTATCTGGTGGCTGCTGCGTCGGGAAGTTTCTTGGTGCAGGCTTCTCCCGCGAAGAAGATGCGAGACCAGCTGAGGCTGTCGACTCGGGGGCCTTGGAATGGGTCGGGGGCTTCTTGCACATCGACGATGGGTGCTGCTCCTATTCCTGTTGGGGCAATGGCAGTGATTGCTACGGCGTGGTATGCTTGGGCAACTCCCGATTCAGGTAACGAAGTCCCGGAAGGAGGATGGAGAGAAGCTGTAAGAGATGAGGTAAAGGATGCATAAATAGATGATAATTTCCTCGTAAGATGTGCTAGCCCACCTGGATTGGTACCCTCTAGCACAATTGGTGACCGTTCATGGTGCTCTTCCTTTAGCTCCGGTTCAGGCAATATATCGTTCCCGGTGCCGGTAGTGTTGACGACAGGTTCATGATGGAGCTGAAGAATGATATCAAGCATAATCGTGTCTCGAATCCTAGAGAACCATGGATCAGCCAGATCAGCGACGAGTTCTCTAGGAATAAGAATCTGCTCATCTCGTCCCAATGGCTGACCATTGATACTAAAGACTCGCCAAGCATCATTCAGTGGCCCATCGATCGATCGATATTGAGAAGGTGATTCCCAGATCAATCCAAGCTTCAGACCCGAAAGGCTGCTCACATAAACTCCATCCTGAACACGGATGAGAGCAGTGTTGACGAATTGAGGGTTGAATCCATTCAATGGTACGACTTGATCATTGTTCGTGGGGAACTCGATGGTGGTTGTAGGTTTGATAGGTAGTCGGTCACAGGTACCATTGACAGGCATCAGATTCTCAGGTAGTGTCCAGGGATAATATGTATAGTCCGATTGGACATCTGCCGCTTCATTCTTAAATCTCGAAGTACCTCCTATTATCGCATGTCTGCTGGGTATACGATCCAAACCCATCAAATTCGCTGCATGGAAGATATCCGTCCTAGCGGCAATTCCCGATACAGTGAACGGGACAGGCGTAGGAGGAGCTGGACAAGTATTGGTGTACTCCAACCCAGAATAAGTGCCAACATCCTTCCATTTTGGAGCCTTCTTCCTGATCACAGGGGATGATTTTTCCTTCGGGATAATGAGAGGATGGCCTTCCGTAGTAAAGACGTACGCTGCGTCAAGCTGGTTTAGTGGATGATCTGGGTCGAAAAGGAGATATAGATATTTTGCCGTCTCGCCAAGAAAGAAGCTCTCCATACGATCGCTCTTCTCTCCAGTATGAACATCAGCAAGACCGGACCAACCACAAGCCGTCCAACATCTGCTTTTGATATCCTCCAAGACCATTTCGCCAACGTGAAGGTACCAAGGATCTCGAGTTGCACGGTAGAGATGGTATGTAGACTCGATGAACTCTGGACGTCCAGGCCACCAATGGAAACCGCTCCACACTTTGCCATCTGTAACAGACCATCGTTCTGGAAGCGCTTTATACCGAGTCCACAACGCTGTATAAAGAAGACTCGTCTCGATAGCCTCTTCAACCTCACCAGCTAAAACCAACAAGCCAGGGTAATAAGCACCCAAGCTATCAATCCAATAAGCTTGAGGCGAACCAGTAAGCAGATGCACATTAACATAATGCGGATGATGCATCCCACTATACAAATGTCTCTTGACTGCAGCATGAGCCTCATGCCAAGCAGCCAAAAACGCCTCGGGAGAATTCTGATCCTCAGTCAAAGGAGTATAGATAGTATTCGGATCCAACCATGCAGGATGCGGCTCTTTGAATTGGGCAGTCAAGTTCGGTTGTTCGTGTCCAGAAAGAAGAATATGGCTCTTCAATGCATATTCAAAAAAGCTATCGGTGCCGGCACCAATGCCTGCATAGTGACCTATCCATTGTCCACTTTCGGCATCTATACCAGCTCCCATGAGTCCAATCGGGCTTCTCCGACTCCAAACGGACCAGAATGCTCGCTTGGCAAGTTGTTCGAATCTCGTGTCTCCTGAAAGTCGGCTCAGCACCGTGAATTCAAGGACCAAACTTCCAGCTCCAGCACTACACGTTTCCGTAATCTCAGGCCCGCCATCATTCTGATCATCCGCCCCAGCACCCTGATGTAACGGTGAATTGACATAGAACGGAATCCCATGCCTTAGATTGACCCTGGGATACGGCATCCCCGTCTTCGTATAAAAAGCCGGCAACAGACGCTCCGCCAGATCTAGCGCAAGTCTCAGAAGCTGTCCATTATACTTTAACCCATTCGGCCACGGAATCGCCGGTATCTCGCCCTTCTGAAGTCTAAATTTCGACGGCCGCGCAAGCCGCTTCGGGTTATATCCCAAGATTGGCAGATCCCCAGCAGCAAACAAATGCGCGCTCACCAACCCTCCTACGCCTCTAATAACCGTCTCGAAGACCTGCACCTTACTATCGACATCGAAACCCTGCGCTCGCAACCCCTTCCCCGCTGGTCCTTTCGTCCCATCTCCATATTGTTGCACCAGCGCCACGACCCCGTCCTGGAAATCCTGCAGCGCATTCGCAGCCGTAGCATCTCTGTCCGGCGGCGCAGAAGCCAGTATAGCGAGCGTGGACAGACTATCGATCAGCGTGAGCGAGTAGTTGCCCAGGACATCGTTCAGCTGCACATTATGCGGACTCGAATCGTCCCTCGTCAACGGGGTACAGGACAATGGTCGCAACTTGATCACACAATCAGCATTCCTCTCTCTCTGTTATCCAAAGCATTGACATCCTCACCTCATCTTCAGGAAACGCCACGTCCATATAGTTATTGTACCCATGATAAAACATATCCACCGTCTCCTGCCTCAGTTCCGCGATCCGCGCCGGCGTCATAGCATGGGCACACGCCGCGAAGAAGAGCGCGAGGACAAGCCATGTTGATGTTATTGTTGTGCCTGCAGAGTGAGGTCTGCTGCACAGCAGTCCTTGCCATCGCCATGGCATCACCGGAGCGCGTAATCGGCCGGAGGCATGTGAGCTCAAACGTATTGTCTCCAGGACGGTCGTCGCGGGATCGTTAATTCATTAATGGGAAAAGCTCCAGGAATGAGGAGAGGGAGGTGCCCTTTGTGGGGTGGTTGGTAAGATGGAAATCAACCTTGGAAGGACAATTGTTATCGAGGGCACGTGAGCGTGAATTTCGGCCGCCGGGCCGGGTACCTAATGAAGTCAATGGCTGAATCGTAGGTATGTTTGGTTACTAATTGTAGTGTCGCTATTTGATTATATAGAAGACAATTTTTTTCACTCCTTGAACTTGACTTCACGCTCAAAGCGATTCACCAATTTAAGTGTGAAAATGTAATGCTATCAAATCTAAGGTCGCATAAGGTCGCATGCAATTTGGCCACCTTTAAGCATAAAGAAAACTTACCAGCAAAGTCTAAAACATCGACCGGGAATTGCACAGGGACCAACAATTCTTGAACAAAGTGTCCGCTTCTTCTTATCAACACAGGCCCGTACACATTCATAACATTAAGTATCAAGAAAACATGTTCGTATCACTGCACTCATTCACAGATCGGGAGACACTTTTAAGTTTCAAAAACTCTGTAATCACACAAACACTACTAAACAACATAGCCTTCCATCCCTCACTTCACCAAACTCCAGACTCTCGACGCCATTCAATCTGATCGCGCTGTGGAGCGATGGAAGGAAAATACAAGATACAGGAATGAGGAAGTCATTATCATCATGCAATTGCAGCGCTCGACTCCAGCCAATGCAGTGATCTCAAGAAAACAGTGCCAATGCCAATCTCATAGCTATTATTCTTACACCAGTCCCCTGGGATACGTACTGTTTAGCGCCAAGAACCCTTACCAGTCAGACCTGCGACGCTTTCTCGTTGCTTCGGTGTGCTGCCAATAGTGCCTGTAAGTCGGACGGGACCACTCGACATGCTACCACTGGTTTGTCTGCTGACATCGATGGTAGTACGGCGATTGTGCTTCATGATTGGAGCAGTGCGAGGACTGAGAACACTTGAGGTGAAAGATCCTTCCTTCTGACTGGTGACCATACGTCGAGCGTGGCCAGCCGTGAACATATTCTCATTTGGCGGCGAACCTGCCATGACTGAAGCTGGAGGACTTCGGGCTCTTCTGCCTCGAATTGAGTCGTGTGCATTCGAGGCCCGTGAGATGGATCCAGAACGCTTCAAAGCCTGGCCGATCTTTGCACTGTCAGACTTATCCACTGTCCAGCTACCATTCTCACTTTCCGAGGAGGAATTGTTGCCGCTGTCGGTTGGTGTCTCGTTTGCTGTTTGTACTTGATGCAGGGAGGAGCGATTCGCGGCATTCGAAGCATTGATCGCTCGAAGAGGTGACTGGTCATTGTCGGATGAGGAGAGGTTTGTGATAGTCGGAGGTGGTGGTGATCCATCTGTTCTCTTTGACAAGAAACCAGCTTGGAAGCGATTTACCTTGGGCTTGATCTCGAATGACGGCTCTGGCGCAGCAGGAATTGGAGATGAACCGAGAGAATCGTTCGAGACTTCTTCTGCCAGGTAAGCGGGTAACTTAGGGAGAACGACGCTGTCCTCGATTGACGAGACTTCTGGGGTGTCGGCTGGTTTTTGAGGAGTCTTCTCAAATTCTGCAAGATTACCAGCTTCAGCATCATCACGCCATCTAACACTGCGTTGAGACTTCTTCTTTGGGGTATAAGAGAGTCCTTTCTTTCCCATGACCTTTCGTCGTCGAGGTGAAGACTTCATTGGTGATGAGTAGACTTGTGGTGCAGCAGCGACAAAAGCTGGCATTACAGGAACAGGGCGTGGTTGGCTCTCTGTAAGATTTACAGTCTTCTTCCTCTTCGGTGTTCCGCGCTTCGTTGGAGGAAACGCTTCGACGATCTTCATAGATCCATCCGGCTTGACGACTTGAGCAGCGGCTTCAGAACAGCTTTGCAGTAAACGCTTGAAGATAGTCTTTGCGTGCTGGACAGCCTCCTCCTCGCTCATGCTTAGAATATCATTGAGAGATGAGATGATGTCGAATTGAGCAGACAGAAGTACTTGCACAATTTGCGAATCCCCTCCCTTGTCCTGCTCCAGAACTTCCAGGTAAGCGTCTCTCGCAGCATTAGCTTTGAGCAGCTCTGCCTCTCGAGTTAGACTCGACACGTCCAAGCCATCTGCGGATCCATCGACTTCGGTCAACAGTCGGATACTATTTTGCAAGGCCGAATCAACAGCTCGTTCCCAGTTTTGCTTCTCGAGTCTTTGATGATAGTGTTGTCTACTATTCTCGAGCTCCAACTGGATTCCGACAGCTGTCTTCCGCATGGCAGCAAGACTAGTTGGCATATCACCCTCTTCTCTCGTATCGCAGATTGTATCAAATGCAGCAATCCACGACGAAAGAATACTGATACGTCTTTGGATAGCTGAGAGTTTCTTCATGTTGTTGGCCTTCTCCTCTCGCTCAGCAGCAGAGTTGTCGAAAGCAGCTCGAATTCTTAGTATTCCTTCTCTGGCAATTCCATCTCGCTTCTCACTTTGCTTCCTATATTTGACAAATGCCACACCTTCGAAGTCTTTTTGTTGTGCGCGGAGCTCATTGATCAGAGCCATTTGCTCATCGATCTTCACCAAGAAATCCTTGACGTGTCGGTTAACATTGTAAACATTTCTTGTGACCTTGGTCTGGATGTTCTTCGCTCGATTGGCGTATCTCAAGGTGTTTTGGGTCTCATCGAAGTGTGCACTAGAAGGACTGACACAGACAATCATGACCGTCTTGCAATTCCCACCGAGGGAGAATTTGAGGAGACGAGTGAGCTTCGAATTCCGGTATGGAACGTGATTCTTCTTTCGCGGATCGCAAAGAGCATTGATACAGCTTCCCAACGCAAGCAGGGACTTGTTGATATTGGCACCTTCGAGCAATCGCTCACCTCGGTTCTTTGTAGCACTGGCACGTTCACTACCAGCAAGATCAATGATGCTCAGTGTGGCCATGGTATGGGGTTCGTTGACATCCGCATTCCGGTCCTTCTGTGCGACGTTGATTTGCAATACTGCGTGTGACCGGGACGAAGTGGCATTGGCCTCCGTCGGCGAGACTGTTCTGTACTCGTTTCCTTTGACGATCATGTCCATGACCTCCTGCACATCGTGTGGATGGTGACTCGAAAGTCCTGCCACGGAGACTGCTTGATTGGCATCTTCTCGTAACATCAATCCTTGTTTGCTTCCACCAGGTACCAGTAGATCCCGAATCGTCTCATTGTAGATTTCGAGATATGAGAGGGAGACCTCTGTGTGCTTCTCGTCGCTGCGTTCGGAGATTTTTTCGAATAACTCCTGCATCGTCAAGAAGATGATACCGGGCTGTTGTGCCGTGCCAGTAATTGTGTGTGTCTTTCCGCAACCTGTCGCACCGTATGCAAACACAGTAGCATTATATCCTTCCAAAACACTGTCCAGCAGTCCTCTCGCTGTAGCTTCGTAGACCTCGCCTTGTGTTGTGTTCTCGTCGAATACCCTATCGAAGCCGAAGGTTTGATCCTTTACCCTCTTGCCCATATTCGATACGACAGATCGCGAGAATCTCTGGACCGGATTATCCTCTGGAGGATCGAATACTCTGCTCGAATCAGTTTATGAAGATGACCGCAGAGTATTTAGACGTACAAGCACTTGTCGTCTATTACTTTAACCACCGGTCGGATTCCCTTCTGACCAAGCTTTGGTGTTGGAGCTCCAGCGAGGGAGCCATCGCCGAGAAATAATGTACCGTCCTCACATTTTGTGCTGTTGATATCAGTGTTTGTTGTTCGATATTGACGGAGAACATACATTTGTGCAGCTTCGCGGATTGTGAAAGGTCTAACACGAACTACAAATGATCAGCATTGTAAAATCTTGCGGGTTCGATTGCTGCATACCTGTGACTGAGATTGAGCTCGCTCCCGGGTCTGTAGCTGCCATTGTGAATTATGCTTCGAAAATCGTAGCCAAACGCGGCACAAATTGACCGCGTGAGACCGTTTGGCGCGGAGCGATTTGCGCTCGATGAATATGAAGGCAAAAGGAATTAAAGATCGCAGGAGCTGATATTGTTAGTAGCAGGTGCGAAAGAGCGAAAGTCGTGCTGTCTGAAGTCGTTCGTAGTCTATGATTTTCCTATCAAATTCGAAAACACCAAACAACAGGGATTAACAGTTGTTGCGGCAACCGCGACCAGGGTCAGTTCGTTAGCGCGCATGGGACGCGACCTCGAAATGATGCCTGAGGCACCATTTAAATTATTAGGACCCCAAAATAACCTAGACGTGTTCGAATACTTAATACATTAGGAGGTAAATTCAGCAATGTTATTCTCTCAGGGTACCTTGAATTCGTTTTCTGTTGTAAGCAATCTGATGACATGGATATCCACTGGAAGTGTGGCTCCATCCTGTAACTCTAAAACATCAACACAGTAGGTATTCAAGAGCAGGACATGACGTGAAGTCAGTGCACTTAGTATTAATTCCTACTAACAACTCAATGCCATCGTATCATACAATCAGCTCCAGGAGATCTAGCCCAACCCCATATGCCCCCACCAACCAATACGCCATAAGCAAATGGGGCTGTAGCCTTTTCCCAAGCACTTTCCGAATGCATGCCCCAGATACTGCAACGCCCGAGCCTAAAAATACGCCATGATAATACCCATATTTTCACATTCCCTTCCCTACTCTTTCGTCCCCGATCAAGAAGTCTCGAATATGTTCAACGGCCATGCCGGACCCATCCCGCCATTTACTTGCGCACCCAGATGCGTAGAGCCGTGGTCCATGTTCACAGCAGCCTGGTTGGTGTTCATATCTCCCATACCGCTTCCCTGTCCAGAGTTTCCATTGCTCTCAGGATGACCTCGCCCACCCAGTTGTACTAAGGCACTTGCGCTAAAGCAGTCCTGGGGTTCTAAGTTTCCAGCCAAAGTATTCGTCCATTGTTGCCAAGAGGACTGTGTGGCGGATGTATTCGATGAGCGTTGCCAATTGCCACCATTGGCTTGGACTTGAGAAGCTTGTGCTGCAAATGCGGCCAGGAGTGGGGCCTCGACAGGATCACTGTTTGTGGGGTAATTGGAGTAGGTGTGAGAGGTCTCTTGCGGCGTGTAAGCTAGGGTTGCCGAAGAAGCTTGCTCCGGATAAGTGGAGTACTGGGTAGCAGCTGGATATGGAGTTTGTTGGTGAGATATCTGGGTTTCGGTTGGGATGTACGTCGAATTTGTAGTTGCGTTCCCATTGGAGGTTGGTGGGGTCTCAAAAGCATAAACGTGTGGGTTGCTTTTATTGCTGTTGTTATTAGAGTAGGTGCTTGCAGAATTCGATCGTTGAGATGGCGATTTGGAGTCAGATAATGCGTTTGTCTGCACGTAGCTGGAGCTTTTTGCGAGAAGGCTTTGGCTCAACAGACCCAGAGTCCCATTTGTAACCACCCGAACAGCTTCACGTAATCGGTTTCCAGAGCCTATCACCATTAACTTTGCCCCAAGAAATGAACAATTGACTCACCTAACAACGCGCCTACATCTCCCATAATATCCAACCACTTGTCCATTTCTTCTCGTAGTGCCGCAAGATCAGCTGCCGAAGTTTCACCCCGCTTGTCCCATTGTGAAAACAAAGTCGTAGTGATTGCCATAACATAAACAGCACTATTGTACCATGTAGTGTCCAGACTTTTGAATTTTTGCAGTTGCATAACCACCCCCAGCATCTGGCGAGACGATTCCACACATATTCTCATGCTCTCTGCATTGAAGGATGCGTCGGTAGTCATCGAGACGGATGGATGTCTGAGAAGAAGGCGGAACTCGAGAATCCACATCTGAGAATATAGAGCAAAGACTCTACCTTCTTGCTCATTCTGGCCAGCTTCGCCCTTGACAAGGTCACCTGGCAAGTTGTCTCTCCATGTCAGCAACTTCGACTCCAAACTGTTGATCGTCGCAATATATGTTTCTGGTTGACGCCGAACAGCATAGATTGTGCTGTACAACTCCACGAAAAGAGGTATGATTCGCATTGCATGCAAACCAATGTGATGAAGACACTTGCCGGGTCTCGATGTGTCCAAACCGTTCTCTGATAGCAACTCATCATCCACGGGCTCCAGAATCTCCACATCGAAGTCCTCCATCCTGAAAACCATCGGTCGACCTAACTTGCCACTTAAAGTGACATGAATAGCCAACAGTGTCCAGAAGGTTCGCTTTCGCATCTCAACATCCAGAGGATTTGGGATCGAATCAGGTGCCCATCGTTTTGCTGAACGGTGGAGTCCAAGCTCAATTGCTAAGGCCATCGTTGTTTGTGTCAATATCCAACTGGCTCCTGGTTTAGGGAAATTTCGAAGATGCATACAGATCAAGGTCAGAGCCTGTACATCTTGGACTGTGTGACTGCAGGAGAGTTGATAGAATTTGCTCAGAGAATAGTGATAGTGCATGTTCGATTGGTGAGTAAGACTAGCTTGCTGAACAGGGTCTTCCCAGTTCCGTGCAGCATATTGAAAGAACATAATGGCGAATACCATATGCATCATAACAGTTTCCGCCGTAGTCGGGACAAAGCTTGGATCATCATAGCAGCGTGTTAACTAGACATGTCAGTTATTAGTCAGACCTGATCGTTCTCTAGCACCTACCAACTTCATGAATGTTGGCTTATGGAGGAGCGGCATATACGGGTTGAGTACTCGGAAGTACCAGGCGGCATAAGTAAGGCCGTCATCACGTTGCGGTAAATCCACCTTCTCGATCCTGGGGTTGATGTTTAAAGCGGATTGCAGGAAAGCCTGATAAGACTTATTGTACAACTGTGGATGGAAAACAGAAGAGTCTGGCTCGTCCATATCCACAGAATCGAAGTCCGCAATGTCAATCTCCATCCCGAGAATAGAAAGAGCTGTACCTTTGATGGAACTTAGATTCGAGTTTCCAGGAGAAACCCCCAGATAGTTGCCGCCAGTACATCCTGCACGGAAAGCTGGAAGAGCACGGAACATGTTTGTTTCCTGTTGCTGTGCTGTCATGCTGCTCTGGCTTTGAGAAGAATTCCATGTCGGCGCCGACACACTGGGTGGATTGTATTCAAACACCTGGCCCCCAGCATCATGGTATCCATTGGTAGGTTTGATATCAGCAGCTCCACCCTGTATCAATCGTTGTTCCAATTCTCGAATGCGATGTTGGAGGTCGCGATTCTGTTGCTCGAGACCTTCAACGTAGCCTCTCGAGGTCGCACGACCTGTAATTCGGTCTGTGGTCCGACATTCTGTGTTATTCTGCAGGCAAGGTGAACATCCACCGGGAAGTCCATCGCATCTGATCTTGCGGACCTGTTCACGTAACCCTTAGTATGCACATGCGACTCGAGCGGGGGTCTGTCGACTTACCTTACAGCGGTCGCACGCCTGACCTGTCCTCGTCGACGATGCTAAGCGTTTCTTCACAGCATTGGAGAATTCCTCGGGGTGTTCAGCTTTGATATGCTTCACTGGAGTGCCGTTTGCGTCTGGCGCAGGACGCTTCTGCGAAGGCATTGCAGCGGAAGAAGCCGTAAAGTTCTGTTGCTCGATGGACCTTGAGATGGAGCTTGCCGTTCGGTATACCAACCCTCGATTTTGACTCTCTGCGAATCCAGTGTCCCGTCTTACGGCGCCCACGTCAGGCACGGTCGGAGTCGCATAGAGAGGCACGCTGTAGTCTTCTCGTTTGATGTATCCGTGACAAAATTGCGAGGATTGGGAGGCCGAACCGTGGAATATCATTTTCGCAGAGGGTGAGCGATCGCATCAAAAGAGGCTAACCGTGTTGGGCCTGGATCTGTTGTTGATGGTCACCACTCAAACGGCAGTTCCTAGGTAGCAGCAGCGGAGCACAGAACTCGGAATCTGGAGTATAAATACTCAGCAGGACATAACAAAGGCAGAGTATCTTCCGTATTGTCGTACAATATAGGTGATGAGGAGGAGGAGCAGCGTAGATGTCCGGTTTCCTGCAATTGGGACCCAGGGAAAAGAAGAATGGCCGTCCGCCAGGGTCAACAGCCATCCTATCCAAGCATGGCATCGATCACTCACTTGCCTTTACGAGCAAGTATCCCAACGCTGGCGGCACACGCTCAGCTCGATTGAGGAACGGCAGGCACAAGGCCATGCACATTGAGCATAGTCCTAGCATCAGTACGAGTACTCACTCGTACAGTACCAGATCGTCAATATTAACAGCAGTCCAAGCTTCTGTGCCACCAAATCGATGGGCAAGAAGACGAGGTTCACATTCTCTCTGGGCTGTGAGTGGGTGAGAGGACGACCAGTGACAGGCGGTCAAATCCATGCTGGAATTCCTTTCACAGATCTCATCTCTGAACCCCGGCGCTGGCTTGCACGATCACAGTCCTCTGTGCAGATGAGACGAGAGAGGACCTCTGCCCCTATCATGGAACGGACAAGCGAGGACAGGCTTCACCTCAGAAGGACTCCATCTGGTCGCTCCTTAATCTGATAGTAGCCATACAGTGAATGACTTTGCTTCGGGGACCTCGTGAGAGGTGAATTACTTTCGCTGATGTTCTAGACCGCAGCGGCCAGGTTTCACAGAGTTGGCATGGACAGAGACGGACAATACCCAGATGTTATCCTGTCGTTTCTTGGCGTCCCCTGCCCCTCAGCTGTTGGTCGCTAGCGCAGTGTGATAGGACTTCCAACAGTGGAGGCGTTTTGTCTCGTACGTTTGTCTCAGTGGCGGCCAGCATCAAGATCTTTACTCGTACAATGCGTGGTGTCATTCTAACAGGCTCGCGAGCTGATGCAATGCAGACAAGAATATTGAAGATGCATCTGGTGGTGATTAGGGTGATCGCCCCACGCCGCAAAGTGGCCCTAGAAGTCCCGACAACTAGGCTCGCCAAGATTTAAGCTTCACTCAAATTCGGGAGGGGACTTCGGCGGTGAGAGGCGCAACTAAAAATGTTCGCTGTAACCTTCCATGGACTACAACCTGTACTCTTGCGCTATAGCACCCACATATTCACACCTTTGGAACAGTCATGCCATCTGAACAATCTAGCACAGGTTGTCAATAGTGCTTTTTGGTGTGATCTCATAATCGCTGCAACTTGCAAGCATCCTACTCTATTATCAGCTTCAAAGACTAAGAATAGTCGAAAGAGCCCACAGAAAAGAACTCCACGTGTTGAGTCCTTGAAGCTCTCTCAACCACAATCAGGGCCTGAACGCTCCCAGCCGCATCCTCCCACTGCAAGCCCTCGGACACAAGAACCTGCCAATCACACCCTCCAAATACCCTTCCCACAAGGCTGAAGGGTTCACCAACCTCGTGTCGATTCTTAGGGGTCCTTCGATCAAGACATCCTCAACAACAAACACGAGGCAAGTGCTTCACCCGCCGCCAGACGTTGAACCGCACGAGTACCACCACCAACATATTCCTCCTCACCATCATGGCACTTCTTCAAACGGTGCAGCTAGAGCATCTCCCGCAAAGCCACTCCATCCACATCGCCCTCTACCGCAACCTCCAGAATGCCGCCTTTCTGCAGCAGCAGCTCTTGGAAGGTAACACGGATTACGAGTATGCGCTTATAGACGCTAGCGTGGTTCGTCCCCCTTTCTTTCCCCAGCCTCAATTCTTCAGAAATTGCAGCATGTAAACACGTGACGAGAGTGGATCTCATGGGATGGGTTTGAGATTGGAATGTCACTGATAATAAGATGAATCGATAGATTGTCTCAAAGATACACGCCTTGGCAGCCGTATACCGCGCGGTCAACGATCTGCTGGCGAATAGGTTACGAAGTCGAAATGTGCACTCTGAGATCGTCTTCTCGCTGTCTCCTAACAACAACGTTGGTCCCGCTTTCACTATGTTGCATTCCGATGTTGGTTTCCGGGCTTCGAGTCCTGCTTCCCCGGGCTTGATATTGCAGCCGAGTGGCTTTTGGCTTGAGATCACTCGAGCTTTCTTACGTGTCACGCTTCGTTCCACCATCACGCTCGCTTCGCTAAACTATCCCTGCTCCTAAACATCATCTCTCATCTGTCTTGTGTAACTCTAAGTTCTCAGCTACCACCATGTGTCTCCCCTCCCCTCTTTAAGCGCTCCTTCCTTATTCATCATATGAGCACTCCATCGTCCCACCTCACACAAACACCCAACTAACCTCCTCCGTCCACAGATCTCCGAGTCTTTCCGCCGTTTCGGCATCCAACCCACCACTACCTCGCTCCTTTTAATTAAAGTCTCAACCCCCACCTCCGAGACCTCACCCAGCGACCTCTCGTCTCGTCTCTCGACTCAGATACAAGGTGATGCTGTCCCTTTTACAGATGAAGAGATAGGAACGATGACAGATTTGGGGCGGGTGAGGAAGATTTATAAGTTAAATGTGCCGGGAGGAGGGGGAAAGAAGAAGGATGGGAATACGGCGGAGGAGAGGAGGGAGATGGAGATGTTGATTTTGGGGGCTATGGCGCTGAGGGGGGCTACGAATTAGAGGAATGAATTATCTGTCCAGTATCTTGGCTACTGTGAAGGTTCATGATTCTTTGATGTATGTCAGACTTGGTATCCGGGACATGGAGTGTGGTGCAAGTGCACTTTTCCTCACTTCAAACCCTGGGAGGGGGGCCACCTATCTGTTCTGGTTTGGAAGGCTTGCTATTGGTCTGACTCCATACTTTCAATGTCAGATCATGGACACAATGGTGCAGTGTCGTGTCAGCGTCTGGCTTTTTGCTTGTCACCGCCTTGTGCTTGTATCATGAAATTGTCTATCCGCGAAATGGAGAGATCTGTACAGTTACAGAGGTTCATTAATAGAACCAGATGCGGAGCAAAGACAAAGGTTGTAGAAGAGACTCCTTATGAAAGAGAAATAGATATATTGCAAGTGCACATTGTAATTTCTCTCTTGGATTGATCAAGAGCTTGAGATCTGGATATCTCATATTTCAGAATGCTCTTCATCGATAGCGTGAAAATAATTATGATAAGAAACTTGGGGGACAAAATTCAAATAGTGTAAATGAGCTTGAACTGAATTCGAGTGAAACGATCAAGGATTGAACTGAAATATATTGCTGCCCAATGGTGCACGAACAGGTGTGAAGGCCACGGACATTATTACACCGTTCCCTAAGCAATTATGATACAAACCATCTGTATCATTTATCGTTGAAATAGAATTCTAATACAACTAAAGATTTAAAAGATCTCACACAAACTAGTTGTCTCTTTTCAATCATACCCTAGACACTTTTCCTGTATAAAAAAGCCATAGTTCACTGACACACCAATGACAGCCGAATAACGATAAGCCACAAGACAAATATGTTGATTCCCTTTAGTTGATCTACGACGAAAATACTTGTCAGCTTTCAACTGAGCTGCATTGTACATGTCGGCTCATATACAACTATAGGCAGAGTGTCAGCCTCAAAGACTTTGAAGTAATGCGTTGCGACATCATAATTGGTGGCAATCTGGTTACTTACCGCAGAATAACTACGATACTGATCATTTCTGACAACTTGAAGTTGTGAGAATGTCCTTAGAGAGTTGACAGTTTGGAGGAATTCTACAGCCAGTATTATACAGACAGTGAGACCCAACCTAAGAATGAGTAATTTCCGCTTGTTATACTTTGTGGCAAGATATTGACACTAGAGCCAAGTCCACTAGCGCCTCTCAGGCTAACAAGGCCAAGCTCTTATTTATAAGGTGATTTTCCAAGTCTGAATACATCTTCCTCGATACATTACCATCTTGAGTAAATTTCTTCTGCGAGCGCAACTTGGACAATTCTTCCCTTTCTCTTACCACAACAAACCCACTCGTATTAGTGCAATAGTATTGGTTCGACATAAACATCAACATGGAAAATATCCAAAGCGCAAAAGCTTTCATCGATCAGTCGCCGGAGAACAACGACGTGACTGCTGGCGCCAACATGCAGCTCTCTGGTACGCAACGTTCTGAAGTCTCCGACTATCTCACTGCAATCGAGAAGAAAGATCCTGACTTCTTCGCCTATAATGAAGGTAAGTTGCGAATCTTCCTGCGGGCTACAATTACTAATTATGTTCAGATACATGGAAGATAGTTGAACCTGGCACCATGGCATCGGGCAACTTCATTGAAGGTGGAAGTGATATCTCTGTGATGGTACGCCCTCCGAAGCATCAATATAATCGAGTTTTTACGGTGTTCGGTAACCTGCCTCCTGAATTGCGCCTAAATATTTGGAAACATGCCTTGCCTGAGCCACAGGTAGTGAAACTTGGGCATGTTCATCCAGTTATATATTCCAGGCGGGAGGGTCGTATTCTCTCATTTCAACGACAATTCTTTGGAATAGAACATCTGCTCACCTCTCATGAGTCAGCTTCTGTTTTCAAAGAAAACTATACTCGGATAGCAGCAGAGAGTGCCAGTGTCGGAGCCGATCGGTCTGTGCAGGATCGTCCCCTCAGAAGCTTCGCATATTACTTTGACTTTACGAGAGACACATTGGTGGTGACAGTTAAACTCCTCTGCTAGAGAAATTGACCATCGTGTTTGATATGCCCATGGCTTTGAGGAGGCTTGAGAGGCTAGCTTATGCTAACGATGCGTATGTTCGCCTTCTCTCCATTAACAGCGATCTTATATACACTGAGGTAGTTGATGCATTCGCTCCCACGGACGACCACTCTATCTATAATGAGGTAATTGAGCCCTTCGCTCGCACCAACAACGAGCCACGTGCCTGGCAATCTCTCCAAAAATTCGAAGACGAATATGTTTGTAGAGATCTCAATACACTCATCTACAATGCCAATGTACTCCGAGAACACCTTACACGAGACGCTACGGAAAGCGTTGACCCCTGGAGTAATATCACTTTCGATGTTGTCATTTACGCCGCAGAGAAATGCAGGGAGGAGAAATGGAACGTTGTCACCCTTGCACTTGCACCAGTAGTCAAGATGCCTTATGAAATCGGCTTCTACACCTTCAAGCCAGCACACGAGTATTTGGATTGGTATATGACTGTCAACATGATAAAAATCTGTGTTCACATGAAATGCAGGGCCGGCCAGCCTACTTACAAGAAGCTGCACAACGAAGATACCGAGAAAGGACATGGAGAGGGGAAGCTGGAGATGGTGATGAAATCCAAGAAAGAATTTGACGAATTCGACGCTTCCAGCATTCATGTGGACACAGAGATTGGCGCAGACGACCCCGCAGTTCATTGAGCTTTTGGTAGGATTCAATGGCAATAGGTTTTTTGAGGTCTTTGGGGCATTGAATAGCCAAACACTAGAGCTTGCTTCTTAGGCTAGAGACTACTCATTAAAACAATGAAATGATTTGCGAAACTCTTGCTGTTACCGGGCCATGCTTACCAATTGTTCAACACTTTAATTTCGCTTCTTTGAGATGAACCATCGAACAAAAGAATCGCATAGTTCCGCTCTAGAGTAAAGACAGGTGCTGAGAAAGCCAGCCTATCTTTTGATCTACTCGAGGGCCAACTTTTGTTTTCTAGTTCATTTTCATTTAATTGATAACTCTTTAAAGTAGATGGACTATAATAGACATTCCTGGAAGACAATGCAAAGCCTTCCTGTCCAGATCTTTCAGATGAACTCTTTCTAGACTTGACTACCTGTTTCGCTTGGGACCTTATAATTTGCATGTGCACTGGCCTTGTCCTCAAGCTGAATATTCTTCATATGTAGTACTTAATCCACCTTCCAGGCTGTTATTTGATCCCAAAGCCCTTACTTTTCTCAGTGACCACCAATACCATTGCAAAGTTGCACATTCCAGGTGATGATACTGCTGAATGCCAAAACTCAACCAATATGAGATGCGGCACGAATCATCACGCCTTCACTTTCGACGACAGCGGTAAATGATCCCCCTTCCCGGTACGCAAAATCTATTTAACATCTAGTCAGATGTGGATTCTGAGATTCACTCAGGGCCACACTTCCAGAACCCTTCATCGCAAGAAATTCAAGAGACTTCAGCTAATCCTATCATCGAGGAGGATTTGCCACCAAAACTTACCTCTCCGTTCCATAACTTCAATGATCCGAAATGGAAAGTCTATAGCAAAGGTTTGTATCCCTCCACAGAAGACAACCGCAACATACTGACAACTCTCAGAACATTGGGACATGCTGCCTGCAGGGAAGATTTCGGACGATGGCTCCATAAGAACGGACGACGTCGTGAAACCCAAATCTGTTACCATCGAATGGCCAAAGCGCAAACTTTTCCCAGCTTCCTTTACAATGTTTGCTCAACTTCCTCCAGAAATTCGTCGAAAGATTTGGAATGATACACTGCCCGAGCCTCGAATTCTCGTATTGAAGCTTCGACATGGGTCACCTACCTATCTGCCTATTTTCGACGATATAATCGGCGAATGGCCATTTGCAGGATTGCAACATCTTTGGGCTTGTCGCGAATCGTGGCATGCCTTTACTGAGCGATACCATCAGATTGATACCTTCGACAAGTACCACTTGCAATTCGATGCTTCGTTCATCCGTAAGACTGCCTGGATTGATGGACGGCGCGATACTCTTGTCCTTGATGCAAGTGTTCTCATCAAGCGCTTTGACATTGATCTCTCAAGAATCCAAAACTTAGCTATCTCCAACGAAAAAGCCTTCCATTGGTTCAAGACATCGGTATTTGCATACATTCGAAAACGTTGCCCTCTTCTCAAACGATTTCAAATCGTTCTTGGTCGACCAGACGAGCACAATTGGCAAGTGTCTGCTGGTGACAGCCTCCGACTCGTTCGTGTCGATGACGATATCAAGTACTGTGAGATTGACAGCAAGGAGGAATTGGAAGATGACGTCCGATTTTCACAGTACTACTCAGCTTTCGCCAGAGAATCCGAGTTTCTCGAATGTTTACGCACTGCAGAGGAAGTTCATACTCGGTTCAAGAGTCATTGTGCAGCCAACAAAGAGTGGAAGAACATCGAGTTTCAAGTATCACTTCTTGCAGTGGAAGAAGACAATTGCAACATGTGGTACGTGGAGAGTGTTGCTGTAATGCCGAAACCTCAAATCCTTATCGATGTTTCTTTCAGGGTGGAAAAGCCCATCGTCCCGTGCCTTGACACTACTTTGGAATTTCTCGGTATGGAAGATTGGGACTTCAATGTCAAGTGTGATCGTGGAGGTGCGATTCACTGTCCGTATGATGGCATCAAGGAATTGTTCCAAACTGACGTTAACAATGATCCCATCAGAGATCTGACCAAAACGTCCATAAAAGACTTCGGCAGAGATGGCGAGGGGGATTTTGGGGCCATGTTTTCGGTACCAGAGGACCTAGATTAAGTATTAAATGGAGCGGGAAAGTAAGTCTGGCTAGTTTGACGGACTGGAATTCTTGTAAAGGAGATCATGTGTTGTAGTTTCATAACCTTCAAGGTTGGGTGGCTTCATCACGGAGATTTCATGGAGGATCCCATAGAAGCTAGAAGAGAAGTGTATAGTATCATGAAAGCCATTCAGGATCCGTGTTACTCGGAGCCCTAAAAGTAGCTAGTTATCATCTCAACTTATGAAGCTGATTTGAAGGATCAAGAAAGTCCTCGTAGTTGTGGCTATAGCCCAGCGCAGTTCACATGACCTGAGTAATTCACCGATAGTCCGACTTCAATACCTAGCTTAACCTAAGGGTCGCTAAGGCTTTCTCGATCTAATACTAAAGCGTAAACAAAACATCAAGCGCAAAGGCTTCGTACAACACAACAACGCTTGCAATTACCATTGAACATGCCCTTGCATCAGTAATGGATTTCAACGCTTCCATGACGCATTTGGTTGACAATTCTGCGTTCTCCACCTCGGATCCCGCGATGTTTTCCCAAGATCGGGCTACAGATGAGGCGCCAGAGCTTGAGGCGCAAGTCACAGTTCCCGTTCCCAATGCTTTTTCTGCTGTCGCCGACCCTGGCATCGCGTTGCCAGATATTCCCTACTACAGACACGAGAAGCGTGAGAAGTATCAATTGGTGTCCAAAACCCAGCAGTGTTTTGATGATCTCAGTCGCAAAGACCCCGATTGGTTGCACTACAGTCCAGGTAAGCACGCTAAATTCGGAACCTAAGATGAGGGGAACATTGCTAAGTATTTGTCCTAGACAAATGGAAGATCGTTCCCCGAGGATCCTTGGCTTCTGGCAAATTCATCAAAGGTGGAATTGTCTACAGCAAGATGGTTTGGCCCTCCAAGAGATCCGCTGATAACTTCTCCAAATTTGTGGATCTCCCAATCGAGCTGAGACTTTTAATCTGGAAGCACGCTTTGCCTAAGCCGCGAGTTGTCCAATTTACCTATTCCCAGCGAGAAGACGGATCGATTGAGTGGAAGCTGCTGCATGGCGGGGACTTCTTCGGGAAGCTACATCTTCTGACTTGTCAAGAGTCGGCACTTGTCTTCAAAGAGCATTACACCAACATGTTGACCAAGCCTTCACCTGAATTCGCAAGAGACACGCCCAGCTCTGATAACGAGCCTGTTGCTACAATCAACCCTGATCATCCCGTACGCTATATGGATCTAAAGGAAGATACTTTGTTGATAGAAGGTCTAAATTACATGAGGCTTCGTGGCATGGGAATATCTCTGGATATATCAGAGGTTCGTAATTTGGCTGTTTCCAGTGATTTCGGACCAACATTTCAAGTTGACCATTGGTTCTTTTCACAAGCTGCTTGGATAATCACCCCGCAGCTGAAGAAGCTTACTCTAGTCTTCGGTAAACCATGTTGTCACGAAGAACCCGGTACAGATCTCCGCCTGGTAAAAATAGACGAGAACTTCAGAGAATTGGAGTTCGTCTGCGATGAATCAGATGAGAGAACAGGTGACGACTCACGAATTACAGCCTTGATCAGAGACGGTACCGACGCGATGATTGCAGCACAATTTGAAGCAGCCAAATCAAAGAATCTCTCTGAACGCATAGATCACTTCAAGCAGGTGTTCCCACCGATCCAACTAATGGAGCATCCAAAAGGACCAATGAGCTTTGACGTTGCTTTACTAGCAACAGAGCCACGAAAAGAGCTTTGGTGCACCGATCTGCTGTTTTTGGCCCCAATCGTCCCGCTACCCCTTGACATACAATTCTACACGCTCAAGCAAAGTATGAAATACCCACACTCACGTCTTACATTCAAAACAGGTTGTAAGATCAACGTGCCGGTAAAATGCGAGCGAGGTGGAGCACTGTACAGTAGGTATGATGGCATCGAAGAGCTGTTCAAACAGGGAAAAAAGAAAGAGGAGAAGGTCACGGATTCGAATTACTCAGTGGCAATGGAACGGGTTGAGGATATGTCGAGGTTTGATTTGAGCGAAAGATGTTTGAGCATCATGGAGGACGCATGAATAGGTCTTTGAGCAATAGGTACGTTAAGATGGTAGTGAACGGCATTTCACAAAACCATTCAAGAACATTGACCTCCTGTAGAATAATTAGTAATAAAACCACATCACAAAATAAATGATAACAGTTATGTGCATCTCAGTGGCAATGTCGAGCAGGAGTACGAAGATCGAAGGCTCATTAATTTCGGTCTTTGTACTTGCTCTGGGTTAGCTCGCCTTCGGATGATCAGTAGGTTGACTGTTCAATTCACGCTCAATAACAGGGCTTATATTCACTTTTGACGATAATTACCTAGGTACTTTCCACGTCTCGTCCTCTCGGTAATCCAACCTCAGCGCATACACTTGATCACACCCACCACAAGTCAACGCGCATACTCCAGATTCTAATCTCAACGCAGATTATTGTATTCTGCGTTGTATCATCATTGAAACTGCATTGGCTCCTCGCGCAGACAATGGCGGACAACGTGCTCTCACCAGAAGTGGCACTTGTGACCGAAGAAACCCCCTCCCAGAACTCAAAGATGCCGCAATCGGAAGAGCTTGCGATTCAGACGTCTGCTCTCCATCTTTGGCAAGGTAATGCGCTCCTAAATCACAGAACTTGGGTATGAAAGAGAATTGACACTCCGATCTTAGGTGCACAAAATGATGCTGAGCATGTCCAACCCAAAATCAACGAGGCGCAAAACGGTCAACACGCAGAGCAGCAAGTACGGGTCCCTACAAATCGAAAGCTAAAGTCGAGCGCCGAGCAGGAACGGAGATTAGGATTGAGACTGCCCAGCATGGCCGACTTCCTGGCTGTTATGACGAAAAATCCTGAATGGCGCGTCTACAATCCAGGTATCTACTGAGTTTCAGTTTGTGATATGTGACTGACATTCCATAGAGTTTTGGAAGATTCTGCCACCATCTGAGGCTTTGGGTCCCGTCGCACTTGCTTTTATGAGCCAAACATGCTTGGTGCCATGGCCTAAAGCCGCGGTCCAAGCAGAGCCAACGTTCACGCCATTCCCAAGGTTGCCTGCGGAGCTGCGACTGAAGATTGTAAGTAACAGCCTTCTCTTTTCTTTCATCTTCCGCAACAAAAACAATCGCTATAATACACCTCCCCTGAATGTTCCATCTTCATTATGCTACCTTTTTAAGTCAAAGCCTATACTAATTTATTGTAATTAGTGGGAATGTGCCTTGCCGGATGCCAGAGTGGTTCCATTCAGAAGACGTTCTCACAAAGTAGGCATTGAACGACCTCTTTACACCTTGGACTCGAATGAGCGTCGTCTCACTGGTGCTCACTTGGCTTGTTGGGAATCATGGACCGTCTTCCTAGAACACTACCAAAAGATAAAGCTATGGAAAGGTGACTTCAGAGTTTCAGACGGTAAATACAACTTCGCACAAGGCTATTTCGACATGAAGCGCGATACACTCTTCATCACCCACGCGCTCCTGCACTCTCTGCGCTCGATTTTGGACCTGCGATTGCTGCAACACATCGCTGTTGGAGTTTACAAACGAGTAGGCTCCGATGGTATGCCTTTATGGTATCTTGCTACGTGCATGTGTCCGGAATTGGTTTCTTATACCTATGTCCCCACAGGGCGCACGAGAGTCCAATCTTCGAAAGCTTCCCTACGGGAATATCGCCTCATCGAAGCCGACGATCTAAAATATACATTGTGTGACAAAACTACGGACTTCCATGACCTATCAAAGTTTCAATCCACCGATGACAACGAGGGATTTTTGAATCAATATCTGAGAATTGTACCCTTCATTCAACAACAGATTGATGAAACTATTGAACAATTTCGCAAAAGTCCAGATTTTCGAATTCCCGCATTTAAGATTTGCGTCCTGATGCTCCAGGAACCAGCGAATCACGGACGATGGCTTGTCCAAAAGCTGGATGTAGCTCCTGTGGACAAACGCGAACACCCTCTTGGTGTGACATTTCATACATATAAGCCGATCGTTCGAGACGTTTATAGTATGCTTTGCCTGAAGGACGCTGTAGCATCCTATCGGGTGTTTTACATGAAGCCAGATGGTGCTCTCGTCAGCTGTTACGACGATGTCAGAGAGATCTTTGACGAAGACAAGCTGGTAGACACAAAGAAGGAATCGGAAGGTGTTCTTCAACTCATACGGTTGAAAGATTACTGAGAGCCATCTCTGGTAGTCTGCTTGATGTTAGAGAGGATACTGCGAAGATACGTGGAAGGTTGGTAGGTAGAATTGGACATGGACAGTACTGCAGCTAGCTACAGCAAGCTTATGTATCGTAGTCTAGCCAATAGGTAACCAACTTTACCATGAATCTAGATCAACAATGGTGAAAATTTCGATTCGTGCATCAGCGATCTGGCGATGTCAATGAAAGTCTCCCATTTCTTGCTAATAGACGATTTCTAAGTCAACTTCAATGCGCAAAGTCATAGGCGGAGTGGCTTGCGTTCCTTTGTTGCATTCTTTCAACTATATTCACAACACCTGTTTCTTGGGTCAGAAATTTTCTGCGAAATGAGGTCACCTCAGAATCTGAGGCAAAATCTCTTTCCTTGCTATTAGTCTAGGTAGAGTCTTCGGCTCACTTGAGCTTTCAAGGCTTAGACGACCACAAATATTTACTTTTCACTCTATCTCACATCCACAAAGAGTCTCAAAACAAGAAGATCTGGAAGTCCAATCAACAATCTCGGGCACAACGGGTTCATTCATCTCCTCTCTACACTACCAAACGCCAGAAACGCCACAGGAAATAACTCCACCACAATTATCCTCGAACCCTCTGTCCTTTAAAACCCCAATATAAGGCTTTGGTACTATCAGTATCCGATGCAGCGCCATCAGCGTCTTCCTCGATTTGGTTATGCTTCGGAGGGGGTTGCTTGACCCGGTTCGCCAAAGACACCTCCCAGATCGCCTCCTTAGGCTCTGCGGAAGCGAGGGCAGGATATGTACTTGAAGCGAGAGCAGGAGCGCGCCCATCATCGTATTGTTGGCGCAGGCGAGGGTTGGAGAGGACTTAGTATGCCTTTCTGATCTTGCGCCAAGTGCCTTCAGCATGGCTAGCATTCAAACCACCGGCCTGGCGATTGGCTCTGCCCACTTCAGAGTTAGGGCCGAATTGTTCCTCTAGAAAGAATCTTGATTAGCTCTGGGGAATTTAAAAGCTGTTGATATGGTCAACAAGAACTTACTCTTGTGCTTGTAACCACGGAGAATGGAATCATGCTTGACACCTGATTGAAGACCAAGAACTTTATAGTAATTGACACCATAATCGATTTTTACTGCTGGAGCGTTGGAGATGTACGAGGGAATAGGAGCGGTGGCGGGAAGGGGAGAGGCGATTGCAGGAGGACCACTCAGAGGACAGTTGGCCAGCTGTTTACAGCTTTTATTAGCCATTAGAACTTTCGAATTTTAAGGATAAGACGATACGTACAAGAGAAACATCGATCTTGATGCGTGGATGACGGCCGGCAACGATGTCTTCTGCGAATTTCACGATTCTCTCGTACTCTGCAATCTCTGCGATCTCCTCCGCAGTAAGAGGCGCAACGGAATTAGGTTCAGCCGACATGATCGTACAGCGAGTGGTGCTACAATTGAGGGTATTGGATTGAGTGTGAGATCTCTGGACGATGTTGCGAAGATAATGCGAAGATTTGTTTCTATACGGAGAAGAGGTCGAGAGGTTGCTTGTTGTTATCCGCGAGGCTGCAAATTTGGCGCTAACTTAAGCGAGCCTTCCCCCTATTATTTGTTCTCAAACCAGACAATGATGCCTACCTAGTATTTTGGTCAACACAAGCCCATAGATGATCTTGTAAACTGATTATTGAGCAAGAAATTGCAAGGCATGCCGAGGATTGGCAATCCATTTCACAGAGAGACGGAGAACAAAATTACGCGTCATATGATTTGATAGAAAGGCAGGCCTTTGTGCTGAGAAGTTTCACAAAAGTACCCTTGATCTTAAATAGTTTACAGCTCATAAAGTCATACGTTCATAGTACCCCAAAGACAAAAGCTACTTACTCGAGGTATTGTGAGGCAATATCGGTTCGGATAATTGAGGTTCGTTCTATGACAGCTTCTTGCCTCACGAAACTCTTGAAAGTGCACTTGAAGAATGTCTCGGCTCACTGTTGTTCTGCATGAAACTGCTTGCTTCAGTCTGGAAGTGTATAACTGCCAGCACAAGCCCATTCTATATCAAGGTTTCTCTTCATTCGAGAAATGCTGTAATCATTGTACAAGACAGCAATTTGAAATTCCTCTCATACCATGCCTTGTATTCTCATGATTTGACTCACAATCTCATAATTGACTTATCAAGAACTCATAATTTCAACTCGAACGTGAATATAAGAGCTGCGACGTGCAACAAAAGTCTTCAAAAGGGGTCGCACCAGTCACATGAGAAGCTTCTCAACTTCGACGTGCAGGAGGACAATGACATGGCTATTTGTCAGGAGCTCAGCACAGACAGTGATGAACAGTTATTTCTCTGGGGCACCAAGTGTGTTGAGGAATGAGGCAATGGCCCAAAAATGCTCGGTGATTGTCAAGTAGCTGATTGTACAGCATAGTGCCTTGACTTGTATAACCTTGCAGGGTCCGACTTAGTTTATCCAGTCGTACTTTCAAGAGAACCCAATGTCCGCTCCATACCTAGGAGATTTGAAGAGCTGGAAATGATGGAGGGATTCTTGTACAAGGAGTCGAGTTCAAGTAAAGCGCTAAACGGGCTGAAATCGCTAAATGCGTGAAATGCGCAGATTGTGCTGGACGCGCTGAATGTGCAGCAACGCTACCATCACTCGATGAATTGTTACAAGTGCCATTGCCCGAAACGAAAAGAACTGCTTCCAGAACAGGAGCTGAAGTTCAACATATTCTATTCATATTTATCCTATCTACGAAGGAGGCTTGTATCCGTCCACATCCGTGCTATTCGAGATCTTCTCATACTTCTTATAATTCTCACCATAAGCCTCAATCTTGCCCAAGATAGCCTTATATGCATCAGATCCAATAACGACTCTCAAAGGAGGGTCCTTCATCACCGCCAACTCATACATAGCTTTGGCTCCCTTTGGTGGATCACCAGCCTGAGTGCCATGTCTCTGCCCCATCTGCTTCTTAGCATCGATGTGATCATAGGCCGGATGTCTCTTCTCGGGGAACGACATCGATCGTCCCGCCCAATCGGTCCTGAATCCACCCGGCTCAACACAAGTAAACTTGATGCCCCATTCCGGCTTAACCTCGTGCGACAATGCCTCGGTGAAACCCTCCACGGCCCATTTACTAGCACAGTAGATGGAGAACGTAGGAACGCCTCGTTGGCCACCGATAGAGGTAACTTGTTGGATCAATCCTCCAGAAGGCTTCTGCTCTCGCATAACTTCCATAGCTTTCTTCGTGACGCGGGTCAGACCGAAGAAGTTGACCTCCATCTGCGTGCGGACTTGTTGCTCGGTCAGTTCTTCAAAGACGCCTGAGAGGCCGTAGCCAGCGTTGTTCACGACGACGTCGATTCGGCCGAATTTGTCTAGAGCGGATTTGAATGCGGAGTCGATGTTCTCGTTCTTTGTGACATCGAGTTTGAGAGCGAGGAAATTCTGGCTTTGTTAGTTTTGTGGAGTGAGGTGGGACTGGGGAGCGTACCTTGTCGTTTGTGCCCTTGAAGTTGAGTGATTCTGGCTTTCGTGCTGTAGCAACGGCGATGTCCCCATGAGCCAGGACTTCCTCAACTAAGTGGAAGCCGAAGCCTGTCGATGTACCAGTGATGAAGAAAACTCGAGGCATGCTGATTGATGTTCAATTGAATGTTTGACTGCAAGGAGAATAATCCACAGCGACAAGGAGAGCTTATATACCTACGAATACCCACCCAGGAAGGTTCTCACACGTCAGGCCATCGTCATTGGGCCAGATCCTCGGACTTAAGATACTAAAGCCCGTCTAGACCTCATACTCAGAGAGTGAGCGTCGTGCATAAATAGTTGTGGATAGTGGGGTTTATGATCCATGACGTTGAGAGGAAGCTTTGGCTGACGTTGAAAGAACCAGCGGGTGCTGACTCAGCATGTCCGAAAGCTTAAATTTCTTCGGCCGATGCCATCGGATCAAATTCTTTTGTATCAAAGTCTTTACGAAATACGAAAGTCAGACGCTTTTGGAAACTTTAGATTTCAAGTCTTATGAAGAATGTCTCTCATTAGGACAATGGGTATATCACAATACACTACTTCTACACGTAGTCATACACGAGTATCCTACACATCCACCTTCTCATCTGCTTCACTCTCTTTTCCTTTCTCCTTTCCCACCACATCAGCCCCATCCCTACCCAAATTCACCACATTCCTCAAACTCCCAAAAGCAAGCACATCACTAATCCTCTTTGCTCCACTAAACAGCATAACCAACCTATCAACACCACATCCCCATCCTCCCGTGGGAGGTAATCCCCACTCCAATGCCTCAAGGTAACTTTCATCCACGCCACTACTAGCTCTATTCTCTTCGTCCTTCCATTTCAGTTGCTGCACGAACTTTTCTCTTTGCTCGAAAGGAGAATTCTCTTCTTCGTACATATTTGCGATTTCGCGGTTCTGAATGAAAAGCTCAGCACGAGCGGAGACGAGTTGTCGAGATTGGTGATCGAGGAAAGATTTGGAGAGGGGCGCCATGCAGGCAGGATGGTGCGTAATGAATGTTGGAGAGGTACATGAAGGTTCGATGAAGATTGAGGCGAGCTTGTCAAGGAGACGAGGGAGTGTTGGCGAAGAGGGGAATGGAAGTGAGTGCTTAGTGAACAGGGCAACGAGTCGTTCTTCTGCATCCGCAGAACTAAGATCTGGAAGTTTCTCACCCAAACTCTCTTCGATGGCGGGAATAAAAGAGATGCGTCTAAATGGCATAACAAAGAGATTTGGATCTAGCTTCGGGAGAGCTTCGAGAGAAGTTTCTTGAAGTGAAATGACCAACTTTGCCATACCAGACAGCATGTTCTCAGTCATAACGATCAATTCTTCCAGATCCGCAAACGACTTGTAGAATTCACAAGTAGTGAATTCCGGGTTGTGCGTTGCATCCAGACCTTCATTTCTGAAAGCAGGACCAATCTCAAACACACGGTCCATACCACCAATGACAAGCCTCTTCAGCCATATCTCAGGAGCTATCCTCAAAGCCAATTGTTTCTCCGAGAACTCCGTCGCAACAGTAGTGAACGGTTTCGCAACAGCTCCACTGGCTTTATCGGAAATAAGCGGAGTTTGCACCTCCAGAAATCCATCCTTGAGGAGGAAGTCTCTCATATGTTGAATCATGTGAGATCTCAACTTGAGAGTTTGAGCTACTTCATGATTGACCAATAGATCAACGTGACGATTTCGAATCCGAGTTTCTCGATCATCGAGCTTACTCGGAAGTAGAGTCAAAGACGGACTTAAAATTCGAGGCAATTCATGAGCCACGACGGAAAGCTGTCCGCTGCTTGTGCGGTGTGGAACTCCATAGGCAGCTGAGAACAATCAGCAAATCATCTATAAAACTGTAACGGAATTTCTCACAAACAATATCACCACGTCGAATCAAATGATAAAAGTTCTTGAACGCCTTGGGATCAACGTCATGAACCGGATTCAACGATTTCTTCTCCAGCAACACCTGAGTCGAGACACCATCTTGTACCAAATCCAGGAAAACGAGTTTGGAGCCCGCAACCCTGAAGCCCTTCAATCTCCCATTGATCCTCACCAACTCATCTGGAAGTTTCTGGTTGATACCGATATGTTTGAACTTCTCCTCAAAGTCTGCTATTCGTAACGTTTCATTGTCGCTTTTGATCCTCGGCCATTCCAGGGCACCAGCCTTTTTCAGCTCATCGATCCGCTCTCGTAGCTTTCTTGGATCTCCAACTACTCTTAAGGAGCCATTGTGTGCATTGGCAGTAGAGATTTTCTCCCCGCGGTGACAACGGGCTCTCGAGGTGGAAAAAAATCGGAGGTATGCCGATTTGCTGACAGCACAGACTTCCTTCTGCAGATACGGGCGTAGGAATCGAAGACCATTCGAAGGATTCATTCTATTCTTCTTATTGAATTAGCAATTGTACACACAATAGCATCATGCAGCAAGAACCAAGCTCAGGGATATTTTTTCAGACAACGGATCGATGTGAGATCAACCACCCCGTAAGGTGTCAGTCGCAACGGTTCTAATGTTATAATGAAATCATCATTGTATCCCCTTCCTCCCCCACCAAGTAAAATAAACACGAAACTTACAGCAATAACACAAACAATTCGAGCTTCCGCTCCAATTATCGTCCCATCATGAAATGAAGCTCGAGCAGCAGAGAAAATAAATTTGCCCTGGCAGGCTCGGTCCGCTAGCGCCCGCTTCGATTCATCCTCATCCCAGCTCCAAAATCTCAAGCTCTCCAAACCATCACCATCACCAACAACCTCTACACAATTCCATCCTCAACCACAAAACCAAACACCCCCCAAAAAGCCAGCCAAGATGTCAATGTTCGGCCTCGGACGTCCGCAGCCCTCATCGGCCGAGAAAATCGCCGCCGCAGAGCAGGAAATGGATCTCGTAACTGACATGTTTAACAAGTACTTCTCCCTTCTCCTCCTCTCTCCCCTTTACACACTTTTGCTAACGAGGAATGAAACAAAAGGTTACAACAAGCCTGCTTGAAGAAATGTATACCCCGCGAGTACCGCGAAGGCGAGATCAACAAGGGAGAGGGCGTCTGTATTGATCGGTGCGCGGCCAAGTTCTTCGATGTGCAGCTGAAGGTGTCGGAGCTGTTGCAGGCGGAAGCGCAGGCTAAGGGGGCGAGTGGTGGTGGGTTTGGGATTGGTGGGATGTGATGAGACTATGAGTAGGTGGAGAGAGAGGCATAGCTGATGATACCGCGAAGGGAGGAAGTTCTGCGGTTGTATTACTGGGAATATGGAAAGGCGGAGATTCACGGTCATAATGAGAGTGATGCCAAAGATGGAGCCCGGAATCAGGCTTCTTGTATTATAGATTCATATTGCGGACAAAAACGGCGTTCGTTATCCACTCCAACTGATGTTTTCATCCCGTTGTGCTTCTTTGTTACCATGTAAATGCTGGATGGGTATCCCTAAACCTTCTAACGCCCGCTAATATGATTACACAATTTCTTGCAACTTTTGTTTTCTGCCTAGGGATTTCGCCGAGGTGCTATGATGTTGGGACCTGTTCCTATCCCGGTGATAGAGCGGACAAGCCAATGAGGCCAACTTTCCTTGCTAAGTTGAGCCTCAAGCTCGTTTGCTCTGCTTTCCAAATCGTCGACCTGTCTTTCGAATTGGGACACTCCATCCTCCACATCCTGCACCTTGGATACCAAAGCGTTGATCTCATATTCTAACTTTGCTCCAAGGACCTCGATGTCTTTCATGGACTCCATGACGTGTGATCTTTCGTCCGTCAAAACATCCTGCGAGCTCTGCTTGACGGCCTGATATTGTTCCGTCAGCTGATAGTACAATGTCTGGAACTGTTCCTGATCTTCTGCAGCCTGATTGTCGAGTCCGTCGATAGCATCAACTTTCTCCACGACCCAAGGTCCAATTTCATCTTGCAGATCTGCTATTTTCTCATAGAGACGAATGTAGTCCTCTGCGATAAGCTGTTGTTTCTTAAGGGCGGACCATGTATCAGCTTCCTCTCCATCATCGTTCAATACAGATATTGGCTCCCATCCGAGGATAGCCTCTTCTGCATCAGTAAAAGACATCTGACGAGGCCACCAGGCTTCATTTCGTGCCTTTTCCACCATAGGAAATGCTCCAGACAAGCTATGGCGTCGGTGAAGAAGGGTTTGGAAGTTGTTTGGATCCCGAAGTGCTTCCAAGACTGGACCTTCCAGATCTCCATCTCCATAGATAGATCCTGCAATTGACGGATCGTTCACCACAACATCACGGCGAATTTCCTTCACTTGCTCAGCCCACTTAGCTTCGGCCTCAGCCTCCTTCTTGTCTTCTTCAGACAGAACAACGGTCGGAAGGTTCACCCTCGACTCGCTGTGAGGAGATTCGGAGTCTTGGACAGGAGTCGACGATGCCGCAGCAGATGGTGCTTCCTTGATCTTAGGAATGGCGTTATGATACTGGCCGGGTGTTTCCTTCCAGGTGAAGACTTTGTTCATCATGGCTGGACTTGCGGGTGTTCCTGTAGACAAACCCAAAGTTGCAGAGGAATTAGGAGTGACATAGCCAGGGTCCATGGTCTCGTCTTTAGAATGTTTGCTGGCATGGCCACGAAGCCCCACGGCATCTTTTATGCGACCAAAGCCAGATCTAGCGTCATTCATCTTGCCAGTAACACTCTTGAAAACATTCTTTCGCAACTGAAAATCTCGTTCGAATGGACTGTCGAGCATACTTGTAGCCGATCCAGGTGGTTGGTTCGTATAGACGACACCAGGACTCTCTTTCTCGTCTTCCGGCGGTATCGAATGAGATCGATTGTGTGACCAGATGTAGCCTCCTTGGTCGTCCTTGGTGAAACAGAGATTTTCGCCTTCCGGGTCACTCTTCCCGTATACGCCAACATTTCCACTCCTCCTAGGCTTTCCATACCACAACCATTTTGATCTCTCACCATGAACTAAGCTGACGAAGCGATCAATATCTAGAGTTTCGATATCACCAATTCCAGCTTTATCTCGTCCAACCATGTTTCCCAGCATCTCCCCACCCTTGCCACTCAGCTCAGCAACGGTGGACTTGACAGCCTTTGGAACAGCCCACCCTTCACCAGCAGCTGCTTTTGCAGTCACTCGGTGTAGACGATCAAGAGTATGTCGGTCCAGCCTCCTTGTCTTTTCCATCTTTTGGGATTTTTGAAAGTATGCAATCCCACGCTTAAGACTATACACGTCGAAAGCGTCCTTAGCGACTGGTGCACCATAGTAATTCAAGCGGTTTCGAGCTCCCATTAGCATACCCAGTAACGCTGAGACTGTGGTCGGTCCAAGGATGCCATCCGTGGGTTCGACATTGTAATATTCAGAGCCAATCTCCGTCCACCAGTCATTGACCGCTTTCTCAGTGACGTCGCACAGAAGGCCATCCGCGTACTCTTGTTCCAACTTCCCAAATATCATGAGAGCAACTTGACATAGCTTGACTAGCTCGATGACAGCCCCGTACAGTGGTATTCGGTCGCTAACTTTGTACAATTGGAAGAACTTGGCTTGGGTTGCTCCAGCAGGTGCAGACAAGCTCATTCCAGATCTGCCAGAGCATCCAAGCCTCTTCAGATTCTCATTGACGATATAATCCTCTCTATGTTTCCTCAAATCTCCATCAGGCACCGGTATGACAGTCAAGGCGGATGGAAAACTGCTGAGGTTTGTAACCATGAGCATGCCCAACGGAGTTTCTTTCGGTCGGGCATGGTATTGGGATATCGCTTTGAAGTATACACGTAGTCTTGGTGACCAAAGATCCTCGTCCGCTGGGACACCCAGCACTCCTACCATCACTACATGATTGGGATCACCAGTATAGGTAGTAATAACGAAGGTGGGGTGGACTCGAGAGCAAGACCATTGCTCTACAATATATAGTTCGTAGCCTGTTAGCTTGCCTAACCGTTCGATTACCACAGTAGAAGGGTCCTCCTCAAGATATCTGGTACATTGTCAGAGAAGCTAATTGTCTAACTGCAGAACGTACCTGAAAGCTACGGTATCTGCAAACACAAAATGCCGCCTTCGAGGCGGAGGATGGGCGGGCTTCTCTGCAAGGCCGGTCATTGCAGATGGAGAGAGGGGTTTCCCATTGACTCTGTTGATGCCATGCTGCTGTGAAGTCGTGCGGGAGAGAGTCAAAATCTCTTCTCGGTGCATATGTGGATCATATGCATGGGGAAACACAAATCTGGACGACATGGTTTTGTGTCTCTCACGGGCGTTTCTTTCTATTCAGGGCCACGGCCTCTTTGGACGGACTGGGGTGTTTCGAGTGACGTCGCCGAGGCTAAACTGCGGTCTAAGAGCATCTTCGAGAGCAGCGACCATTCAATACCGTGCAGGGAGGAATGTGAGCTGAGTTGTCTTGAAAATGTACTGACATTGGATGGTGTGGGATGCACCGCATAGCAAGACAGCAAGTTTGGGAGAGAACGAGGCAGTGGTATCACCAGATCATCGAATAGCGGCCAGCTACATGTGATAGCACAGGAACAGGCCGGTCAGAAGGTTCGGCGCACTGAAACGGCTTTCCTATTGGGCTTCCTCCGGCTGCAAGGCGCCTGTAAGTCGCTTGTCTAGGGAGTTTGCGCTGCCGAGACAGTTGGTGATCCACTTACAATGAGCACGCGAACATTCACTATCGACATCACAACCATTCTACCCTTAGACTCCACACAGACTACGAGAGAATCAACGATAGGAAAACCTTGAATCACAACGAACTCGCCACATGTATTCGAATATACGCTCTAGCTGCTAGTGGAGTTTGCCGCATCAAAAAGGAAACTTTACCAACTCTGAGCGGGGTGGCCAGAGCTATGGATGCCCTTCAGATTGAGCTGGCGAAGCTTCGCAGAGATGCAAACCTCAAGCAGAGTATCGACGATGTAGATAAGATCATTGCACAGCTTGAGGCAGCTCGAGGGACTATCGCAGCAGGTCTGTGGCCTACCTTCTGTCTCGAAATGGCAGAGGTACATCCTGTACATTGTAGCTAACTCGCCCTAGATCCCAAGTCTGCCTCCCTCACTCTTGCGAAATTGCAGAATCCCATGAAACAAGGCTTCGACAAAGTCACTGATGATCTCAAGAAAGTCTACAAAGGACAGGCGGCATATGGCAAAGCACTAGACAAGGTAAGGAAATAATGCCTGCTGGTGAGATCATGACTGATGGCATATAGCATTTCCCAGTCAGGGCCCTGCCAACAGAGTACGATGCTCTGGCTTCACATCCATCCCTGATAAACAAAGCTATTGCTATGCATTTCCTGCGAGAAGGGCAGTTCTCGGTAGCCACGACCTTCCTCGACGAAGCTCTGCATAGTCCGCCACATCCTTCACCCACTCCTGGGACACCAAACCCAGCTACGGATGACTCCGGGAATCTTTCATCGGAGCAGTCACAAGCACTCCAAGAAAAGTTCTCGGACATGTACAGGATACTACGCGAACTGGGGCAACGGAATCTACATCCTGCCATAGAATGGGCTAGACTGAACAGTACTGAGCTGGAGAACCGCGGATCAAATCTCGAATTTGAACTCAGCAAACTACAATACCTATGGCTATTCCAAGGGCCCTCGGTGAATGGTCTTCCAGACGACTATAACAACGGTCTAAGTGGTGCATTAACCTATGCCAAAACCAACTTCCCTCGACACCAACAACGCTTCTCGAAAGATTGCCAACAGTTGATCACGGCAATCTTATATCGAAGCAACCTCCACAACAGTCCATACCAAAGACTATTCAACACCGACGACGCCTGGGCAGAGGTAGCCCAATCCTTCACCCGAGAATTCTGCTCCCTCCTCGGCCTCTCCCCGTCCTCACCACTCTACATCGCCTGCACAGCCGGTGCAATCGCCCTGCCGACGCTCCTCAAACTAGCCTCGATCGTCAAGGTAAAACGTACAGAATGGACCACGCAGAACGAGTTACCGGTCGAAATCGCCTTACCCAGAAGCATGATTTTCCACGCTATCTTCGTGTGTCCCGTTAGCAAGGAACAGACCACTGAAACCAATCCGCCAATGATGATGCCTTGTGGGCATGTTGTTGCTAAAGAGTCTCTGCAACGGCTCAGCAAGGGAGGGCGCTTTAAGTGTCCGTATTGTCCGAGCGAGAGCTTGATGAGGGAGGCGAGAGAGGTGGTTTTGTAGATGTTGGTTCTGTTATATTATTACGAGTACGAGGCAAAGTATGTAAGAGAGAATGCAATGGGAACGGAGCATGGATTGAGATTGATACGATATTTAACTCGCACCTTTGCAGGGCGTGGGAATTGGCATGGCGTTCATCGGTATGGTCTGGTTTGGTCTGGTCTTGGAAAGCTGGCATGGGATGGGAAGGCGTAACGGTGGCTTTACAATACAATTCAGTACATAGACCTCCTCAATCGATACTCTACTGATCAAACCACCTTCATCCCATGTCTTCCCCCAAACCCTTCCTCTCTTAAATCCCTCACCCCGGCAAACCTCCCTTCCAGACCCACCCGCCACGTGACCCACCACACAGGCAAAACGCACCTGCACGCCGACCCACTCCACCTTCAAGAAGCAAAAGACGAAACAGCCGGCGCCAAGGCTTGGCGGAGCCTAAATACGGCGTCGATTGGCAGGTTTTTTGTTGCATCTCGCAGTTTTGGGTCTTGGCGGTCTTGGCGGTGGGCTTGGCATTTTATGTGTGTAGGCAGGTATTTTTAAGGGTATTGCTGTTTTGGGAACTGGGGTTTTGGTGATGGGGATGAAGAGGAAATGTGAAGAGGAGAGTAGCGATAGAATGCAATTGATGGGGTTTGGGTTCATTGAGTTTGATTGATGGGGTCTATGGGAGTAGTGTACAGTAGGTTCCTTAACGCCGATTACAGGTGTGTGAAAGGGAGAGAACGAGTTCATATTTCCTCGACACACTCTTCACTGATTTTGGGGTCTCCGTCTGCGTCTACGGTTTCCATCTCCTGGTCCTCTTTCTCTTCTTCCTTTGGCTCGGAATCGGGTTCTGGTTCTGATGCAGACTTCAACCTCTTTCCTTCACCGGCCAATTCATCCTCTGCTTCTCGTTTCGGAGTCGTGGGTGGTTCGACTTCTTTGCCTTTGCTCTCCCCTTCTTCGCTGTCCTCATCGTCCTCTTTCTGAACCTCCAGTTTCCGTCCAACAGCAGCCTCGATATCAATCCCCTGCATCCCCACCCCAGGTCCACTCCTCTCAGTCCCGCTCCCATCCCGCTGCGGCCCCATATCCTCCATAGTCATCTCCTCCGGTCCCCGCGCATGCGGCATCTCATCATCCTCTCCATGCCCGTCCGTGTCCCCTCTCGTACCATGTAACTGAGCCGCAGGCACAACACCCGCTCTCTGCTCCTGCCTCAACAACTCACCCTGTGTAATACCGCCCTCGGCTCGTAGCCCAGCAAGATCCGGGTCCGAAGCAGTCGTAGACGAGATCCCGTTCACGGACACGGACACGGTTTCGATTCCACCGGGGCCGTTGGGACCCTCGATCATCTCTGTGCTCTCGGTCTTCACTTCTCCTTCCATGGGCGAGTGTGTGCCGGCTCCGTTTCGGTTTAGCCATGTGATGGGCGTGAGGAGGGCGCCGCCGAGGCTTTCGTCCGAGCCTAAGGTTGAAGCTGCGGGTGTGGAAGCGGGATTGCTCCATGATATTGAGAGGGGGTCGACGCCTGCTGTTCCGTTGGAGAGGAGAGATAGAGAGGATGGGTCTGGGATTGCGGGAGGGAGGGGGAAGATGTGTGCGCCGGATGTGACGTGTACGACGCGGTCGAGGGCGTGCAGGTAGGAGGCGAGTGTGCGGTAGTGTTGCTTTGGGTAGAGGAGGAGCTCGGCGAATCGCTGAATGGTATGTGGTGGGTTCTTGGAGAAGATTGAGTTGAGAGTTGAGGTTATTGATTTGAGGAGGGTTTGGATTTCGGGTGGGAGGGTCGAGATTGTGTTGGGAGGAGCATTCTCTTTGTTGGTCGATTGAGTAGAGTCTTGGCTGGAGGGGTCGCCTGTAGTCGATTGTGCAGGTGGTGAGGAAGGTATAGGTTGTGAAGACGGAGCTGAAGGAGGTGGGAAGTCATCTTTCACGATCTGTGCCTTGTTAGAGATGCAACATGAAGTGGGGTATTCATACCTTTTCGAGTCTTGTGAGCAGCCTCGGGAGCAGAGCTGGCCATTGTTCACTAAGATTGTCAATTTGTGGAAAACGCAGTGCATCGTAGAACTTACTAGTCCATAGACTTGCCCTCTGCAAGCGTTTGTAAGACGTCGTCATCATTATCGACCTCCATGTTGTGGTTTGCGACAATGTTGGAGCTTTTAGGTTTAGTTCAAAGCGCGATTAGATTCGGCTGAAGCTTCACGCGCCTGGAGCGTGTATAAATGGAGCTTGGACGAAATATTGAGACTAGAAAGTCAAGAAAGTTCCAAATTAGGTAAGACTTTCAAGAAATGGCTCGACAACCAATTCCATTCACCTCGGGGCAGGCGGGCAAAAAGTTTGCTCAGCCTTGAAAGCTATCACGTGCAGGCTGAGCAAACACGGCAAACTTCACTAGCGTCTCCAAGGGCGGGCCACAACTATAAAGTCTTCGCTTCTCCCTCCAAAAACATCTTTTCTTCTTCATACTTACCTTCTTGAAATCAGGCTGCTCACGAATAGCCTTGATTATTCGACGAGATCTCCATTGCACAACGGGGCATCAAGACGAATTGACTTTCCTTCGGGGACGTCATCGGGGGAATTTTTGATTGCTTCCTTCGGGAATATTTATTTTTCATTGAGAGCTGAGCTTCGTGCTTGGCCTTGAAGAAGAGCTGGTTTCATTTCCTGTCTGCACGTTCATAATGTTCCTCTCGCGGTTTCTGCTATGCTCGTCTTCGGAAATGTGCTACAGTGCAAACGGCTTCATCTCTTTGCTCTACTGTCTCCTAGTCAAGGTTGCGACCTACTTGTCTGAAAGTGATGCTATCAACTCTCAATGCCGCGAAGTGTGTCCACTCCTGCTCTGATACTTCCTCACCCCATACAAAGGTCAACAAACGGCGCGCAGATAACAGTGGCCAATAAGTCTTTCTTTCCTCAGCCTTCACCCTGGGCATTGTGGCTCTGCACCTCCTGGTTGAGGCTCTACCATTTCCCCTACGGTATCAGCCCCCGAGCTTTAAGAGCACAGATCCCGCCGAAGGGTGTATTCGACGTTTGACACCCTCATCAAACGTTTACCTTCTCCTCGAAAGTCGCCGCGGCAGACCTGGTTGGTCGTACGTAGACATGATCGACGGTGTGAACGAAAGCAGAAGGCCAAAACTGCAGCTGAACTCCCGAAACATTACCCCAATACTTGGCATAATTGAAAACACTCGGTGAGAGAGGCACATACATGAAGCAGCAAGTGATTGAGGAATCGTTTTCTTCTTCATTAAAAATTGAGTACCTAGGACTTTGGGAAGCCGAACATTCCTGATTCCATCATGATGCAGTCATGCCGGGAGATCCCTTCCAACCAGATTGTCATCGCCGTCTGCTCAGCCTCAATGCCCACATGAGGCTTTTGAACAATTGCGCCCGGCCGTGTGAACCGTGTGCCGTGATAGGCTGCGATGTGAATTATCGTTGGCGTAAGGCTTTCTTGTGAATATGCTCTGGCGAGAAACATCAGTCGAGTGAATTAATTCAGTTCATATTCTGCCCAGCCTCCTCGACTGTGATTGATTGCTATGATTCAATATCTGATGTGCAAATGTTTCCGAGTGCGAATGCTTAAAAAGATCAGCCTTCCCTTCCCCGACAAAACCTCGACTTCTATTTTCGACCAGTTTTGGTGACTAAGCGAACGCGAATAAGCACGATTTGGCATTGGGTCTTGGCTGTGGGCTTGGGTGAGACCCCATAATCTTCTGATCGAACATCGACCACCTCGCAAAATCCTCACCCTCTCTCGTCCTCTTCGATCTCGTCCTCTTCCTTCTTCTCTTCCTCTTGCTCCCTTCCTCTCCTTCCATTGATTCCATCTTTCCTGTATCCCTACGACCGGCTGCATCGTATCCGCTCCCCTTATCGCCGCCGCCCTACCAAAGCTGCGCCCACAGTCCGAGAGACAGAACCAGCAAGCAAACTTCGCCTTCGCCACAGACCCGACGAGGCGTTGGCGGTTTCATAATTGCACCCACGCTCGCTGCCAAACCACCCAGACGACGCTCCAGCAGAAAGGGTCATCACCCGCGAGACCGCACTTCCTGGTCTTCATCAGATAGACTTCATTTCTTCCATTACATTGGCTCCCGTGGTTGTTTCTATCAACACGTAACCTATTCCTCTCTCTTTTTCTTCGAACCCATCGTAGCTCCGAACGGAGCGCAGAACTCTGCCAACGAATGTCTTACAGGCAGGAATCACGGTCCTCACTGATACGAGGGGACTCTGATCCTTTTCAAACATACGCCGAAGGAGGTTATCATCATCGCGAAGGCTTAATACCACCAGTCGCAGGCGCAGGGCCTCGACGGAGCAAGATGTACAGGTAAATTGTCAGCCTGATGGGCTGATGGACCACATGCTGATTCTTGCAGACCCAACACCAAAGCAACATGGGCGTTCATGATCACGACGACGATTCAAGCCGCGATTGTTCTAGCCATTGAAGCGTAAGCTATATCATCTAGGGGACGCGGATCATTCTAATTACGAACGCAGATACATATTCGCAAAATTCCAGGAGTCTCTCGAGCCAGGCGTAAAAGCAACATCCGAATCCAAGACCATTCCAACATACCTCACCCTCTTCATCTTCGGTTTCCTGTACCAATTAGTCCTGGTCTACGATTCTCTCCGACTCAAGAACACAATTCAGGTTATTGGGCTATGCATGTACAATGGAGGCATGCTCATTTATGCTTCGATCCAATACGATCAGATTCATAAAGTTATCAATACATTGACAAATCCAACCGATGGCTCGCCTGTTCAGCTGATACCTGGATCCGACGTGTGGCAAGATATCCAGCCATACCTCACGGCTGTTCCTGTCATTATCGCCTTCTTCACAGTGGTCATGTCCGGTATCGCTTGGAAATTGTACGATGAGTTTGCATGGACTATCTACAAGCATATCAGTGCAGACCTGAGAATGAAGCGCCGGTTCTTGACGTACCAGGTGAGATCATCGCAGGAATTTCATTGTGCTCAGCTAATCAGGTACAGATTTACATTGCTTTACTCAAGTTCGATTTCTTCTTCTTCCTTGGATTCACGGTGCAATTCTTGGTCATTGTGACTGGTCTGGCAGATGCCGAGTACGGTCTTACGATTGCTGCTATCCCAATTACAGTGCTGATCCTGTTTATGGCGGCTTTCTGGACTCGACGAGAGAACAAGATTGGAATGATTGGCACCATCTTCCTTTTCTTCTGTGGTCTCGCATACTTCATCTTCAAGCTAGCCAGAATGTATCAACCAAGCCACGAACAGAACTACCTCCCAGTCCGGAAGAGTTTGACCAGTTTCGCCGTCATTACGATCGTTCTACTCGTCCTGACAATTGTCATTGCTTCCGTATGCACGGCAAACTTCGACAAGGGACTGAAGCCACATATCATGAAGAGGAAGATTGGAGATAATGAGGCGGAGAAGATGGACAACATGACCGAGCTCCCAGATCTCAAGCACGGCCCGGTATCGAGCCGGATGACGATTGACTAGGCGTTTGTGAATAAATTCGATATGGAGCATTTGGATCTAGACAGGGCTGTAGGATTTGCATGTCAAAATGTATACTGAAACGACGACCACAACACGACCTGTTTTCCCTCTGATTTTTCTTTTCTTTGATCATATGGTCCTTGGCCAGGGTGGCATATCAGGACTTGGCTGGATTCTCATACCCGGATGAATGGCGTTTTGATGAGTTAGATGGAGTTTGAAGGCATGAAATGATAGTTTGACCTTTTCCTTTGATTGGGTAGGAGGGCATTGAGTGCTCTCTTGCCACCAGCTATTGAGCGAGTACCATAGTTCTTTGACGATGAATCCAAAAATTTCAGCATGTCACATATATCACTTTGTCATCTTTCGTTTGCGTTGTATTGCGTGAGACGGGTCTTCTAGACTGGGCTTCTTGCTTGAGTCAACGGTGAAGAATGCAACCCCGCTATTCTCCGGCCTCAGTTGTGTAGCTAGCTTCAACGGGCCCGGAGTTTCAATATCAATATCCGATGCCTTCGAAGTCTTCGGTTCCTTTTGCAGTTGTTTTACTGTTCTTGCTTTTTGGTTTATATTTTGGGTGCTTGAAACACTAATGAATCTTTTCGCATAAGCACACTCACGTCGCTATCCTTGCCGTCCTGTCTATTATATGCCTTGGAGGCGAGGAGGTTGTGTATCACGTGGAAGTTAAGATAACTAGGTGCACGGAATATGAAACAAGTGTTCCCCTTAAATATTTTCTTTCTTTCTTTCTTTCTTTCTTTCTCTTCTAGTTCTTCAGAGAAAATTAGACAACCTGCGATCTTGTCCCTCGTGTCTTACTTCCGAAGCACTACTTGAAATGGGTTCTCTAACTTTCAAAGACTAGATGATTTCCAATCAGACACTTTTTTAGCGTAAGCTTGATAGTCTGTAGGCTGTACATTTATTCCTCCTGGCCTAAGTTTCTCAATTAAGTAACAAATTGACACTTGAGTTTGCACTTGATCTAAGTCTATTCTAAAGTAGCTTACCTATATATATATCCAAAATTACAAATTTTACAATTAGACACAATACCGACCGTCACCATCGACATCCGGTAGATTCAAGAGGCCTATCCCAGGACAAGGCTGAAAGACATTCAATAGCGGTCCGTATCCCTCAGTCTGGATCACCGAGTTCCTAGTATCCACCGTCGAGGTCCCAAGCGGGATCGTCCAAGTGAAAAATATCCACTCTGCTGTACATCAACCGCACCTATCTTCGACCACGTCCACGGCGCATCGGTAGTATTACTCGCAATCGTACCCGTGTACTTATACAAATTATCTTCTTCCACCATATAATGCGTACAAACATATGCATCGTCCCGAAAGTTAACCGGCCATCCAGGCGCATTCACCCAATCGCAATCCTGATCCAGCTCATCAGCCCCTTGATGAATATACAGGCGCACATAGGCATACGGGACCACAATCTCCGCACGATACGTCGTCGAAGCCGCCGCTGGCGCGACAGTCACGTTCAACACGTCTCCGCTCCCGGGCGTCTTATTCGTGCTCTGGGCCACGCTATTCGACTTTCCAGACTCGCTGCCATCGCCCCCGACAGCCGTCACGGCAAACGTGTGCGCGCTGCCGGGACTGAGGTTCCCGACCGTGACGGCGATCATGCTGCTCGGAAGGTTGAGCGCCATCGCGTCGTCGAGGTATACGCGGTACCCGACCGCGTTCGCCGCGGGGACCCAGCTCAGGGCCACAGAGGTGTATTCGAAGCTGGTCACGGCCAGACTGCCTGGTGCTGATGAGGCTGGGATCCCGCCTGGGAACGGATTCGGGGCAGCGATCTGGACGGTGCCGCCACTTACTGCGCTGTTATACTCTTGCATATACGCATCGTCAGGGAGGATGTTGTACGGATTATCCGGGACGCCGTTCGTGATGTGGACAAAGCCCGCACCGCGCTCACGAGCCAGTGCCGCGACGGTAGCTACGTCGGCTTCTGCCACGCTGTGGATGATGTGCCAGAATTTCCGGGTGTCGGATGCGGTCCAGGGGTTGGGCACGTACGCGGTTGTGTATTGCAGGTAGTTGCTTTCGAAGGTTAGTAGCGTGTCGGCGCTGTTCTCGAAGCATTGCGGCATGTTGGCTCCCGGGTTGAGGACGGTGAAGGCGCCGGGGTACTTGCGCTTGGTGTTGTCGCTGATGTATTGGTAGAGGTTGGCGTATAGGTTGGCGTATAGGTTGTCTGGTCCGCAGTCGTTCCAGCCTTCGTCGAAGAAGATGCCGCCTATCATGCCGGGATACAAGCTATTTCAGGGGAGAGTTAGCTCTTTCTATATTGCTGAAAGTAGGGTGAAGAAAGGAAGAAGAAGAAGAAGAAGACTCCTTGGGATATGATAAGAGATGAAAAGAGTACAGAGATTGAAGAACCCTTGGTTTTGATGCGGGGGAACAAAGAGAAAATAGGGAGTGCTTACGAATACCACAAGTCGACATCTTGTTCGATTTGAGATGCCCAGTCTGCGAGGTTGAGCGATCCAAGTCGAGTCGTATCCTGTTGCCAGCTCACTCCCAGGTAACCAGTGCGGACGTAGCCAATAATCTTCTTACCACTGGCGGACGCCTCCTGGATGATCTTCTGCCAGCTCTTGTTGATCGTGGTATCCGGGCCATTGACCACATTTGCTACCAGGACGCTCACTTTGTCCACTGGGTATGCGATCAAACGGTTCCCTATATTGGAAGACTGGAGATTAGTATGGCTTTCTTTCAAAGATACAGGTAATTGAATGTGAAGATTGAAATAACTATAGGAAATTGAGTCGAAGAGATGGCCACTTACATGCATCCGGGTCACCCAACGGGGGAATATACGATGCAAGTGCGATCTGCTGGCCTCCAGACGACGGCACCCCACCAGGGCCTGTTGGCAGAGTCGTATTCGCAAAAGGAGATGTGGGAGGAGGCGTAGGATACGGACAAGCTTCGTCAATGAGCGGATACACTTCGCCATCCGTACAAGCACAGCCTAAGGAATCCGGCTGAACAAACAGAGAGCAGGACCATGGGACATCTGTTTCCTTTGCCGCAGCGCGGGTGCCGTTGACAATTGCCACTCAAGCCAGACAGTTGGTTGCGCTCACGCCGCCGTACTTCCTGCTAGTGGAGGACGTATCGCAATTGTTGATGATGTTGCTGAGTGCTGTCGTGCAATCACTTGTTGAGAATGTCGACGGAGTAGTACATGAAGGATCACCAGTCTGACTGATAGCTCCTAGGAACAGTTCCGTATCAACCGTGTTCGGCACGCTGTAGGTGGCTTCGCTCTGGCTGTTGATACCATTGCAGAACGTCTCGATGCTACTCTGAGCGAATGTTAGCGAGACTGAAGGTGAAGTGGCCCATTCCATGCCTCCGTTGTTGGTGCAGTCGAGATACGTATCAGGCGCTTCATCTAATACTGAGCGTTGGTCGAACGTAGCTGTACCGTTCGCATCAGAGTCCGACATGTCGACCACGACGGTAACAGACTCTATGATTGAATCTTCGTCCGTGTCAGTAGCGTTGGCAATACCTAGAGTACCACTCGTCCAAGGCTTGTATTTCGGAGGATTGCTCAGATCTGTAGGCTTGCCATCGGCACCTGGCCAGTTAGGATGTCTACAGCTCATTCAGTATTGGTCTGTTGTCTGGCTCAAGGACGTGCCTTCTCGGCACGACTTACAAGCTTTGTTTCGATGTGACCCATCGTGAGAGGGAGTATTGCGCCAAGTTGTCAGCTGAGCTCAAGTTAGCAGGCGTCAACGCTATGGATCGAGGTACTCGCGTACCATTTCTGAGAACATAGAGACCCATATCATCTCCTGGCCAGAGAGCTAGAGTCTTGGCCACATGCGGTCCATATGCCTTGTAATATTTCGCTCCTAAACGAGGTCTCCATTAGTAGACGGAGAGGTCCCAAATACGATCCTTCGTTCCTACACTTGATAGAGATTTCAGGTGAAACATTTCATGTAACATTACATAACCTACATGTACATGTTAGCCTTGCTTCTCGCTTCTAGAGAACTTGGAGCTTTACCTCTACACTGAAAATTCATGAGATTGGTCTGTTCGCCCATTTTCCCTCCACACTCTTTATAAGCTTCCGCGCATGTCTTCTTGGTTTTAAAGGAAAGAGGGCAGATGACAATAGTATCCTTGTCTACTACTGTTTGTGTAGGAGATGATCTGTTTCCTGGATTGATGGTATACGCCGGTGCCAGATTCAAGTATTTTTGGCAGAGGTTATCTGGATCGTCACAGCGGATAGCTGTCTTCCAGGCCAACCAATTTGATGGATTCCACCAGTATGATCGTTTGAACGTGTGTGCATTGTTAAGAACCTCTGTTCAAGAGTCAGAAGGCGCGCAAAGGATTTGCGAACAGTGAGTCTTGTGAATACGGCAATTACTTACTTTTGAGGCTGTCTTGATAAGCCGTGTTCTTGTTATTATCCCCGAGAAAGTCGAGCGCCGGATGAAAAGTCCAGTCTATCTTCCCACTGGATACATATGCAATGTCAATAGCTTCATCCCACGCGTCTCGGATGTCCTGTTTGGAGACACCAGCAGCAGTACAAGTATCCCAGCCCGTCCAATCGACGAGCTTCTCCGCTAGGATGTTGAAATCAGTACCAAGAGAAGGAGATAGTAAAGCAGTAAGCACAAATGCTAAAGGATAGAAAATGGGTGAGAGCCGCATAGCGAATGAATGTGTATCAAAGCTTGGGAGAATGCTGCACGAGAAAGGACAAATCTGAGGAACATCATTGATATACTAAAGGAAGAAGGGAACCTCCTCAAATCCGAGACTTGGAGACAAATAATGACATACTGCGCCGTTCTACAGGAGTCACATCTTAGGTTTGACCGAGTCCATTGACGAACTGGCGGAACGGTGCCGCAACAGTGAGGCTTCGACAAGAAACCGAGGTGAAGTCTGAAGAATAAAATTATGCGTAGGACTCTCGGAACAAACGTAACAGCAATCAAATCCCACGTGCACCGGTATGGTCCCAAGAATCGGACTGGTTTGAGACATTGATTTCCGACATCTTTCCTCGTATTGCCTGTCATTCTCTTGCCGAGCTTGACTAAAAGAGTGTTATTCAGCTCCTCAAGGGAAGGCCTAGACTTTCTCGACAGCTAAAATCAAAGATAATTGGATGAACAATTTTGAAGAGGTTCAAGAACAGTAGATAAAGTTTTTCCGACGCCGCAAGGCTGTGCCAATGGTCAAAGAACACTGCTGCACGCTGGTGGCAAAGCAAGGCTTCTGGAAGCCTTGTCTAGTGTACCTCGTATGCCTCCTTTAGGTTACACCAATCTCTCGAGGCCCGTGTAGTTCATGCGAGCTGGTCGTTGTCCTCTCGAAAGTTCGTTCAAAGGGGTATTTGAAAGTTTGCTAAGAAACGCGCATGTTTTTTGCTGTCAATGTGTCGTGATTCAGAGGTCCCGGCTAATCGCATAGGTGGCATCTGCCCCTTTCTTTCAGGCAGAAGCGAGCGAGGTGCAATAGTCTTTTCTCTCCTCATTCCAACTCGGACATCAACTCTTCAGGGTCGAGATTTCCGAAACACAAGATATTATGAACGCTAAATTCCCACGCAAAGTTATACTCTTTGCACTGCTCATCTTTGCTATTATCGGCGCGATATCAGTCTTGAAGTCCCTCGGAGTGTGGGTTATGAAGACAGGTAATTGGTATGACTTAGGTCCGGAACCGGGAGTCTGGAGATTCATGAATGCTCATACGGTGGAGGAAAGGTGTAAGGGTATGGAGATGGCGGGTGCTGTCTATTACGAAAACCCCGAGGATTGTGAATCGGTGAAAGAACTATTGGATGGATTTGGTGAGCATGAGAAGGAGGATGAGTCTAAGTACAGCTGGGATTTTCCTGGTTGACCTAGACTATGTTTGGATGGGATGACCATCATTGATGCGTAGGTATAGATCTATCCTATATGCGGCATTGGTCTTGTCTTGATAGTGAACGCTTTCCATGCCGGTTTCTGTCCTGTCGACATGACTTTTAATAACAATATGTTAGTTCAAGATATGTCAACATGTGAACACTTTTCCATGCTGAACTCCGTCCTGTCGACATAGCTCTTAATAGAAATATGTCAGTTCAAGTCAATGTTGACATATTATCCACTTGGGTAGGGTTTGTTTTGGAGTGCTTAGAATGACTTCAATGTGAATATATTTTTTCAGGCTAATTTGATTGGTTCGAATATTCTTGGAACCTGGTAACACAGAGAAGGAGTGAGACGGTTTCGAGATTTTGGGGAAGGATGGTAACTTACAGAACTATATATGCGAGGTAGTTGAGGCATGTTTGTTGCTGGTTGGTGTGAGGAGGTTGAGCACCTTTGACACAGTGGTACAGCCTGATGTTCCTAGAGCTTTTTTCGTAGACATCTTGAATTAATTCGGCGAATATTGAAGATCTCAAAGGCTTTTCCTCCATGGCAGTCGGAAGTAACCTTTGGAGATATTTTCCTTCTTTTTGAGGTAATTACTCCCTTCGAAGGAGAGGCAAAGCCGTCTGTTCTATGTCCGATTATTCAAGATTCATCATTGCCCTTCCGAGTGCGAAT